CGGGGGTAGCATGTGCCGTTGCTGTGCACTTTATTCTCGGTTGAATTTGATTCGTCAAGAAACATTTGTTAAATAACACTGTTACCCTTTAAATATTGAAACCACACCCTAGAGCCCGATAGAACATAGCAACAGTTAACATTACTTGACGACGGGTGAAATTCCAAAAACAATATTGACTGCGCGGAATCTATGCGCGCAAGGTTCACCGTTATTTTGTATTTATATAAAACATTCAGTATAATATAATAAATACTGCATATAGTTGAAGATAATATTGAAAATTTTAACCCAAAGGAAACAACTGTCAACCTCGATCGGCTGCACCTCGTTTCAATGGTTTTCTTCGGGTAAAAATTCTCAGTCTTTTTCTCAACTACATGCCGTATTTACATTAACTGCAGCTCTCTGCTTGAGAAAATTCGGACAGACAAAGCAGAGAGCTACAGATCCAAGCATTGTAAAAACCTTCGATTTACGCCGCCGCTTTTTTGTCGCTCGCTTCGGGTATTATTTCTTGTATTTAATGCTTTCCCCCACTTTAAAAACAGTATCCAATAATTAACCATATATTTTACTCATATTCCTGATACTTTATTTACCTTTCTGTAGCTCTCTGCTTTGTCTGTCCGAATTTTCTCAAGCAGAGACTACTGTTCTGCAGCTATATATACATAATAGTTTTTACGTTTGTTGGAAGTGGTGCTCAGTGATATAAAAACGTAAGTTAAAGGTTTGTGAAGGAGGACCCTTCAAACTGGAAAACTTCATTGAAGTAGGTTTATCCGTTCCCTTGCTCGTGATGGCGGCATGTTAAGGGGAAAAAATGTTTGGTAAACAACTAAAATACTGATAAAATTCCATCGCAACAGCCAGCTATGCACAGTTATACACAACTCTCAAGGTCACCGTACAATCAAAACCAGATTATGCAGTTGTAAACTTTTTTAAATTTAATTTTTTATTTATTTATTGGCCAAATAGCACCAGTGTGTATTATAATCGTCTTATCATGTTGAAAAACTTCATTAATGTATATTTGAAACTAGGGTGCAATTGGATAATTTTTGTAACTAATTATATTAGTCGTTAATTTTCCGACCGAGTAACCGCTTAATCGAACTGACAAGACTTGCATGTAATTGTTGTTTTCAGCGCATCAATCGAAACAAAAACAAAAAAGTAGGGAATAGCAAGAATTTTTTTTACGACGGGGGTACATGCACGTAAATTTTGATTAGTATTTAGGGTTATAATTATGGGGCCTTGTTCTGAGAGCGGCGTCGTATTGTAAATTATTAAATAAGTCGACTGCAGCATTTTAGTTTTAAACACGCTACCTTAGAGTTATTTATTTATTTTTGGTTGAAAATATATTATTGTAAAAGCGCGCAAGTGATGATCTTTCCGACGAATTAGTCGGTTAAGCGATTTACCGTTGCAATCCCAATTTAAAACATATCTGTGACGTTATACATTGTGTTTTAGCCTCCATCATAATTACCTATTGCTTTTCTTGCATCCAATAAGTTCAACCTATTGCACAGCTACAGGAAACATTGAATTGAAAATAAAATATAAAGTAGCTCGTCCTCTCCCCTGTGGTGTAAGCGAGTGGCATGTGAGAAGTTGAAGAAAAATCCTTCAAACTGTGGTTTACGCAAATTCCGAAAAATCAGACTTATCTCCAAATTTCACAATGGAAAACTTTAAGCACGAATTTACACTTTACTTTTTTTTCATTAATGATATCAAAAAGAATATCTGAATCTAAAGAGGTCAATGTTTTAAATGAGTTTTGTGTTTCGAGACGTCAGAATTCAGCTATGGTAAAGAAGATGGGTGAACAAGGCGTGCAGAATGCCTATAGCTTCAGATATTAATAAAATCATATTCAATTTGTGAATTAAGTATTTAAAATAAAGTTCTCATTATTGAAATTTATGAAATTATGATTAACAAAACTTTTCTGAGAAAAAAGATCTCGGAAAAATTATTCTTTTATTAAAAAAATAAAATGGTATTCGTGAGATTCGAACCCCTATCAATAAAAATCCGGTGTATCATATTGTTTTGAGACTAACACGCTAACCACTACGCCACGCAGCTACTGACGAATAGTGGCATTTAAATCATGTTTGTGATATGACCTTGACTTAATGGACTTCAAGTATTTCTCGGAAAGATACGAATGCTTTGTCATAAAAGTGTACTTTTAAGGTATAGTGGGTCTTTGCTCCATGTTTTTGTAAACCAAAAAATGTATATTTTTATGCAAACTTTTAGGATCAACTTTCAAAAAAATGGAGCGAAGACCCACTCACATCGAAAAATTTTGTTAAAGTGTGAGAAAATGATCCTTTTTGTCCTCTTTAGTGTGTGTATGCTATTTCGTAGGCAAATAATTTCAGTCTTTGTGAGATTTTTGTAAATTGTAGAGATTTAGCATAAAATAAACTTTAATGTTAGATGAAATATCAAAGAAAATTTTTATATAATTGAGATTTTATTTTCCACTTCATGTTTGTCGCACTATAGGCACTTCGCCCGCCTTGTTCACCCATCTTCTTAGCTATAGTACAAAACTAATCATCATTGGCATAACTTAAAAGGGCATGGACACAGATTTGAAGTTTAAAACCTTCAAATTTTCGGTAGGATTTCATGACTTTATATATTGTAAGAGCGTTTCAGACTGCCTGTCTTTCATCTAAACATTATCTAAACCACGATCTTCGGGCGTGTTTGTCATACATCTTTGAACTTTCATGAACTAGAATTATTTCTTAATATTCAAGGAAAATGGAAAATCTGAGATGTATCAATAAAAGATATTAAAACTCAATCAGGGAAAGTTATAATAAGGTATGTAAAAAAGCTTAACCAGTGTTGTCTGTTTGTGGTCAGTGATGTGAGAAATGCGGGAAATCGAACACACCCGGTATAACATAAACATTAAAAATAAAAGAGCTCGTGCTAATGCAACAAACACAGGTATTTGGTGTAATATGAATAATGCCGTTGTCAATTAAAAATTCAAATCATTAAACTGAAGCTATTTTTGAATTAGAATTAAAATTCAAGCAAGTGTGTCCATGCTCCTTTAATGGACAGTACTAGGTTAAACACTTATAAAAATAAAATATAGTAGTATGTCTCATTGCTACTTAAATGTATTTTATTTTCTTTACTTGTCTGTTTCTACATTCAGCAACAACCAGATTGTCTTTTGTATCCTGTGATATCTTGCTTAATCAAGTTACTACATGAGTACTTCACTTAGTTTCAAAGAACAACCCAGATGTTCCAATGCACGGACTTCTTGTATTTTTATTCCACACACATATTGGTCATATTACATACTCTACAAACCAAACACGTACATAAACAACAATTCCGGATTACTATTTATACATAAGGATACTACATATCCGTAGACAGTCCATGTGGTTCACCCATTAAAATCAGCTGAAAGAATGTGACTCTGACTGTCCGTGGTGATTCTCTGTTTGTTTCTCTGTGGAACCCGAGTAACGGATAACTCTTGTTTGTTTGTAGTGATTGTGCATGATAACTACATGTAGTAGATCACCAGAGGAGGGGCCACAGATACCATCAGGTTTCCAGTTCTGTAGTCTGCTCACCTCCTCTATCTTCTCATTCTTCTCATTCTTCACAATGTTCACATTTTATCATTGTAATCTGCATAAACTAGATCTCCACTGTTTGTCACGGCTATGTTAGCTTGAAAGAACGGTGAAAAATTAATTTTGAACAGTGACAAATTGGTTTTGATTGACTGCAGTATTGAGCTCTGATTGATGCTGAAGAGTTTAATTATGCTGATATCTCCACTTGTCCAGATTATTTCATCATCCTGACAGGCTGCATTGTAAAGGTATTTATACCCAGTGTCTGTGGTGGTTGGTTACAATCTCTGGTTCATCAAGCAGCTGTTTAATTGGAGGAGAGGATCCAGCTTCTGGTGATTTCTGTTTTATCTTCATGGTGTATCCATGTTCATTTGAAATTAATGAACTTGGTATCAAGTCTCCAAACAATTTACACCGGTCATGGTAGCCTAGTGGTAGGGCGCTCGCTTTGTGATCGGGAGGCACGGGTTCGATTTTCGTTTGCCGCGCCGCGTCAATCCTAATACATAAACTAGAGGTACTGTGAGCACTGAGCTCACTAAATGATACCCCCGCCTCCCATATGATAATAATGACAGAATCCATGTTTTGCCCTGGGAGACCCGAAATAAGTGTCAGATCAAAAAGTAAAAATAGGAGATGGACAATGGCACTATGTAACAAAGATTCTGTAAAAGTCTCAATAAATTTCATACAGTTGTATAGGAGGAGTTGCGGATAAGAGATAGGTACCCCAAAGCGTAACAGACGGACGGACGGACGGACACCCCGATCACTATATACCCTCCCACTTTTCAAGCGGGGGGTATAACAAAGGTCGTCACAGATTGTTCCTTCGCCAAGCGCCTGGCACTAGAAGTGAAAGTCACGGGTCTTTCTTGGAAGTTCTTAATACTCGTCTACATTGGACTTTACACTGGAGAGTTTAGAAAAGTATTTAGTGTCTATGGCATCCTCAAGTGATTTAACTTCTTCCTCAATAATATAAAATTTCTGTTTTTTCATTCCATCCAGTTGTTCATGTTAAGTTTGCAGCTGTGTCTTTTTCATCTTTTCAACTTCAGTTTTAAGGGGTTTTTTTTTTACAAGTTTATTAATATCTAGGTGCCTATTCCTCTCCATGTTTAATTGTGACTGCTGAGAGATCTTCAAATTGATTTTCCAAATCATTTTGTTCTCTATATCAGCGCATTGCGCAATAAAGAACATTCATAAATGCGCTTGGCACCTTGTGGTCTTTTTGGATTGCTGATAACCCCTCCCCCCCCCCCCACACACACAAATAACTATGTACACTACATGTACTTAATTCGAAAACCCATTCAAAATAATGGATATGCGAAAAAATCAAATGTACAAGTTTTTAATATCATTTACAACAAACACCCAAAGCCTTCGTGAATTTCATCAATAACATCTATAGTTTTAAAAAGAAGGTAAGTTTTCTACAACAAAATATAGGAAAATCCGTCAGTTATTCATGTAATATTGATACATTTATTCTAAGTCTTACACTTAAAATCTGTGCAGTGATAGTGTAGACTTGTGAATGCATCAACTGATTAAAGGGGCCTGGACACAGTTGCATTAATTACATTTTAAATTTCTATTTTTATCCAAAAAATAACTTCAGTTTAATGAATTGATCTTACATGAATATTCTTAGAATTCAATGACAACGACATTCTTCATAACTTCAAGTCAAACACCTGTGTTTGTAAACAGGGCACGAGCTCTGTTATTGTTGGTGTTTAAGTTTTACAGGGTGTGTTCAATTTGTTTGGTCTGCACACATCACTGAGCACGGACTAACAATACCGGTGAGTTGGTATTGCTTTCTGGCATTTCTACTCTGAACTTTCTGGATTGTAGTTTTAATATTTTTCATTAATACACAATACATATATTAAGGATAAGATTTACTTCGTGAAAGTGCAACGATGTGTGTCAATCAAACGCTTCCCGAAATTCGTAGTTTTAATAATTTCCAGATAAAAGAAGTTTCTAAACACGCTTTTAATATATTTCGGTGTGAAATACTTTAGCAACATATAAGTCATGATTATATTAATTTTTTTTTTTTTTTTTTTTTTTTTTTTTTTTATAGAAAATATGAGCTTCAAATCTGTGTCCCTGCCCCTTTAAAAACTATGACAAAAATATAGTAGTATGTCCAAACACTAATTACATGTATTTGATTTTCTTCACTTGTTTGTTTGTACATTCAGCAACAAACAGATTGTCATTTGCATCCGTACACAGTCCATGCGGATTACTCAGTCCGCAGTCTATGTAACGAAGGAACTGTCCATCCTGGTCTATGATGTGGACACAGTCATTGTAATAATCAGCTGTAAGGATGTGACTCTGACTGTCTGTGGTGATTCCTCGTGGACTGAATGGGTTGTTCTTTGGAGCAGGATTATGTCCAGTGTACCTGAATCTCATTTTCCCAGCCTGATTGACCACCACTACAGCTTTACTGTCAGCTACACAGATATCCAGGTTCCTGTTCTCAATTATATGCCTGTGATAAAAACCAGAGGAATAGATAGGTTTACCTGTATCATCAAACTGAATGGTTTGTTTCTCTGTGGAACCAGAAAAACGGACAACTATTGATTCTTTGTAATCACCACTGTTCATAATAACTAGCAGATCACCAGAGAAGGTGCTGCAGATACCATCAGGTTTCAACTTCAGTTGTCTGATCACCTTCTCTGTCTTCTCATTTTTCACAATGTTCACAGTTCTATCATTATGATCAGTGTAAACTAGATCTCCACTTTTTGTCACTGCTATGTCAGCTTGAAAGAAGGGTGACAAATTGGTTCTGATTGACTTCAGTACTGAGCTAAGATTAATGCTGAAGAGTTTCATGGTGTTGTCATCTCCACTTGTCCAGATTTGTTCATCACACTGACAGGCCACATTGTAAAGGCTAGTTCTATACCCAGTGTCTATGGTAGTGACAGTCTCCGGTTTATCCAGCAGACGTTTGACTGGTGGGGAGGATCCAGCTTCTGTTGATTTTTGATTTATCTTTAAGCTGTATCCATGTTTATCTGAAGTTAATGAATGTGATGTTAAAACTCCAAACAATTTACGAATTTGATCTCCTTGGATTCTTTTTGGCGAGAAAACGGGTAAAGAAGGCATAATTTTTTGTGGAAGTTCTCTATATTCATCTAAGTTGGATTTAAAGCTAAGGAGTTTGGAAATGTCTTTAGAGTCTATGGCATTCTCAAGTAATTTAATTTCTTCCCCAATTTTAGAAATTTTCTGTTCCGTTTCATTCAGTTGTTTCTGAAGTGTTTCTAATTGTTTGTTTTTCAGCTTGTCAACTACAGCTTTAAGGTTCTTGACAATAATGTCAATTTCTATGTGCCAGACCTCTCCATGTTTTGTAATGGATGCTGAAAGATCTTCAAATTTCTTTTCTAACTGACTCATTCTGTTTTGTACATCAGAGGCAATGCCCTTGTAAGTTGGATAAATTGCTTCATTTAATTCAGTTTGTTCTTGAACGATGCTGTTCCTTTTTTCATCAATAATTTGACCTATTTCTGATAATTTATGACCTAGATGTTCATCAGATACAATGCACTTAGTGCAGACAGAAATGACACATTGTTTACAGTACATCTGACATCTTTCTTTAAAATGGGTTGTACATCCAGGATAGAGAGGAGTGGATTTTCTATCCTTGAAATCAACAATTTTATGAGGTTTTGAGAGATCAGCAGAAATGTGTTCTCCCACACAGGCCTTACACAGGTTGACAAAGCATGTATCACAGTGCATCTGTACCACAGCGGTCTCACACAGGTCACATCGCATCACGTCCTGGGCACTGGTGTGGGGATCCATTATTTAAGATGTGTATCTGAAATAAAGTATTCCATATGTAATTATTTCAAGTTACTGAGAGTAAACATAATACATGTATTTAAATGAGAGAGAAAAATTAATCGAAAAAACTCGTGAATCATATCATTAATGTTTAACCAACCCAGTTTTTCTAACACTATATACTAAAGAGACACCGTGACGGAAAAACAGGAAAAGTGACAGAAGTAGAATTTTTGTAAGACACATGCAACTTTTATTCAATTCTTGAAAGTATCAGGTTTCAGAAAATTACAGGTTCAGAACCTAATAAATATACTTTTATGGATAAAAATATAATTAAAAATAATTTTAGTTTGCCCGTACACAAAAATATTGCTTCACTTCTTCCTCTTTAAAGGTGCTTAGACACAGATTTGAAGTTTATATTTTCTCAAATTTTCTGTATAATATCACAACTTATATGTTGCTATAGCATTTCACACGAAAATAAAATTAAAAACTTATTTAATCTGGAAATTATTGAAACTACGAATTTCGGGAGGCGTTTGATTAACACATCCTTGCACTTTCACAATTTTTAACTTTATCCTTAATACTTAAGAAAAGTAGCAATTTTGTTGTGTATTAATGAATAATATTACATCTATAATCCAGAAAATTCAGAGTAAAAATGTGCGAAAGCAAAACCACTTACTTAAGTATTGTCAGCCCGAGCTCAGTGTTGTGTAGTTGTATACAGAGTTTAACAAATTGAATACACCCGTGAAACGTAAACTGTTTTTGTAAACAGGGCACGAGCTCTGTTGTTGTTAATGTTTACGTTTCACCGGGTGTGTTCAATTGTTAAACTCTGCACACACCACTGAGAACGGACTGACAATACTGGTGAGAGGATTTTGCTTTCTACATTTCTACTCTGAAATTTCTGCATTATAGTTTTAATATTTTTCATTAATAAACAACAAAATTGCTACTTTTCTAAAGTAATAAGTATGAAGTTAAAATCTGTGAAAGTGCAAGGATGTGTCTATCAAACGCGTCCAGAAATTCGAAGTTTCAATAACTTCCAGATAAAATAAGATTTTTATCAAATTTTCTCATGAAATGCTGTAGCAACATATAAGTCATGAAATTATACAGAAAATTTGAGTAAAAATTAACTTCAAATCTGTGTCTAAGCACCTTTAAGGTATGCTTGCGCAGAAAAGTTGAAGAAGTTACCACCCCTACTAATGTGTTCAGAACCTTTTATTTTTCGGTGTTCTGCAAACTATAAAACTCGAGGAGTTCAGAGTAGCTCTGACAGTAGCTCTGGCAAGATTAAGCGAGACTACAGCGAGATAAGGTAAATTATTCACGGAAATGTGGCTAGGAAGTGACTTCCACGTGGAGACATGGTAAACAGAAAAGTTATGTTGCATTTCAGTTTTCACCACAGTATAATATCTGTAGAAATGTACTTCAGTCCCTCTTGAATTCATTCAAACTTCAATAAGTTTTCCTAATGAAATTATTTTCTGCATTTATGTATTAAAATTTATTTTTGAACAAAAATACTTGCAAGGAAACTGGGACTATTTTTTGGCGTCAGATTAGCAAATGAGGTACCAACATGGCTTAAACTGAAAAATCAGCTGAATGAGTTGAATTGCATTGTGGGCTACTACGGGTACTACAGGAGTTTTACGCTTGGGAAAACCCAAAATCTACAGGCGATCGGAAAGGCACAATGAACTTTTTTTTTCATGCATTTCGTAGATGAAAAGTAATTTGTCCATTTTTATTCTATTATTCCCATGCTCACAGTTACAAACAATTCATTTGCTAAATAAACGTGGAATTCTAGCTTTTCTCAAAGTCAGACTGTAAGGCGATTTCATTGCGTCTGTATTCCTTTGTTGTACTATCGGTGAATACAATTGTCAGGTGGGTTAAACACATGTGACCACGGGTATTGTAATGTGAAAAAAATCTTTGCTGTCCATTTAACTGTTTAAATGCCTAAGAGATGCTGCTCGTTTTCTTTAACCTTGAAGTGCTGGTGTTCTGAACGTGATACAGACTACATATTATTATGTAATATTTCTAGTTAACAATGTAACGACAAATCGCAAACACCAGTGACATCTTTCATTGTTTCTAATAATTTAATTTTGTTTAAACAGTTTTTTTTAATTGGTTTTTGCAGTGCATTTAATATCGATCTTTGATAGACCTGAACCACGTGTTCGAAGTAAAATGTAAACATGTAGTTGTCCAGTAAACGTTGCTATTCATTCAACGATTCTTTAGCCTTATGATACAATTATCTGAAAAGAAACACATGATATTGACTCACTATGTAACTTTAAATTAATAGTTGGTATATTTGTCTGCATGTCCAGGAAGTTCAGACTTATATATACCAGTAATGTATTGGTGGAATTACATGGCAGTACAGTTCCCGTTACAATATCTATACTGAAGTAAGCGCCTCGGTTAACATCATCTCAACGTTTATTATCTCGCCGCGATTATATCAAGCATGCTGGAGGAAAAAATATTCCACTCTTTCAGAGTGCATGTTTAACATATATTATAATTAGCTTGGGTTTGATCTGAAAGAAGTGGACATTTATGTCGCGAACGGGTCAACCCTTCGTTATTAATATAAAGATACACCTATTTTAGGTTGGATACACAAGGTTTGAATATCTTGTAAAATACATGTAGATTAAACTGTTAAAGGACATGCATAACTAAGGTCAAGTTTTAAAAAAAAAGTTCTGTTTTAGATCCCATTTTCAAGATATTTCATGAATTCAATGCATGGCTTAGTACGGTTAATTATGAGGCGCCATTTAGTGATATCATACATAATTGAAATAGGTGATACCACCTATTCGAATAAGTGATATCACCTATTCAAAATGAGTGATAGGTGATGTTATAGGTGATATCACTTAATGACAGTAAATACCAAAACGGCCCCTCATAGTAAATACACGTATAGTCTACTTTTTTACCGAGTTCAGCAAAATCCTTCACAAACGGAACTTTTCCGATGACGTAAAGCTAAAATAAATTTAAGGAATTTAGCAGTTTTGAATTAAAATAAAGAAAATTGCTCAGATATTACGAAACGTACCTTGGGCACTAAAAGTTAGTGTAAATATAGAGTATTTACACGTGTTTTTATACACGCACACACTCTTTATTTACATTAACTTCCATCGCTTGTGAAACTTACCTGAATGTACTTTAAATAGTAAGATGGCGGCTGTCTTCTTGATAGCCTATTTTCTATGGAAGGGAATTATCGCCAAAAGTCTATTTAAAAGAAAGAAGAACGTCTTTACAAGAATAAAGCAACATAGAAGTAAGGACAAAATGAAGAATGAAAAAAGTTCAAAGTGAAATGTAATAAAGACGAATATGAAAACAATAAAGTGACATATAGTTACAATAATAACAAAGAATAAAGAAGTACGCAGAATAAGAATAAAAGCAAGATAAATAGAATTTTGGCGGTAATTCCCTTCCTTAATTTTCTGCACATCGTTTTTCTAATTTACACTCAAGTATAGAAAAAATGCATATGTTGGTTAAAATTACACATAGTCACATGGATTATTTTTCACAAGGGCTACGAAAAATATATATACAAACGTAAATTTTTACACGAATAATGCGTACATATAAAATCGTTGAGTGTAAAATACACATACAGCTGTTATGACTAAATTATAAGCAATGAATATTCAATAACGCCCATGGTTTCTTCTTAGCTGGCATATTACTGATTAAAAATTCCTGCAGACATAAATAGCCATGCACACTGCCTAAAAATAATAATAAAAAATATTTTGTTATATCATACATACCAAAATTGTTGATAATGTCAAGAAAATTTCCCCTCATGGGCCCCGTTTCATTTGACTCACAGAACTTAAATTACATCAGATTGCTGAAGGGAATTCCATATGTATCAGTTCTTCTTTGATGCATCTCATTACTTTTTATACTTTTTGAAGAAAAAAAATGTCAAGTGCATCTGTATTAAGACGTTTCTGTATGATTTTTTATATCTATAGATTTTAAGCTGCAATTAGTAGCTTCGCAGTTCATTGAAAAAGAACAAAGTGGACAGTTTATTTCAGCTGTAACTTGATCTACATTGTAAAACTGCTAAATTATATACATGTATATTTTCTTCTAAATCTTTGTCTTAACGTAGGTCGCGGGTTTGCAGGCCATTTAAAAGTGTCCGAAAACATACCATGAAAATTAGTTATATGAATCCTCTACCTTCGTTTTATATTCTCTGAAAATTTTATAAAATTCGTCTGCATCGTTTTTGTGTAATTAAATCCCAAACATGCCATTGTTGTCGTTACATTTTCGACGTTATTCTATTGAATTATATAAGAAAAACGTCGTTTTCGGCTCATTTTGAGGCAAGATTTTGTTTAAAAAAATATCAATAACTTTTAAATGGTGCAGACGAAATTGTTTTCCCTTTGGTATTTTAACAAAGAATTGATTTGAAATAAATCAATGTGAAAAAATTAATACGTCTTCGGGTTAGTTTTCGCGTAATTTAAATGTGGATAATTGCTTTTATATCGCAAAATGTAACATTTTTAAGAACGACGTCATAAAATATCGCGACGTCATGCTTGACGTCGTGAATATCTATCCGGTATTCGGTGCAGAAAAATGCGCTAAAATAATTTTTATAAAAAAGAAATTCACGTCTGTCTGCTTTCAAGTGACCCGTGAATCGTATCATAATAATTTTATATCAATGAAATGATTATTAGACATGTTTCTCTTCAGATTAGGGTTTTTGTACGTCTTATATTAGTGAAAATTCTCGCAAGGGACGTAAAACAACAATCAATCCTTTAGTTTCTTTCTTCCAATTTACTTTCTTTATGTGTTGTTTTCTGTTTGTTTTGTTTTTTTTCGTTGATTAGACGTATCCTTACATTTGGCTGTGTATTTTTCTTTTAAAGCGTGCTGGCAGAAAACGGTATCCTTTAATTCAAGCAATTCAAGTATATAAAATGTTTTTATTTTGACCATTCAGCAAGGCGCTCAAATCTACGAATTTCTGCCAAATATCGTCCCGGCTAAATACAATATATTTTCAGTATATATTTAAACAAAATATTTATTTTTACATACCACATTTTCAGAGGGGTAAATGGGACAAGGATTTAAAAATTAATTTTATTGACATAATCAACAGCCAGTTTTTTTTAAGAACATTAATTCTACTTGTTGGACATGGAAAGCAAAGTAACGAATAAAATCTGTAGGTTACAGCATTGCAAGCTGTTGCTTAGGGGATGGTCATTTCACGGGGGGCAGGGGTTACAGATTTTGGAAATAAATAATCTGTCCTCGAAAATGTTGAAAATAAATAATTTGTTCTCGACTGGGCAAGAAAATAAATAATCTGTCCAAGACTAGTTTTAGACCCCCACCCCACCCCACCCCCACCCCCCACCCCCTCCGTGAGTTTTCAACTTTGTTGTTTTTCTTTTTTTCCTTTTTTCTTTTTGCTTAACAGACTTTTTTCAGTGAAGAAGAAATAAATAATCTGTCCTTGTTTTTTGGAAATAAATAATCTGTCCTTCACCGAAATGAAAACAAACAATCTGACTCGTTAAAATTTGCCCCCCTCCCCTTACCAACCTCTCCCTCAGAATCAAATAGTTGTCCCCTAACAGGAGGTCAGTGTCGCTAAAAAATTGTCTTAATGTTTCATCATACCTTAGCAGTATTTAATTTATGATAAACTTGTACATCTATATATTTTAAAAAATAACCTGTTTAAAAATAAAATTTAATCTTTTGATGTAACAGGTGTATTTGCGATTTTTTTTTTTTAGATAATGGCTTCTTTCTTAATAAAACAAACTGATAATTCAAATACGATCAAAGGAAAAAAAGGTCAGTTGAACCTTGTGTCCATATCGTTTCGCGATACCAAGTGAAAACAAATCAAACTCAATTTCTCGGGCCTTTCCGACAAGCCGAAAAACAACCACTTGTTTTTCCAAGATTGCCGGAAAGGCCCGAGAAGATGCGATTGATAACAAATAATTAAACTTTTTTTAATATTTCCAGTGTCGATCATTCGAATAAACCTTCTTCACTAAATTACCAATTCCAACAAAAGTTTTATCTAAGTATTGTATCGACTATACAAATCGTAAAAAGCCTTTATTATTTGAGATAAGTTGTTGCTTAAATAATATAACACTAAACTACCAATTCCAAGAAAAGTTATAGCTAAATAATGGTATACTGAAGAATTTAGTTAAACGAAAATCATCGCAGATTTCATTTTCATTGTGACGTCATAATCAAATGTGCACAAGAAAGTCGCCCAAATCATATAAATTGCGTACCCAGTTTTAACGACGTCAGCAAACCCGCGACCTACGTTAAGGTCAAGATCTAGTAAATGACTTTAGACTAACTTTTTGGTGCTAGATCCATTATGACGTCATAATCAATTTTTACTTTATTTTTCCCGTACTTTACGGCTCTAATAGAATTATGTAGAAAATAAAATATTTTCATGGAATTCAATTTGAAATCATGTGAAAAGTAATCCCAATACCTATATTCAATTTAATATTATTTTAAAGAAGAGGCCAAGAACATACAAATTATCGTTTTCTAAGAGACTGTAGGCAATCTGGATACATTTCCTTTGTCTGATATGGAAAAAAACTCCCGTATTCATGTCTGGTTTTCTTAATTTTTCATTGAAAATGGCAGTTTAAAATATGATTTTTCACCTTGTTCATATACAAATTATGCCCCGAAACACCCTATTTGACCAAGCTAAAGTTATAAAGCACCATTAAAGGAATTTATTTCTCAAATTTGAGAAATCTGTAGGCACCTTTCATTTACTAGATCTTGACCTTAACAACACATTAATTTTACTCTTCTTGCAAGAGCAGCATTTTTCAATGTTATTTATGATTTATATTAACGAATGTTGACTACGAATTAACAGCTAATTTTTCTTTAAATTAAGAGGGTGTCCAATCCAATTGCTTGAATCGTCTATAAGCTACATGTATATCTAGAACTGTAGAGTAAACAAAACAAGGGTTGATCCAAAAATTCGTGGAATTTCTTCTAAAATTTTATTGTGATTTGACAAAAACAAAAAATAGACATAACTATAAAATAGATTTTTGAAATAGAACTAATATGCAATAAAACTGGAGGAATTTTAACACGTTCCACTTACTTTTAAAGTCATACGAGCTTTAATTTTTTTTTAAAATGGGCAATTGTAAAATCTGAAGGAAACTTTGACTTAACGTCAAGTTTAGTATGTCACGTCATGTTCGGTCATGTTAAACGTCAGCACATAAATTAAACCTCCTCAAGATAATCTCCCATTATTTTCACATTTTATCCACATATCAAAATAATGTGTCTTTGTATAGCAGTTAGTACCAAATAATTTTATTTGTTTCCGCTTTAAGATTTTCAGCAATCTGAAACCATAAATCTCTCAGTGTGTCCATCCATTAATACTTTCTCTTGGTCCACGAGGAAATAAAGAAAAATCTCCCACTGGGCGGCAAAACCTTTCATCATTTTCATCATCTTCAAAGGAAGTTCTACCCTCCTTAAATCTTTTACGCCACTTGAAAACCAGTCGCTTTACTGTAATTTCCTTATGCATGTGTCATTAATCTCTGCATCTGAGTCGAAGTGTTCGAAGATTTTCACAAAACTTGATCACTGAACGAATTTCGACGTTGTCTGAGGATATCACAATAAACAACAAATCATCAATACTATAGAGGAATTGAATATCCAGTAAAATCAATAAAACATTCACACATTAGTTTTTTAGAGTTCAAGCAATCGTAATTATGACGATGGCCATTTTCATTTCATATGACATTGTGTTTTATTAAGATTTGAAATGATAATGAACAAATAAATGTGTCCCTCTCATTTTCAAACATCCGTTTTTATGGTAACTGCCAAAGTGTTACTATCTTCAATTTTTAAAATATTTTTCATTAAGAAAGTCTGACAAACGTACGTATTTTCAACTGCAATTTTTAATTACTTCCATTAAGAAAAATGAAAAGAAATCCCATAAACTTTTGGATCATATTCCCTCGTATACGAACTTTCTCAGCATGTACGACAGATCTGAAATAAATGATGTATGGTGCCTGCTGTATTTAGTGGCTGGAATCGGCACTCAGTCCTAGCCCTAGCCCAATTTAGGGTTATGATTTGAAAGAACTGAGTTTACACGACATGATGCTTTAGATAAAAAAGAAATGATTTTAAAATTTCCTTTGCACAGAAGTTCAATGTTCTGTGATAGAAAGCATCTTTTTATGTTGGATATTTTTATATAATTTGACAAAACAAAGTAAACCAAATTCGACATATGCCTACATCAAAAAGAACCTATAGAAAATAAACCCTGCATGTTTGTATTATTTGACAGCTTCAAGAGAGATTTTTAATGAAGTAAAATAGCTTTTGTTATTTAGCTTATTATATATATATATATATATATATATATATATATATATATATATATATATATATATATATATATATATATATATATATATATATATATTATACATAATGCAAATCAAACAACACCAAAAAGTTCATTAATTTTACTGTATAAAATATAAATAATATCAGTGGAGTAAGTGTCTATAAATTGGTGGGGACATCCTCGATAGTGTATATGGATAGAGATCCCGTGGATTGGCCAATGACGTAAATGAATGGAACGCCAGAGGAGCTATTTCCAGCATTCACAAATCTGAAACAATAACAAGAAATAGTGTTGGAAAGCTAAAATAAATAAACAAATAGATTAACAAATTAAATAAATTAACAGATAAATAAATAAATTAAAAGTAAATAAATAAACAAATAAATACGTGTAAATAAATATAAAAATAAATGACGATGATGATCATAGGTAAGTTAAATTCGCATTAGCAAGAATTTTATGAAAGTAATTTTCATGAGAAGTAAGGTTCGCATCAATTATAATAAATGTGACTCTAACTTCAAGTTGTAGAGACGGTACGTGAAATCTCTATTATACAAAAATACAATGCTATTGTACCGCAAATAAAGTAAGCAAAATGTAAGAAATTATCTTGAGAGATCAGCATTGCTCCTTTTTTAGCTGAACATACACAAAAGACTTTCAGTACAGCAAGGGACAAAATTGTGAACATACCCCATATCTGAGACCCCCTGATCACCGGCGACATCGTTATTATAGAGATTGCCCCAGATGTCGTTCGTGTCCCCCTCACGGTGAGCACTCTCAAAGTTGGCGCTGACGCCTCTCATGTTGAACACATACAGGACGCCGTCCCTGGAGCCCACGATGAGGACGGGGGTGGTTCCTACTGTACCCACAGCCATTGCATTGGGTTCGGGACCCTGTAAAAATTTACGCCAATTTATTACGATTTTTTTTTATATGAATAAAGTTCAAATAATTAACTTCAGGTATCCATTACACCAAAATGATAAAGTTTATTCATGTTTGCAATCATTCTTTTGAATCAGGGTCACCAAGAATCACCAAGACATACTTGTTTGCATGACGACCTTTTTTTTTTTTTTTTAAAAAATAATAATTGTTTCCAATTAATTTTCTAGTTTAAAAAAGGGAAAAAAACAACTCTCTTCAAGCTCTGAATTTATCGAAAAGAAATGGATATGATATTAAACATACACGTATTTCCCAAGTTTTTTTTTACAAATTAATATGAACATACCATATCATCTGATCTCTCGTCAACCTGCTGGGTTGGAGACTGATTAGCATTTGAACAATCTCCATTAAATGTACTAGGATACAACTGAGAAGCCCTCCTCTCCAAATCGTCCCCACTGTCAAACACGTGGGCCATGGTAGTAGAGTCCCACAAAGAAATGCCACGCCCACCAAACAGGTATACATCACCGATCTGATTAAAGATGTTGTATCCATCTACTCTACTCATGTATGTTCTGCCTATTTTTAGAAATAGAAAGTAAATTAAATCCCCTGAATAACATTATTGTGGAAGTCCAGCATAAATTGCCGATATATAAAAGATAGAAAGTCGGCTAAATTTTAAATAAATATACCCATTGTAAAAATATCAAAAATTATTTTTTTTAATTCTGACACTATATTTTCATATGAAATTTCTTTGAATGCATTAACTTTTTAAGGGGATGTCCGTAAAATTTAGAAGGTTTCCCTACATGGGAGAGTACTCACGCACCCAGCTGTTGGTTGTCTTGGATTTGTGCAAGAAGTGTCGGATCCAGTGTGGCGGTGTCAAGTTCCCCATCTATGTGTATATAAAAAATATATTGAAGTGTTTTTTAATTTTATTTAAAATCCCTTCTTATTTCCATTAACACTAAAATTAATCAATAAAAACAAGGAGAAAGGAATTATAACATTGTGTAGATTCTCACACTGCAAGAGATTATAGTAAAATATAGTCAAAAAGGAATTCCAATATGATTAAAGTCAGATACTTTGATCCGCTCACATAGACCTACCTGAGCGGATCAAAGAGCTGAATTTATTTTTGTTCGGATTCATGTCAGCGAGAATACGATGTACAACTAAGCAATTATAACAGCGTGAATATACCAGTAGGTAAAACTTAAATGAGACATGCTTCTTAAGATTAAAATTCATTACATGTCTCAACTAGAAAAAAATTAAGAATAATTTACCATTCCAAGCTACCCGTGCTCTGGCTGAATCACGGAAATCGTAACCCTGAACTTGTCTAGTGTAAGTTTTCATTTTTCCAGTGTCGGCGGAAATGACGTAACCTTTGCCGTCAATTACACCAAAACCAAGTTTTCCAGGTTGGTAAAATGAGTAGACTCTGTGATTACGCATGTTTGCAGCTATAAATACATACAAACTTTATTGAAGTTATATCAATTTTTAGTTTTAGCTTTACAGGTGTGTATTTGTAGATGCTCAAAACTCAAAAAACAGGCCGATTTGTTTGCTGATAGACATCTTCTTTCGATTCATTTTTTGTACAATAAAAAAGTTATGAAGTAATAAAGTATTCACACACAAAAAAATACTTAAAAGGAATATTTTGACACCACAGTACCATCATTCAAATCGCTGCCATCAAACATATAGCTTGTCCAGTTCTTGGCCCCCAAAGCATAAAGTTCAATGATCCTTTGGTTAAACAAGTCGATTTTCATTACAGCATTATTTTCCTGCAAAAGAAAGTTTCAAAATTCAAAAAAAAAAAAAGGATAATTTAAAAGATCTTCATGGACTTTTTTTATACCCCCCCCCCCAAAAAAAAAATAATACATACAGATATCGTACCTGACAAGAAACGAAAGCAAATCTGTCGTCATTGCTAATAGTAACCGATTCGGGCTCGAGATCCTGTGAAAAAGTGTTTACGATTCCAGCACTATGATCTCCACGGAAAACATATCGAACACCATTATTAATGTAATCTACAACTCTAAAGAGCGGGAAATGAAATCAGAAGTGAAATAGGAATATAAGCTTTAAAAAATATAAATCTGGTTTAAATAAATGTTCAGAGGCTGCTGAATTTAGACGTGTGTTTGATATCACTAACCTGCCATTAAGCTGGGTGAAATCCATATTGACTTCAATTGGGAATCCTTGATCGTTCCTGATAATTATTGTGATGGAGCCCTCGGGGTCGCTGAGAGTATTTGTAGTTGGATTAAGGGAAACACGACCTTCGTTGACAACCACTAGCCTTGTACAGTCACTGGTGTATTGCATATCCTTTGGATGAACACCAACTGCGTGTAATAGGCATGAAATCTTTTAATTTTCCTGATTTTATATGAAGCAATTGATATTTGCCTTAGTTAACAAGATTTTTATGCCCCGCCATGAATATGGCCAGGGCATATAGTGTTTGTCATGTCCGTCTTCCGTCTTTCCGGCTGTCCTTCCGTCGCGCTTTGCGTTTAGCTCAATTCAAAGCTCAGTTTCAAAGAAACTATCCAAGATATTTTCATCAAACTTCATATGCTGATAGATATTGATGAGAGCTATGCAACTGCATCAACATTTTTTGACCTTGACCTTTCCTTTGACCTTGACCTCACTTTTCCTAAATTAGTGTTTAAGTCAGTTTTAAAGATACCATTCAAGATAGTGTAATCAAACTTCATATGTTGATACATATTAATGAGAGCTACTCAACTGTATCAACATTTTGACCTTGACCTTTCCTTTGACCTTGACCTCACTTTTCTTAGAGAAGTGTTTAGCTCAGTTTTAAAGAAACCATTCAAGATATATTTATCAAACTTCATATGCTGATACATACTGATGAGAGCTGTTCACCTGCATCAACATTTTTTTACCTTGACATTTTCTTTGACCTTGACCTCACTTTTCTTAAATTAGTGATTAGCTCAATTTAAAGAAACTATTCAAGATATTTTTATCAAACATAATATGCTGATACATACTGATGAAAGCAATTCAACTGCATCAACATTTTTTGACTTTGACCTAACCTTTGACCTTGACCTCACTTATCTTAAATTAGTGTTTAGCCCATTTTAAAGAAACCATTCAGGATAATATTATCAATCATAATATGCTGATACATACTGATGAAAGCAATTCAACTGCATCAACATTTTTTGACCTTGATCTTTCCTTTGACCTTGAACTCACTTTTTTCAATTTGTATTTAACACAGTTTTAAAGAAACCATTCATAATATTTTTATCAAACTTCATATGCTAATACATACTGATGTAAGCTTTTCAACTGCATCAGCATTTTTTGACCTTGACCTTTCCTTTGACCTTAACTTCATTTATTTTAAATTATTGTTTAGCTCAGTTTTAAATAAACCATTCAAAATATTTTTATCAAACTTAATATGCTGATACGTATTTGTGAGAACTATTCAACTGCATCAAAAATGTTTGACCTTGAACCTTCTGTGACCTTAACCAAATTTTTCTTAAATTTGCATTTTGCATAGTTTTTGAAGAAACCATTTAAGATGTATTTATGTAAACTTATGCACTTATACATAATTTGGTTAGAATTTATCATCTATATCCAAATTTTTAGATTTCAATTTTAAAGAAACTATTCAAGATATTCTCATCAAATTTCGTACACTTATACAAATTTTCATGTTGCATCACTAATATACCCTCGGCGGGGCATTCATGTCCTATGGACATATTTCTAGTTTTTGTCCAATTATATACATGCATCTCATTGTAGTGATGATCATTAAATTAAGTTCATTAACTTTTTAAATTTGTAGAGTAAATTTTAGAATAAAAATTAAAGTACTGTATAGGGGATTAATTTCACGGGTTGTAATTTTCACGTTTTTCTCTAATCGGACACGATCGCGGTTTGTTGAATTCGCGGAATCGGTGTATAATAAAAGTTACCTCCCTTGTCTTTATCCGTGTAATCCATAGCTAATATAGCAAGAACGACATTTATCAGCGTTATGTATTCACTTCACGAAGAAGGTAGGTTTATATAAAATGATTAGATTTAGTAGTTAATGGATGATTAATCAAAACAAGTGCGGTTATTAATTTTTTTTTTTTTTTACTATAAACGTCAAATGACTTTCCTATATGCTTTTACGATGAGTGCATGTGTACACATCTTTCCGAAGGTATACACATCGCAGCGAAAAAAAAAACCCACTGGACGCTAATAATTGTATTAATGTAGGTAGACGTAATAACATCCTCCCATATCTTCAGCAAGTTCGATAGTTATTCGTATATTTTTTTAATCCAAAATTTCCATAAAAACTAATACGCATAATGCTAATGCAGGTAACAAATACACGTGGTAACGTTACGCACGGGTAATCAAAACCCATGACCCATGTGTTTTGATTGATGAAACATGTGTCTATTAAAACAGCTTTTTAACGATAAATACAGGTTATTAGCGCTTTTTTTAATTAAAGTAAAGCGTGATAGTTAAGATAATTAAATTACAAGTACTATTCGTAATTACTGAATGACCATGTATTGTACGTACACGTATATATACCTATCGTAGTCTATTCTCAAATTTCCAAATAAAACATTGAGGTTTAATATTTAAAACTTATTCACTGTTTCTTGAATTCACGGATTTATTAACACCGTGAATATAGCGAATATTAACACCGCGAGTTATTTTCCCCCTATACAGTAGTTTAGAATTCAGCTTGTTGAATTTGGATGTGTATTTTAATCATTATGCAATAACGTATTGATGCTTTGATTAGGGTCAAACTACGTATAGTCCCTTTTTTTTTTTTTTACAGATTCACGTTGCTTACCCGCCATTCTGCCTGTCCTGGTAAAAACACGGTCAGCCCTGTTATAGGGTGTGAACAACTCGACGTGGCCCTCAGCCACTGGATCAGCCGCCGACAAGGCCACTGCAATGGTGTCTGAGCATGCTTCCACAGCTGAGATCATACCATCCACGCTGTTATCGAACACGTGCGTCATCAATATGGATGGACTGGCAGGATTGTTCATATCAATGATGTGGAGGTATTTCTCTGATGATCTTGCAGCTGTTCAAAATATAGCGAAATTAGAGGGTTTACGACATGATGTAATGTAAAATCATTTCAATGCTGTTTTTAATATTATTAGCTTCAAGAAACTAATGTTTTAATAACTAAGGAATAATTAAATTCTAAGCATATTTTACAGTTAAATCATAATTCCTTATAGAAAATGTCGAAACGAAAACTTACTTTACTAGATTTTCAATAAAACAAACTTACAAGCAACATACAAAATTTTATCAACAGTGTGGTAAGCGGCCTTGTGGGCGGCATTTTGAAAGAGCCCATATCTTGGATTGGTTGGATCACCATTTACAAACTGGTAAGGGAATTTCATATAGGACTGTTTCTTCAGTTGGAGTACGGCATCAGTGTATGCGACCACGATCACAAAAAGGATGATAATCGATCTCATTGTAATTTCTGAACAAATACAAACAAGTATAAAAATTACTTTATAGCGGTCATATTAATTGAAGTATGTTTCCAAACACAACAGAAAAATTGAAGGTTCTGGTTGTCCATACTACACACAATATATTCATTTTATTGGAGTATAGTAGTACTGTGTATATATATTTTTCTCAAAAGAATGGACAATGAAGGTTTTAAGTTTCAATGATTCGAGCTACGAACCTAAAAATTTAGTTTAGTGTAGTGCCGAAGTAGGTCTCAAGTACTGTACATAGGGCCTTTTTCAAATTCTGTTATTTTCGCTCTTTAACAATTTGTCCTGTTTTATACAAAATTGTGTAAAAAAAAAAAAGATAATACTGTATCATTTGCATTGATCCCTTTTTTTAATTTGCCCACTTTCTAAAAGTTCGAAGATAAAACGGGGCTGAACATTTCACAGTGTTCTGTATGTTTTATCCCAGGAATATGAACGCTAATAATGTTGAAACTTTCTAACAGGATTCAGACCAGGGTTTATACAAGGTATTTATTTGAAATTTTGTATACTCTTTAACTCTTAATTATTTTAATCTTTTATAGATCCTACCAATGCTGTTTCTAAAGAATTCTTTCTACTGTCAAATTCTTGAACCATACTCATTTTGTTCCTTCAGACACCCTTTTTACAGGTGAATTCTTGAAACATTTCTTCATGTTGTAGAGGTTAGCTTGTTTAATTTATATTTTTATTTATTTTGTTTTTCCACCTATACCTACACAAATACTACATTTGTATTGTTTAATTCATGTTCATTACAAATACGCTTCCATGTAAAATAATAATTACTAACTCTTTTTCATGTTAAAAAACGAAACAACAAGTGAACAACGTTTCTATGCAGTACTGTTTTTAATGCACATAACAGTTCACTATGCTTTATGTGTATTTAAAAAAACAATAGTGTTAGAGGAAGGTCGCATGTATTGATATTTTTAAAGGACAATGAACAACTTATTTTAAAAAAAGTTGATGAAGACGTGAACTTGAATGAAACGACAATAAGCAAGGTTGATGTTCACATACTGGATCAGTGTGAAGACGATAGAAAAAAAGCTGGGAAACATACTATATTTGTAATAACAAAATCTGGAGCAAAATAAAATAATAAGCAAATAGATACAAAAGTGCATGTTAAGGTAATGTGATGAAGGAAAATAATGAATTTCTGGGAAAAAGAAACCAGCATCAGACCATTCATCAGCTTTGAAATTCGTAGAACATTTGGACAGTGATTGTCAAGAAGGAGAAGTGATTGTCAAGAAGAAGAAGTGATTGTCAAGAAGCTAGCTAGCTATTCAAATGAAATGAGTACATGTTTATGAACTATTTTCAAGTTGTGAAAGATCACCCCAATGGCATTACATCTTCTTGACTCTGAAACTCCTGATCGGATTAGGAAACATCCATAATGTCAGAAAAAGAAAACAAACGCCAAGCTGATCCAAAACAAGGGAAAAGCTGCCTGGTGAAACAAGGCTTCAGACAAAGAGGAGAGTCACAAACGAACAACAACACAATCAACACAGACAAACAATCAAAATAAACCAAATGGTGAAAAGTCGGGGAGAGAGAGAGGAGGAGAAAGAGAATGACAAAGGGTAATGTATAATGATAGGGAGACAAGTACACTATTGCTATTTACAATGGGTATATGATTTTAGAATTAATCGTGGTATTAAACCAATATCAGTTCCACATGCATGATGCAGATAGAAAACAGTCTGCATGATCCATAGCAAATATATATTTGTGGAATTTGTAGAGATTTGTGAATAAGACTGCTACATTTATTGAGTTTTCTTTCCTCATTTCAAAATTCTGTTACCATGCAAACATTAATGTAAAATATTCTTTGTATGACCTTTTCTGTAGATTTTTCCATTCTCAGTTTCCAAGAATGTCGCATTCAACTATTAATTGAATCTTCAAGAAAATCTGGAAATGTTGCATAAAATGCTTTAAAGCCGTAGGTTATAGGTTCTTGGATAGACAGAAATTTATAATGCATGCAAATGTATAAAATTGCAGCAGCTATACGCATAACAAATCTACTACATACTCATCAAACGAAGTAATGTATAGTGGTAAAAATCAGGGTTTTTTTTCGCTTAATATTTATAGACAAGGAGGAAAATTTCACTAATATAATACGTAGTTTTTCACATGATAATACATCGGACATTTAAATGATTTTCTAGTTTGGCTCAAATCACCATAAACCCCGAATTTCTTTTTTTCACTTTGTTTTGCATGTACATTTTTTGTCCAGCAAGATTGGAAGTTTTTTTATGCTACAAGGGGGTGAGACTCACTAAAAGCAAGGGTTTTCACTTTTTCCTCTTTTCGCAAGCGTACGCTTTACCAGCACAAGAAGTTGATCGCAACAATGTTATTGGAAATGTTATCTGGAAAGTACGATTGCAAATGTTCTGAATTGTTCACAGAATGCCATATCTAGACTGTCGGAAAGGTATCTTAGGCAAGGATCCACACGTGATTGTCTACGCACGGGCCGACCAAGGGTGACATCAGCAGCCCAGGACCGCTACCTGCGCTGACGCAATTTTAAAGACAGAATTGCAACTGCAACATCTTCAGCTTCTTTGATCCATGAGCGCAACGGTTCAAAACGTTTGAGGTAGGCAGGACTTAGAGCAAAACGACCAGTTATGACAGTGGTTATAAAAGACTCCAATGATTTCAAAGACATAGAATATGCCTATAACAACGACGGAGAAGAGTTTGGTTCAGTGAAGAATGGAGATTTTTTTTCTTCAGCATGTTGATTGAGGGGCAAGGGTGTACAGATGCCGTACAGAGGGTTTCGCTGCCAACTGCATAAACAAGTTGATAGATTCTGTGGGGGTAGTGTAATAATGTAGCTTGAATAGTGTACACCGGCAGGACAGACCTGGTACAAGTTCAAGGTACACTTACGGCCCCAGCGATTATGTTATGAAATTTTGCAACATTTTGTGCTTCCTGTGATGCAGCGAAATGGCGCAATTTTTCAGCAAGATAACGCACGACCACACACTGCAAAATTTCTACAAGCCACAACATTGTAGTGCTACCATGATCATCCAAATCTCGAGATCTGAATCCCATAGAGGATCTTTGGGATGAACTGGACAGGGGAGTGAGGCAGAGACAACCACAATCACGGATTTTCAACAACTGGCTCGGGCTTACAGGACGAACAATATTTCTCAGCAGTTTATCAGAAGTTTAATTGCATGATTGGGAGGGCGCTTTCTGTTCTTGAGGTTCGCGAAAGAGATACTGACTTATATCAACCTTGGCCTTTGCTAGTGATTAAGACAGTTGATGGAAAGTATTATTTTAACACCATATATCTTGTGAAAATAAATATAATGATTAAAAAATGTAATTCCTTTGAAAGCTTCTTTTAAAATTAAGTAGCCAATACTCCATAATTATGCGTTTCTTATTTTGAAGAGTATATTACTCATGTGAGAAAATTCACTCATATGCAGTTTATCCCCATGTGTGTCCATTGTCGTCGTATAACTGGCGTAAGAGATGGGATCTCTTTTCTGCAAAGTAATTGTCTTCTTTGAAATATACAGAAAGTCATTTACCTTAATACGTTAGGTTTTTTTAATTAAAATTTCAAAAAAAGAAGAAGAAAATTCTAAATATATTTTTTTTTCATTAAAAGAGGAATTCATTGACTTTGCATCCATAATTGATTAAAATGTTATCTAAAAATTGGTTTAAGTTAATGTAGTTTCTTTTAATATTTTGGTTTTATTTGTTTTTGTTTTGATCTTTTTTTAATCTTAATTTTTGGACATACTTCTTCGTCCAACAGATATTTATTAAGAATGAAACACAACTGAACGTGTACGGTTATGCTTGTTGAAACATATGCTGAATTCAAAAAGTAAAACTCCATTACATATTATTTAAGGTGAATTTGGATGCTTTCCTTTAAGCATCATTATCTATATTTACTAGAATCATATCATAATAGGGAAGGTGTGTATGGAAAAGAAAATGGTGTCTAGACGTCTCTACAAACGTAGTTACATAAACAATATAATAAGGGCAAAATGACAAACTCCTGAATATCTTTTGTGCAGAACGTATTTAACGAGGTTCGCTCCTGAGCTTTTGAGCAGATTTATATCTTAACCTATATTTCAAAAATTCTGCATAAAGTATCAATTCTTTCAATAAATTTGGATTCTACAATGCCAATTAAACTGTATTCAGTTAAAACTCCATGATTAAATTCCATACTAAGAGCATTAAGTGAGGAACTATATTTTGTGGCGGAAGGTTTTTTTTAGAAGAAAATGATCATTTTTTTCTCTTTCAAAGTATTTAAAGTATGTTAATTTTGGATTCCTATTTTTCCATGCAGCCTGCACACAGAGTTATTTTGTACAGTGAACTGTTTTATACTGGTCCTAAATTATATATCAAATAAACTGTCATGAATTCTATCATCATATTTCATAAATATAGCAAATATAATGTGAAAATCAAGAAAAAAATATCCCTATTTAAAGCTTAAAATTAGCACTATTTTAGTAATATCTAAAAATTAACATCACAGACCCCCACTTTTTATTTTATTTTCTGAATATATAAGATACTTTTAACCATTCTTCTTAAATTCAGTAAAATGTTATTACTTTTAAATCATTTTTTGCTTGTTAATTTTTTAATGCCAGAAAAATGAAATTTTTTGAGTGCAAAAAGGTCAAATAATTGAACGTGTGGAGTAATTTGAAAATTTTTTCGTTGTCACAAATTTTAATGTGTCTATTCAAGATGAAATAAGGCTGTGTTTGTTCCCATAATTTACTTGAATAAAAGATTTTGGAGGAAAAACTATAAAAATTGATTTATGTGTAAGACGTATTTACAGTGCAAATAGGTCAAACTAAATGCTCTGTAGCGCCAAAGGAAGTGCATTGACCCCCATTTTTTTGTTTTGATTTTTAATTAAGCTATGTGTGTAAATTCTAAAAATTACTTGATAAAAAATTCTCATTACTTTTGATGGCAGGATCCAACCTCCTTAACTTAAGTTTATTTAACTTATGGTATGACCAAACAAATGTAAGAAAATTTCTGTAACAAAGATTGACGCATCATTATGTATGAAGGTGAATTGTGAAGTTCATGAGTCTTTAAAATGTATTAATTGTAGAATTTTAAAAAGTTTAGAGTCTAAATAATATTTGAATATTTTCATTTAAAGTGTGATAACTCATTTATCAGATAAAAGATAATACTATATTTCACAATGTTTGTGTACCATTTACCTGGTTTAGTGTGAATAAAATGAAAAGTATTATCAAAAAATGTCAGCTAAAGTTTTTAGTTTGTTCGAATCATTGTTGTAATTCTATATTGGTTTAAAATTTAATCTTTATTTCACCCATACTGTATATCCAACAAGTTAACTTAGGAAAAAGACCTATCCCTTTGTCTTAAAATGTATTGTTATATTACTTAACGAAAGCAACTTGGGTTTTTACTGCATGAAAAACTAAAACACAAAAGGCTTGGACTATATTGTCTTAGAGATCTTGATCACCTGTGAATTTTCCCAGGATGATCACGAAATCACGATTGGAACTGGTCGACATTAGATATAGATAGTACTTTAATGACCAAGATATAGAATCACGACTAAGAAGTACAATATGTGGTTATATGTAATAATATCACACGTGCAATACTGAAAAGATCATAATAGCTTAATATTGAAACATAAACCCCCAAAAATTCACCAGATACAAAAAACGTGTTTAAGCACATGAATTTTTTTATTTCTTATTTTTAAACATATTCTTCAGATGATTTGTAAAAAAGAAAAATATCTAAATTAATACTTACTGTTCTTTGAGTTGAATAAATAAACTTTATATACAAAAAAGAAAATAGTCTGTCTCACCTTTACTCTCTAACCCTTATTTATTATGTGCTGGTCTATCTATCAGTGGTGAGTATTTAAGCGTGAGGGTCATAGGTCAAAGATACAGTAAAAGTCCGTAATTGTGTCAAATTAGTTCAATTTCATAAGACTTGTATAACAATATTATATGAACTTTTTCATTCGTGGGCTGTATGAAAGGAAAATAATGAGGGTCGATTGAATAACCATGCCTATCAGTTTAATGCGGGGAAAGACCTTTTCCACCTTGTTAGTTGAACTTAATATTGGTCATTGGCGTAAGTTTGCATGACCTTTACCAAAGTATATGTGGTCAGTAAGCATCAAGCTGAACATCCTATTTTCTTCATTTTAAGGAAAAACTGATGTAGCAAAAAGGACAGAAACTGCTAAAATAAGTTCCTCTTATCGGTAATCGTTCCTTTTAACTTGCTAACAATCCGCTATTGTTTGGCAGCCATTGTATGGCGGTTATTGTATGGCAGTGGTGAGAAAATAACTCGTTATAAGCAGGTATGCGTTATTTGAGTGTTTGTCGTAAACGTGTTTTCTTGTATAACATTCTTGTAGCAAACATCACCGCATATTGTGTGTCCAACACATTTAATCAATAGCATTTAAATTTTAAAGATTTAATATATTGAATAATGATGATACGTGTATAATATTTTCAACTTTTATCAAAAGTAAATCAAAAAAGTTTTTGTGATTCAAGGGAAATATATTCTAATAGGAGATTTGTACTGTAAAATATTAGTTTCAAGCAAGTCGGTCATCACTTTTCCCCAGATGATCCTCGGTCTTGGAATTCCTGAAAAGTACCTAGGATTAACGTCCAATTTATCACAGCTAGATTAGACACAGGTACCACAGGCGGAATGCATGAAAACGGTACTTCTTTAGACATGTACATGTTCTTTGTACTTGATGTATTTAAAATATTCTTAAATTGTATGTCCTCCAGATATATAAAGTTGTAGATTTAGTCATATTTCAAATTTTTTCCTGGTCAGGTGAAACTGTTTTCAAACGTTACATTGAGGATGAATTCAAAACATCTCCTAGAAACAGACAGAGGGACCGTGTGGAGGGACCATGTAAACATTCTCAATATATCTAAGGGTTCTTCTTTACTTCCTTTCAATCAAAGAACCACATGAGATTTGATAATTAATAAGAACTTTATAACGTGGCTTATTTTAATTTGTGTCTGGTACATCTGCAATATTATAAATAGAAAGTGACCCAGTGGCTCTTCCGATGACGTAAATATATGGGACTCCTGTAGCACTGTGTACAGCATCAACGAATCTGAAAAGCCAGAAAGATCATTAACTTAAAGTCTAAAGTAAAACATTATTTCAATTTTCTAATGACATTGTCAAAAGTAATTAAAATTAAATCTTTAAAATTTAATAATTTTTTCGTTCCTCCTCATATTAAAAACAGACGCAACCAAAACATTTTTGATACTTCAAGATTCTTCATGATTTGCAAATGAACCAAGTCAAAGGAGGAAAATGGTAAAAATTTGGCCAAATATCCTCTGTTTGCACTACTTAGTACTAACACCCCTTCTTAGGACTCTTATTTCCTAACTCAGTTTTCCACAATTAATAAACACCTACCCGATGTGAGATATCTGTTGATCTCCCGCGGTGTTCGTGTTGTAAAGATTGTTCCAAATGTCGTTCGTGCTTCCTTCACGGTGGGCACTCTCAAAGTTGGCGCTGACGCCTCTCATATTAAAGACATACAGGACTCCATTCCTAGAGCCCGTGACGAGAACCGGCGTGGTTCCTACTGTTCCTACGGCCAAAGCACTGGGCTCGGGGCCCTTCATCAAATAAAGATATTAATCTTTAACTGTTGATCTGAATTAATTCGAATTCCTTTATGAAATGTTCCATGAACGTTATAATTAAAACAGCCAGCACAACTGAAGAAATTAAATATACGAAATTAATATATAAGCGATAGGGTTTGGAGTGTTATATTGTTATGCGTATCGCTGTTGCTAAACGAAAAATGTTACAAAAAAGATTTTTCAAAGAAAAAAAATGCGGTTTTATTGTTTACTGTTTAGTATGAGCTGAGCTGAGATTTAGTTGTACATTTCATTTAATTTGAGTTGAGCTGTTGCACTGCTTCTAACAGAAACATTGGTCTTAAAGTAAGTTCAAGATGAACTATGTCTTGGGATCATATTATCCAAGGCCCTGAGCTGGACCTCAACTGTAAATTTTATATTTTTTTGTGAATATATCATACCATATCATCTGATCTCTCGTCAACCTGCTGGGTTGGAGACTGATTAGCATTTGAACAATCTCCATTAAAAGTACTAGGATACAACTGAGAGGCCCTCCTCTCCAAATCGTCCCCACTGTCAAACACGTGGGCCATGGTCGTAGAGTCCCACAAAGAAATTCCACGCCCACCAAACAGGAAAACGTCGCCGATTTTGTTAAAGATGTTGTATCCATCTTGATTGCTCATGAATGCCCTTCCTACAGTGAAATATAAATGCAAAATTAAACTGCATTACAGTATTGAAATTGCAGAATATGAACCCAGCAGTATAGAATTTAGATATCTTGATGTCATACTCACGTACCTAGTTGTTGATTGTCCTGTATTTGTTGTACTAGAGTAGGGTTCATTGTAGCGGTGTCCAAATCTCCATCTATAATGATGGTGATTATATAAAATATCATATTTAATCTTTACATCTTATTAAAAACCGGTAAAACGGTGTGTATTGTTTTCCTCTTCTGACTCAATACTGGGTAAGACTTCTTTCTGACTGAATACCGGTAAAACTGCCTGCAGTGTTAACTGATTAAACATCGGTTATCTGATTGAATACCGGTAACATTTCTACTCATGATATAATACCGTTAAGACGAAGTGCATTGTTTTCTAATTGTAATTTATAAATTACCATTAGAAAACAATGCACTTCGTCTTAACGGTATTAGGTGATGTGCAAAATAAAATTAATGAACTAGTCGATTTTTAAACTCACGTATTATACACATGTTGTTAGAACAAAACATGGAAAAATCACATTAGACCGTTTCCTTTTCTTTTAAGATAGGGTAGGGACAAAATCTTACCAGTATAGGCGACCCGAGCTCTTACGAAATCGTTGAAGGCATATCCGTGGTCTCTAACAGTATAAGACGTAGTTCTGCCTGTGTCGGCGGAAACCACGTAACCTTTGCCGTCTATCACACCAAATGCAAGTTTTCCAGGTTGGTAAAAGGAGTAGACGGTGTGATGGCGCATGTTAGCGGCTGCATTTAAAAAAAACATACTGATATACCTTTGGTATGCACATGAATGTATACAAACCTTAAAGTAACAGGTGATTTAATAAATCTTGGATTTCTTGTTGTTTTGAAAAACTAGTGGCATATTAATTGGTTATGACATTGATTTGAAAATTTCCAATAGAGACCAAACTACTCCAAGCAAGAAAACATATTTAATAACATACCGTCATTCATATCGCTAGCATCCATTGTATAGCTGGTCCAGTTCTTGGCCCCCAGAGAATAAAGTTCTATAATCCTCTGATTGAACATGTCAATCTTCAATATGGCGTTATTTCTCTAAAAAGAAGTTTAACAGTCTTTGAAAAATAAAGCCCTACTGAATTTCCGTAATATATTCTTATACTACTAATAATAATACCTGACATGAGACGAAAGCAAATCTGTCGTCATTGCTTATGGTAACTGATTCAGGCTCGAGATCCTGTGAGAAAGTGTTGATAATTCCTGCACTGTGATCTCCGCGGAAAACATATCGAACACCATTATTTATGTAATCTGTAACTCTGTAAAGAAATAAACAAACATATGGTATTTCATGTACCTTGGTTTAATATATAATTTTTATAAAAAGTTAATTTAATAACCCTTTCCAACCTTTTTTTTTAATCTAATTTGAATTAAATACATCTCGGGCACGTCCATCAGTCCGTTTGTTTTCAGAATACGTTAAGTTTGACACTGTAAACTTACTTTCATTGAGTCAAGTGCTGACTGACGTTTTTCATACTAATCGTTAGGCCATTATTTATACACTAAACTGTCTACTGATTTTTTTCTTTTTTTTCGATCATGATAAGGAGCACACGGGGATGTGACCGGTCGGCAGGGGATGAACCTGATCCCACCCCTCAGTTTTGAGGTCCGTGTTTGGTCTGCTCCAAATTTGTATTGTTTCATTGGACTTTCGAGAATGAATACTGATTGTTATCTTCATATTTCATCTGAAGTGTTAGTGTGCATTTGTAAAAATTATTTTTTTGGCTGAATCTCAAAATCCAAGGTCAATCTTGAAGTTGGGCTTATATAAAATGATTGTTTAAAGTCTTTAGTAAATATTGTTATTGTCCTATTTTTCATTGTCTAAATGTTGACTTCAGGTACTTGTTTGTCATATGTAATATATGGATATAACGAACAGTATTCAAGCTCAAAAGTCCATTAAACATTACGAAATAGGAGCAGAGCAAACATGGACCTCCAAAACATCAGAGGTGGGATCAGGTGCAATGGAGGAGTGAGCATCCCCTGCCGACCGGTCACACCCACCCTGTGCTCCTTGTCATGATCGGGAAATAACGGGAAAATCCGTCGACAATTCAGTGTGTAAATAATGGCCTAACAATTAGTATGAAAAACGTCAGTCAGCATTTGACTCAATGATCAATTGTATTTGCTGACAAGGCCATTGTATCGACCATAAAACTTACGAAATGATGACTTTAAACGAGACAGCTGATATTCTTGTTTCATCAACTTGTTTGTCAATAATTTACCTTTTTTTAGAAATTGTACATACGTAGAGCATGCTCTTGCGTATCGAATCAACTGAGAGATATAAACCCCGTATGCAGGTGATGAAGGTATATTGCTGCATAAGTAAGGGAAGCTGACGATTGAAAAGTTAAAGTCATCACTTTCATCATAAAGCTTGGTTGTTAGATTACCATTAAAGTCTTTTTCAAGTAATATATCCAAATATGAAACAGATGTGTCAGACTCTGTGGTATCTTTTATCTCAAGCTCATCGGGATATATCGTATCGACATAAGAATGGAAATAACCATTGTTAATTGACAATACGTCGTCGATATATCTAAATATCGAGTTGAAGGCCACAGCAGGTGTATTCTTCTCTTCACGTACAAGATTTTGGACAAATTCTGCTTCATATGAAGCATATATTTTACGACAAAATGAAAAAACTGGTTTCTTTTTCAGCTATTTACATTTTTATTGAAAACGAAATCAATCTTATTTAATCTTGCCTTAAATACCAATGCTTATTAGCATGAAATGAAATCGGAAGTGATCTATGATATCTATGATATTTTTTTTTTCATTTTACAGAACATTTCAGATAACTTTTCAACCAAACATGCTTTTGTGAACTAATTAAATCCATATTTTTGCAAATACAGATTGCTACTTAACAAAGATACAAACAAAAGGTCTGATAAATTTGTATACTTTATTATAAATTTTATTCTTGATTGATTTTTTTTTTCTAGTATTTGTCTAAGATCTAAGGATTTAAGATCCCTATATCTCAAAAATATTTTTGATACCGATAGGTCCTAAATGGGCTTCCGTATTTGTACACTAAGGTGGCTGGGAAACAATATACCGATTGAAACTCATCCTTAAACATTTACTGTGGAATGAAAGTCTTTGCAAAAGACATGCTTACAGTTTATAAAAAGACATATGGAAGAACCTACAGCGGAAATGGTACACAATTCCAAAATACTGTAAAATTTTTATTCATAGCAAACCTTAAGCAACATTTAGGCCGTTCTGCGTACACAAAACGTATTTTCGAATTTGTTATAATGAATTTTATTCGTTGTAATAATTTCCTTGAATTCCTTATAACGAATTTAATCTGTTATAACAAATTTATTGAATTCGTTATACCAAATTCAATAACTTGTTATTACGAATTAAATTCGTTATAACAAATTGGACAATTCGTTATATCGAATTCAAAAATATTTTTGTTAGGTCCTAAATATGCTTACGTGTACAAAATACATTGTGGTGAAGAAACTCTTTTTGTGCTTTTCAGGAGATACTGAAAGATGTAAGTACCATATGTGATTGTTGAGTACATGTATTTCCAAGAAAACGACTATTTAGCGGCATGTATTAACTCAAAAAGCACAAGAGAGTTTTTCAAACGAAATGTAGTTTCTACACTTTAGTCCTGATTAAAACCCAAATAAAAATGAGTAAAATAAAGAAGAGTCGGTCTTATTCATAAAATACCTACAACTTATAAATTAAAAAATATGTGAAAGACACTCTAGCAACACGGTGCTCAATTCCAAAAACGTTCCGTGAAAACTTATTTCATAAGGTGCCTTACTGCATTAAGGAGGTTATAAGGGGGAGCAACTAAGTACAATAACGTAAATTATCAGTCATGAATATAAAAAGAACATTCATAAAGTTGTAAAATTTATCATATCTTTTTTTTTCGTTTGTATAGATATTGCAACATAATTTACAAAAGCATATAAGGTTGAAACTTTTTTGAGCTGTTAGTACCTATAACAATTGAAGTTAATAGAAGAATTTAACTACAACTTGGGTAGAAAAACATGATTTTTTCCCAAATGCATATATACCTAATTTTTTTTAGATATTAAAATATACTTATTAATCTTTTTCGATTAGAAAATGCATAATTGTTTATTTACGTTTCCTGATAATGTAATTGAAATTTTCTAATTTTCCCTTTACAGTATGATTAACTATAGTGATGAACTTTGAAGAAATATCATTGGTTTATTCAAATTAGATTTATTTTGTGAATTCAGTGTCATTCTTGTGAGCATTTTCAATTACTTAAACTTTGATTTTTAGAACCTGAGTTTATACTGGGGGGGGGGGGGGGGTATATATTCGATATAATAATTTGTAATCTTAATCATTCTGAGAGAAAATTATTATTGAGAATGAACAAACTATAGAATCCATTTTCGGAAGAGGTCCTGATCATACCATGCATCAGCTTTGAAGCTCAGTGAACATTCGGACTATGGTCGAATCAAGTATACAAGAAGCTAGCTATTCCAGTGAAATTGAGTAAGTGAACGATTTACAAGTTTTGAGTGGAAAAGCCACAACGCAAACAACTATCAAACGAATGGAAAAGTAGGAAAATAATTACCACAAAATTAGTCATGAGTCTTGGATCAAAGAGAGAGAGAGAGAGAGAGATGAAAGGTCTATCACATTGTAAAGAAAGGGAAACATTAAAACCCAGAAAATTCCTTCTATTCCCTTTTTGGCAATTAAGAATGATCGATGATTTTTTTTATTAACAAACACGATATTAAACATCTTTTAAGTTCCATGACGCAGATAGAGAATATATAGTCTTTGCATAATCCATGGCCAAAATGTCCGCTTAAGTGTCTTTTTGAGGAATTTATACTGAATTATGGTTAAGACTGTTACATTTGGTATAATGTTAATATTTACAATTAATTTTAATTTGAATGTTTCTTTCCTCATTGTATTAAAATTCTGGAATAAAAATATACATGTTTAAATTCTTTTGCATGACCCTCCTACAGATATTTTAGATTTCTCAAATTCCCTAGCGAAAGCGCATTCAACCATTATTTAGTCTTAAACAAAAAAAGGAAATGTTCTTACTATGGAAAAGTCATGAAGTCGTAAGCTCAATGCTACTCAATGCGTCAAACACGTTACAGAAAACTTCTCTACAATCAATAATTTTTCTTTAGTCTTCGTCACATGTCAATTAACTTATTTATAAATATACCGGTATTCATGTGTGTAAAATGTCCACATAACAGGGCATTAGACATTGCATGTTTTGTGTCTCATGTGTAAAGGTCAATTTAATCCCCAAACTACCTTTCTATTGTATCCACTTATCAAAATCTAAAAAAAAAAAAAAAAAGGAATAGCGTGAAACTTCACAGAATCTAAGCAGCTGCTCTTGTTTACTTGTTTTAAACTTAATTTGATGCCATATGAGAAGTTTAAAAGATGTTTAATATTATTTCGTTATCTCGGAATGATATTCATTTCATGTATTTATTTAAAATAACAAATTAGTTAATAGGACAAATATTTTTGGTGAAATGTTTATAGGATAAAAAATTAATTATTAATCTCGACTTTCAGGAAAGAATGCAATGACGTGAACCTCAGTTCTTGACGTAGCATGCACCAATGAAACTCAATGAAATTTACCCAACTTTTACAAATGCTAAAATTACATGTTCTAAGCCCAGAACATCAGCATACATCACTTTAAGAAAAAAAAGTGTATAAGCACTGGCTACTGACAATCCAAACAAATTGAAATTGAAGAAACATGAGTGGTGGAGGGAATGGAGTCTGCCATTTATTATGAGGATATTATTGCCATTACTGGTTTTACTTAAATATTAAATAAGTACAAATTCTAAATCCTCATACAGTTATTTAGATGTTGGAATATTCTGTTCTATGAAAATCTGTAAATGTTTCAGAACAGGAAAAGTAGCTTTAAAAGAGAATGTGTGCAATGCTTCTCTTTTTGTTTCAGAGTATTCAGAATGAAGTAAGATTGAACTATTAAGAAAATTGCCAGTATACACAGCTAAAAATAGGTAACCCACAGAAGCTGTCGTATGTTCTTTGCTTTGAACAAAAGAATTAATTTTTTGTTGTTGAAAAATTAAATCTCCTCAACTACTTTTTTTAACAGAGACAATGGATGTTTTCAAGAGAAAAGAAAACTTATTGTTTATTTTAGTTTATACATGTTTTAGATAAAATAAATAATTTATACATGTACCTGCCATTAAGCTGAGTAAAATCCATGTTAACCTCCACGGGGAATCCCTGATCATTTCTGATGATGATGGTCACCGAACCCTCGGGATCCGACAGAGTGCTTGATATGGGGTTAATGGAAACAGAACCCGCATTGGCTACAACCAGTCTTGTACAATCGCTAGTGTGCACAATATCTCTGGGATTTACTCCAACTGGTCAGAAATGTCAAACAAAAAATTTATTTCTGATCACTGCTAAAGTAGTTTTCTTTCTTAGCTAAAGTTACGGTTATTTTTAAAATTACAAAATTTATCTTCAGATCTCATGAATAAAAAGACAATCGAGTTAAAATTAGTTTTCAAGGTGACCTTTTCAGTACTATCCACAGATGGGTGCAAAACATTAGGAACAAGATGTGTTTGTGAAACACTGATTCCCCCGTATGGCAGCTTATGGCGAAGGTTAAAGTTTCTCAAATGCAAGTCAAAATCCAGGACAAAAGATAAAAAATGTTAAATTTGAAAGCCCTAGCACCAACCATTCAAAAGTTATGGCCAAGGTTAAAGTTTTCGAAAGTAGGTCAAACTCCTATGTCAAGGTCAAAGGGTCAAAGTGGTTGGTATCCAAAGAGAGGTCTTGTCACAAGGATTACATGTGTGAAGAATGAAAGCCCAAGCACCAGCCATTCAAAAATTATGGCCAAGGTTAAAGTTTTCAAAAGTAGGTCAAACTCCTATGTCAAGGTCAAAGGGTCAAAGTGGTTGGTATTCAAAGGAAGGTGATGTCACAAGGATTACACATGTGAAGTATGAAAGCCCTAGCATCAAACATTCAAAAGTTATGGCCAAGGTTAAAGTTTTTCAAAAGTAGGTCAAACTCCAAGGTCAAAAGGTCAAAGTGGTTGGTATCCAAAGGAAGACCTTGTAACAAAGAATACACATGTGAAGTTTGAAACCCCAAGCAGCAACTGTTCAGAAGTTATGGCCAAGGTTAAAGTCTCATAAAATTTTTGCAAAAGTGGGTCAAACTCCAAGGTCAAGGTCAAAAGGTCAAATATGATGGTACCCAAAGAAAGGTCTTGTCACAAGGAATACACATGTAAAATATGAAAGTCATAGCTCCAGCCAATCAAAAATTATGGGCAAGGTTAAAGTTGACAACAGACAGACAAACAGACAAACAGATAAACAGACAAACAGACAGACAGGACAAAAACAATATGCCCCCGGGATCTTTCGATCCGGGGGCATAAAAATCCATTCTCGTATGAAAACGATTCAAAAGACGATTTAAAACATGGTCGTTTCCTCGTCTAAACGATGTTAAGTGTCAATGTTCGAGGTCTTTCAATGATAAATATTCGAGATATTTTTTTCTTCATCAACATGCTTGTATAATGCAGGAATCTTGAAATGCTTATCGAAATTAGTGATGAACTTGAGAAGGATTTTTAAACAGCATGATCCATTTTTTTGCATTAAATCACGTCACAAAAATGCCAAATTACGAAGCATGTTACTTTAGATATTGCTACTATTAACCTTTGACTCATTAAATAATTAGAACCTTTTGGTATGAAGTTTAATTATCAAATATTGCACATCTTAAAATTATAGAGAAAATTCAAACTGTGGAATTTACGATAAAAAGAATACTAAGTTGTTTAAGGTCATAAACAACTTAAACAACCCACTTAACTACTATAAAAACTAAAGAAACACATAAGTGTTTTATTCCTCTGCACTCTAGAAAGATTTCGACTTTCTCATACTCTCACTGTTTTTACACTTATTGGGATTTCAACTTTACCAACACTCACTTACTTTACACTTCATTTTGATTTCAACTTTTCCTACACTCTCCTTTTGCTTTCAACTTTTCCTACACTATCACTTTCTCTACACTTCATTTGCATTTCAACTTTACTAACACTCTCACTCACCTGTTATTCTTCCAATTCTAGTAAAAACTCGGTCAGCTCTATTATAGGGAGTAAAGAGCTCCACGTGACCCTCAGACACGGGATCCGCAGCAGCTAAGGAAACGGCAATGGTGTCTGAGCATGCGTCTACTGCTGTGATCATACCATCCACGCTGTTATCGAACACGTGCGTCATCAAGATGGATGGACTGGCAGGATTGTTCATATCAATGATGTGGAGGTATTTTTCTGAGGATCTTGCAGCTGTTCAAAAAGGTCATAAATATAGGATATCCCATGTTTTGTGGTTGGACATGATATTTTTTATCCAATGAGTTGAGTGTTTTTATCTCCGAGCCTTGGCGAGAGAATAAAAACACACAACGAGTGGGATAAAAATAATCATATCTAACCAGTAACCACAAATAATGGCAGATTCTTTTTATCACATGTTTCAGATATAGCTATTTCATATTTTAAACTGATTTATATAAAAAAATACAAATCCACAATATATCACACGATCAAATTCACGCAAAAACCATTGTGATGTCACAGCCATGGATATGAAAACATAATACTATATCTTATGAGCTATATCCAATGTATAAAGGAGTAAACATGTGATAAAAATGTTTACAGATACCACCATGATTTGTTATTCAATTTATGTCATAAAAATAACCCTTTCACGTGATTTAATTGGGGAATAAGAAGGTAATAAGACGTAAATTGCTTGTGCCTCGATTATCACTTTTCTCAAAACGTAATTGCAAATCCGTTTTATTACCGAAAGTCAAACATTCCATATAGAAAGATGGAATGAATTCAATTTGACACAAAGACACCGGAATGTGACTTTCGGTTACAAATTAAACAGTCTTTAATAGCCCTTGTGGTTGCAAAGCATACACGAATATTTTAATTATTAAACAATTTTCATCAAATCCTCATCGATATATAAATGATAAATCGATATCAATCAAAGAAACTTACAAGCAACATATAGAATTTTATCTACAGTGTGGTAAGCAGCCTTATGGGCAGCATTTTGAAAAAGCCCGTATCTTGGATTGGTTGGATCTCCGTTAACGTATTGGTAAGGAAATCTTAAGTATGCCTGTCTGGAAAGCTGTAACCTGGCTTCGGTGTATGTGAAGATGGCAGCCAGCAAGATGATCGCGAGTCTCATCGTAAATTCTACAAGATATATATAAAAATAGCTCAAAATAGATTTTTAAAAATTAAAATAAAAGAGAAACTTGTGATTTGAGGGTTGGTTTCAGGGTTATACTGGTATTTACTACTAGGATTCATATCTGACTAGAAAGAGTTCTATCACTTAATTATAAAATATTCACAAATAAATATTAGGTTCCATATTTAGGTATTTGCATTTTTTTTATTTGTAAAAAAAACTACTTGTCTAACCCTAGTTAATGTCCAAAAAAAGTACCTGTCCCATTCATTATATTTTGCACCTTTTCTACCCTGGTGATACAATTTATCCAGGCCCTACTGTGAAATAGGAAAATCCGGATTGAATGTAGACTTGTATATAACTTGAAACAACTTTTTGAAAAAAAGATTACAATTTTTTGCAGCTTGACATAATTCGTGTTCAAAGTTGGCAGAGCTCAAGTCGACGTTTTATAGTCCAACCGGAAATGGTCAAATCATTAAGCAGTGTTCGATTTCTTTTCCTATATACGTCTTACACTGCCTAAATCTGTATCTAATTTTATGTAGCATTTATTGTTGATTTTTTTCAAGTTATGTCATACATGGTATGAAAGAGAAGTCAAAAAAATAGATATTTATGTGATTAAATTCTTTTAATTTGAAATTTTATTTTGCGCATTTTTAAAAACGAGCCATTTCTGACCAAGAATACAGAAATGCTTAATTTGGGGTTAGAAGTAGCAATTTATAATTTGATTTGAGAGAAAGAAAAGGTTTGGAATATTTATTTTCAATCCTTATTTCAAGAATATTTATTATTATACAACATATGGTAAGCTCATTTCAAAAACAATAGTTTTCATGTTTTGAATATATTTCTAAATAGTTTCCCTTTATCTGCAAAGAGTCTTTGTTTCATGAAGACAAACAATCAATCCCTTCTTACATTTTTCTACTGAAATCTTTTCTTTTAGTCATAGGTGAGAGTACAGTTTGATAATCTTATTAGGAAAATCTTTGTTGAATGGAAATAGATTATAAGTATATATGCACTTACTCATTGTTCCAATTTACATTATCAACTTGTACTCTCTTTACGTTTCTATTTCAAGCTCATTTTTCGGAAACGATCCTATTCAAAAACATGAAACTAATTTATTTTTCTCTACGATATACAAATTCAGTTAAACAAAAATGTTTTGAAATTTCATATACTTTGCAATAAGACTACTGAAATTGTAATTTTTTCGCCAATAAACCATTAAAAAATTAGAAATATAGAAAGAATTAAAACTTTTCCAAAAACATCTGCATCAGAACGTGACTTTTCAGACATCATAGGAAACTGCTTCTTCAATGAAAATGGAACTCAAAAATTTTTATATCTTCTGATTGGTCATCTACAAAATTAATAAAAAAGCATTCCATATCTACACACAAGTTCTCTGAAGTTGATATCAAATAGATGCTGGAATAATTCCTCATTGACAATATTTATGTAGTCTTTGGAGATGGGTACTACGTGTCCTTTTTTATTAGCCGACCTACTTTTATATTCTTAGGAAGCATAATTTGATCATGATATGAAGAAATCTCTTGTTGTGGCTTTCAATTTAACCTTTCCATAGATCGACATGAAAAAGGTGAAGATAACGAACAGTGATCGATCTCAAAAAACCTATAAACAATACAAATATGTGAAAACTGACCATTGGAAATTCTAGAGGTAGGTACAGGTACCTAGGAGGAGTAATTTTAGCATCCCCTGTCTTTCGGTCGAACCCGTCTTGAGCCCGATGTATTGATCAGGTAGACGGAATATTCCGCAGTCAAATGTAATATAAAAATAAAGGCCTCAAAATTGGTATAAAATATGGCAGTCAAAATACATCTCAATGATAGGTTATATTATTTTGCTAACAATGTCATTATAACGACCACAGGAATGCTGTCTTTGAATGAAGTTATTGAAATCCTTGTAACATCAATTGTTCTGTCAGTATCCTGCCTTGGTTTAAAAATTACTCAGAGCATGCGCTTGAGCATCGAATAAATTATTATTAAAACATCATATGCAGGTGATAGCAAAATATTGTCACCGAGCAAAATTAACATTTTAAAATTAAAATAACTTTTTAATATGTTATGCTAAATTTGGACATTTATCTGTGAAATTCTTTATCTGTTTTTACTATGTGCTTATTTCTAATTAATTGTGTCTTATTTATCTCATTTCCTTTGAAACAGGATTAAGACATTCCAATTGACACTCAGTGACTCTGTCAAAAGAATTGATACCCATTATAGCTGTAAATGCCTTAGGACCTGTTAATCCCGTATCAATGATTTTGTTTATATAATTATTTAGTAATTTCTTTCATGTCCATTCCAAGAAAGATGTACATCTGTTTATCAATTAACTCAGTTAGTGTCAGACTTAAATTATTGTTTACTCTCAATATTACAAAAAGCTATGTCCATCATACTTTCTTCAGTTTGGAGGCCCGATGCTCTACCGGCCACATCCAACTCGGTTAAGACTTAGTTTTGACTCAACAACGGATATAGTCCAGGAATTTGTTTTATAACTTATAACCAAATTCTACCTGGTTATAATATTACTACATAAATAAAGAAAGTTGACAATGGAAAAGCTGAAAAGCTGAAGTCATCTGGTCTGTCCTACAGTTTAGTTTTTAGGTGGCTCTTATTGTCTATATCCAATAAAACATACAAATATGAAACAGATTAGGCAGACCCTATTGCGTCTTTAATTTCAATTTCACTGGGATATATTGAGTCGACATTTGAATGGAATTTTCTCCAACAGCAATTAATAGTTTTGTAAGGCGTAAAGACGGGGGCTCGGTAGAACACTTGCTGGACCCGGCAATGTATCTTCGTTTGTAGTGTGTATAAGTATTATTTCCAGATGAAGAGTTAAAACCAGGTTATTCTAAAATACAGTTATAATAATGAGCCATAGATGATATTGTTCCAAGCCTTGTCTGCTGGAACCATAATATATTTTAATTTAGTCTTTCTAATTCTTTTATCATCTCCAATTTAGTGAGAACAAAGTTTTATCAATTAGCAATAAATATTTTCATTTATATGTCTACTCAATATATCCCCATGAACTACACTACTGCTACAAATAAAGACACCACAGAGTCTGCAATATCTGCTATACTTGCAATATTCTACTGAATAGACGTTAATGGCCAACTAACATCTAAACTATATGACAAACGGAGTAACTTCAATTTTTCCATTGTCAACTTTTTCCTGTCTATGTAGTTCTATTCCACAATCTCCAGCATATAGTGTTTATGTCTCAAAATTGATTCTATATTACAGAGCATAATCTCGGTACATTTATTTTTTTTTTTTTGAATAGAGGCAGGCTAATGACAGATAAGTTGATGTTACAGGGTTTTCAACTGTCTCGGTTAAACTCAGCATTTTGCAAATTCTATGCTTGTTATAATGATTTTGTTTGCAAATACATGTACAATTGTTGCGTTGTAACTTTACTGTATTGTTGACCATTGTTTTATACCATTTTGACTAAGGTTTACCTTATCTATATAGAGGGCTCGTGGCCGGTGTGACCGATTGACATGAGATGCTTACTCCTCTTAGGTACCTGATCCCACCACCTCTGGTGTTTCCAGAGGTCGATCTTTGTTTTTGTTCTGTTTACGAATTGTATTCTTCAATGAGTTTATGAAATTGATGACTGTTCGTTATCTTCACTTTCAACTTTTCATAAGATATATCATATAAAATGTAATACTTCCTTGAATTCTAATAAAAGTTCAATACATGTAATTTTGAAGAATTAAATAGCTTCAGAGCAATTCTACATTTCGAACAAAATAAATAAATTGCACAGGAAAAGGAATTACATCTGTGAACAACTTTATTTATGTATATATATCATTACAATAAATAAATTCAAATTGTCAACAAATACTTTTTCAAAAGGTAATTCAATTAAAGTTGAAAATAAGATATGCTAGAATCACATTTTACATTGCAAGTTTTGACTGTATTACTATAGTGTATATATTTTTAAAAGTGTCTTGTTACTCGTTCCTATTTATTTCCGGTTGTAGTAATAAAAATACATGAAGAAAATTTCAATTCATGAAAGTAATCTACTTTATTTTCCAACACGTTTTGTTTTCCTTTCTGCTTTGAGTAGGACAAAGCATGCTTAAAACTCTTAATAATTTTTTTTTTATTAATAATAAGCACGTTTATTACACAAGTTAGTCTGCATAAGCTGCTCATTCACAGTAGGCAAAAAAATCAATTTACATTGTAATTTTTACAGATTTTAAGGGAACTGTACATATTCTAAAGCACATGCTTATAAATGGAACTTTTCCAATTATACTTTTAGCATTGGCAAGCTTAACGCAAGCATAAAGGAAAGTAAATACAAGAAATTAGGCAGTCTATACTCTATAGTCTATACATGACTTGTGTGCATGTCATATCCAATAGAAAACAGTAAAACTAACACAAAAAAAGTTGTGATTATTTGCCGTTCTCAGATTGTGGACACTTAAGCACTTTTATAACTAATATGGCAAGAAACTTGCCGCATGTAAACGACTGCCTCTAAATGTACTCTTTTTAGTGTCTGGGTAATACGAAAGAGAAATTCTGGGAAGATTTTTTTTTTGTAGAAAACTATTTTTCGGCCCCTAGTTGACCTGGATGTAATTTTTTTTTTAAACAGGAATAACCACTTTACTCAAAAAGATAATTTGGCTACTGTGTAAAATTCAAAAAGAGTTCTGGGAACATGTAGTTTTGAAGAAAAGATCTCTTTTCGGCCCCCAAATTGACCTCATGGATGAAAAAGAAAATTCCGAAATCCTTTTAGATGTCCCCGGTACATGAACAATCATTGATTTAATTAGCTCCGAGGGGAGTTCAGGGAAATGTGGTTTTTGAAGAAAAGAGTGGATATTTAGCCCCAATTTGGCGTCCCCGAAGAAAATGAATATACTTAAACCTTATTGCTAGACTTACTGCACATCTACGTGACACCACAAATAATATTCCAAAAGATTATCTATTGCGTAAAATGTAAGAGAAGTTCAAGGAACTAGGTTTTTAAAGAAAAACGCCACTTCTCAACGCCTAATTGGCCTGCTGGATGGAAATGAAAATTTTGAAACCTACTGCACACCACCAATCAAATTCCAAAACATGAATTGTCTGCGCCTCAAGGAAGAGTTTGAAAAAGTAGATAGTGTGACAGACGGGCGGACGTGGAGAACAATATTCTTTAGAAAAATGCAATTGCATCTTCTGTTACTGCATAGTTCGGTGGTCTGTCCTAGAACTTGGACAACTAGTATTTGAGAAGTGGTCGTCAACCAGTAGTTTTAACCTTCAGAAAGAATATATTAAAGATTTTTTTTCCAAGATGTCCTGAATAGAATAAAATTGTGGTGGCGAGTAAAGGTCCCTTAAATGAAAACTGATTCTTTAGAATCACAAATTGAAACTCAGTGCAATATGTACTCACTGTTCTTAAAAATGAAGAATATGTCACCGTCGATCCCTACCTGTGCTTGATTCACGATAAACGTTAGTATATATGCTACGGGGTCGAAGGTCATACAGCTGCGCATTTTCAGTCATTTTCATACGTTTGTTAGTCTTATCAACAGACTGAAGACAATGTGATATTAACTTATATATTTTTTATTTTACACACAAAACAAACTAATGAGAAAAATTAAAATCAGCGATTGGTTTAGTGGCACAAGAGGTCATTGGAAATCACAACAAAAACTTACTGGCAAAATTTCAGAGCCCTTCTCGATGTATGTATAATATATTTGTATTAAAATACTTTGAAACTATATAAAATGCTTTAAAATAATCGTCATTATTTAAATATAAGATATGCGTAACTCCTCTAGACTTAAAGTTTCGTCATTGAAGCTAAGGATTTGGATATTTGTTCAAAGCGGTGTTTAGGTTTGGTGGAGGATAAATAAGGTACTTTGTACAATGGTCAATTTTCTTACAATTTTTTTAAGTCTTTTAAATTTCATGGGCCATAATACTGCTAACAATTTATTTTTAGCGAAGGTGACAAGACATGGAATGAGCTAAGTAGCTTGTATTAATACTGTACATGTATATTGTAATGAGGATATGAAAAACACCATTTCTATGATAATATCTCACAAATGTACAGAAATGAACTGGCAGATAGGAAATAAACGTATAAAAAAAAAAAAACCAGGAAGATATTGAATATTTACGTATATTTTTTAAAACATTGTGGTCACTAATGAATAGATTGAAGTATTTTAAATTTAAAACAATAGATATGTATGTAGTTTTTATTCTCATGTGTATATGATGGTGATAGAATTAACAGAGAGGCATTTATTATAGGTACCAAAATTATTAAGATTACAAAAAACAAACCAGAAAAGAAGCAGTTTTTGTTATTTTTCACAGACTTCGGTATATGAATTAAATATTAATAACAAATGACACTAACTTTTAAAGTATAATATGTGGTAAACAAAGAATTAACCAATTTGACATGTACTTCACAGGAAAAAAAATATTAATTTTTATATATTGCAAGGGTTTTTTTTTTTTTTTTTTTTTACATTTTTCATAAACGTTGATTTTATAACAAAATCATACAATTAAAAAAAATTACTTGCAAAGATAACAAATACACAATCTATTAAATTCCTCCCAAAAAAGACTTTGTTCACACGTTCTTTGTACGTGTTCGATTATGAACTTAGTAGAAATAATTAGTCTATGCCTGGCAGTCTTGTTCCTTTCTATTCAGTTGCAACAAATTGGCTCGACGTGAACAACGAGAATGAGTATCGTTTTTCAATGTTCCTCATATTCGAATATGAAATGTCCTGAAACAAGAAGTTCCAAAATGACACGTAAAAATATAAATTTAATTCTTTATTTCAATGTTTCAAAGGCCACATTAAGTTTCCTTTCACATGAAATACAATTCAGAGGTAGTTCAATTCCAATGATCTTTTAAGTAATAATAAAATTTTAAGTATGTACATGAAGGTCATAATTATATGCTATTTACACTTACGTCATAAAATCAGGTGATCTTGAGATGACGTGTTCGAACTCAATGTAGGACAATTTCCCGTCATCGTCTAGATCTGTTTCTTCTAACACCTGTGGGAAAAAGTCAAGCTTTCATGTAGTACTGAAGAAAAATGTAGAATATTCTGCCACATGGTGTTACGCATTATTGATACCTTTTCGACAACAAAGTCCAATTCCTCTTCGGATAGTTCGTTCCTGGTCAAACACTTTAACGTGGATTGTAAATCTTCTTTTCCGAGATAGTTGTCGCCGTCGAAATCTGTAAAAAGCAGTGCTTTGTTAAATGTCTTGCGATAAATGAATATACAAAGCATGCTCATATGATTAAAATATGCATAAAGACCGAACTTTAATTATAAAACATTGTTGTTTGAAAATAAAACCTTTATCTTCGCCTCAATTCTATAGAAAATTTACTATGTATATATATGTGAAAGTCGTCCACTGACATGACGTGCTTGATAACGGTATGTACTTACCATAGATTTTAAATGCATACACTGCTTTGAGTTCCCTTGGTGCTACCTCGCTTAACACGGAGAACAGATCCAGAAAATCTTCGAATGATAAATCTCCGCTCCCGTCCTCCGAGAACACCTGGCAGATACGCCGACAGAAAGGGTTTTCCTGCATATAAATATTAATCATAGAAAAAGAAATATAGAAGTTAAACCTAGTTGAACATTCTTTTGTTTAAGTGCAAAGATGTTAGCTCATTTGTAGCAAGTTTATTTTTTAAAACTTTGATACTGATCGAAATTTTTTATCAATGTTTAGATCTTTATTATACCCCCACTTGTGTGTGTGTGTGTGGGGGGGGGGGGGGGGTGGAGGGGGTATATAGTGATGGGGTATCCGTCCGTACTTCCGTCTTGGGGATTTTCCTTATCCGCAACTCCTTCTGTACCACTAAATAAAAATCAATGAGACTTTCACAGAATTTTTACTACATAGTGCAATTGTGACTTCCTATTTTATGTTTTGATTAGATATTTGGGTTTCCCATACCAAAACATGGACACTGCAATCTTTCTATGATACTGGGGGTACCCACCTATTATTCGCAACTCCTCCTGCTCCACTGAATACAATTTAAGATAACTTTCACCAAATATTTATGACATAGTGTATCTCCTATTTTTCGTTTCCATCGACAGATATTTGGGGTTTCCCATAGCAAAACACGGACACTGTCATTCTCTCTATAATATTGGGGGCACCCATCTCTTATCCTGAACTGCTCCTATACCACTGAATAAAATTTACTCAGACTTTCACAGAATCTTTGTTACATAGTGTCATTGTGCAACTCCTTCTTTATGTTCTGATCATACAGTTATTTGGGATTTCCAACAGCAAAATATGGACTCTGCCATTATACTCATATAAGAGCGGGAAAGGGGGAAGAAAGAGGGGGGGGGTATTATTTAGTGAGCTCAGTGCTCAAAGTACCTCTAGTTTGTCGTTATGTTTTTTTTATTTTAAAAGCACTTAGTATATCCATGCTTAAAGAGGAAATAAATAAATTCAAGTAGGTCCAATTCTTATTTTATGTTGCGGACACTGGATTTAACTTTTCTTGATTCTTAGCAAAATGAATTAATTCTTGGGCTCAGATTTATGTTGATTACGTTAGATTTAACTTTTCTTGATTTTCAGAATAATAATTACTAGTGAAAAAGCTCACGTCAGACAAGCTTTTTAGGAGAACTAACACTCGTAAACATATACAGATGTAACAAAGACGTCATACCTTTATCTATAGGAGCATTCATCATCAGAATGAAATTGAAAGACGTGTTGTATCGTAAAGATTTTCATCCCTTTTTAGTTTTTTACCTTTAGTTCTGTCATCATTTGAATTTGTTGAAATGGTAGTCGAATCCTGCTTGTGTCAACATTAGACATTACTTTGGGGACGGCGTTTGGAGCAAGATCCCGGAAGCGACTAAATATCCTAAAGAAAAGAATTTCTCTTGTTTTCAAAGAGAACTTGCTATAAAAGTACGGTTTTAAATCATTATTTCATTATTAAAGAAGTTTCTTATCATAACACACACATGTACAAACCTTAAAATTTCTTTTTTCGTGAAAAAGGTACAGTCCTAGATGAAAAAAAAACTACACTATCACTGTTAAATACAAGAAATAAGCGGCTATAAAAAGGAAGAAAATTCTGTAAATCTATTCATCAGTCATGGAGTATGTGAAAAGGCACAACTTAAGAAGATCCTGTAGATAAACAACATATACATATATAATAAGTCTGGTCACAGACCAGGTGGACAAGGATAGCATACAGCTGTTTTTCCAAAAGCAAAAAATTGACGGTTATCAAAGAGAACTATGCCTGTCTCTTTGAGGGGAACAGTCTGGACCAAAAGGTGGAACGAAATGTGAAAATAACAAACAGTGATCATGCCCAAGCCCATTTAAACAATACAAATTGTGAGCAGAGCCAGTACGGGCCTCTGAAATCAAAGGTAGGATCAGGTGCCACGGAAGAGTAAGCATCCCCCGTCGTCGTATGCCCCTTTTCATGATCGGATAAACGGGAAAATCTGTGGACAATTCAGTGTGTAAATAATGGCCCAACAATTTGTATGAAAGACGTCATGCAGTCAACATTCGACTTAACGACAGATTATATTCACACAAGGCCATTGTATCGAACACAGAATTAGCCAAATGCTGACTTTAAAGGAGATTGTTAAAATCTTTGTTTAATTTACTTATTTGTTAAAAGCCTGTCTCGTTTTAGAAGATGTTTCTACTATCACGATGAAAATTTTACTGTTATAAGAGATTTTTCTAGTTTCTAAAATTAAGTTACTGTTTTGTGTTTTTTGAACAACTCTCTCTAAATTCTGGAGCTTTTCAAATCATTTTCTTTATTGAATTTACGACTCTTAATCTTTATTGAATTAAAACATCGGCGATTTCAGATAATCCAAGCCAATTGGGTTTAACACCTGTCATCGTTTGATATTGCTAAATTATCTTTAGGCAAAATAGCATCAAAAGGACGATAATCTGGCCCTCAATTATTTTAAGGGTTTACTCAAGTGTCAAAACCTTTATCTATTTGTCTCCAAATGTCATTTTTACACATGTCATTCTATAATTGTTATATATACTGTTGAATTTGTTTTGGATGATCAGTCGGAATCGGACATGTAAATCTATGTGTAGGTGATAATGATGTAGCACTAGTGTTACATAAATAAGGGAAGTTGACGATAGAAAAGTTGAAGTCATCACGTTTATCATAAAGTTTAGCTGTTAGTTTAACTGCCACCAATGTTTTTGTAGTAAAATATACAAATATGAAAAAGGTGTGTCAGACACTGTGGTATCTTTTGTTTCGAGTTCAAAGGGAGATATCTCGTCAACATAGGATAATTGATAAAATATCGTCGATATATTTTAATATCGAATTTAAGGCCATAGCAAAAGACTTCTTCTTTTCATTAATAAGATTTTGGATAAACTCTGCTTTATATGAATTCAAATTCATGTCTGCTGATAAGGGGGCACAATTAGAACCCATTGGAATTCCAAAAGATTGTTTGAAGACTTGGTCAAAGACTACATAGATGTTTTCAATGAGAAAATCGAGCATCACTTGTGTGTAGAATCAGAATGTTTTGTAACAAAATAAGTTTGCAGATGACCAAAGACAAGATATGCATATTTACGAGTTCCATTTTTATTGAAGAAGCAGCTCTCTATGATATCAAAAAGCTGGTCTCTAATTTATCGTGGAAAATGGTTGAATAAAGAAGTGAAAAGTTGTACATTTTGATGCTATATGATTTTGGTAAAATTTTGTGATTTCAAATTTTCTAAAAGTTCTTGGGAGTTTTTAAGTATCGCTACTTCTCGAATATGTTGTTGTACATTTACTTCAGTAGATGAGACTTAGAGACGTTTTGAATAAATCAACAGTGCCCCAATTCCATTGACTATAAAACCCATAATAAATTTAGATTTAAAGTCTTCATTAAATGACGCGCTTACCTGATATGCCTCTATTTGCTCATCAGTAAACACTCCGACTTTGTTTCCCATTTTAGATCCTCTGATATGTTTATGATTAGGGAACTTTGATCTTTTTATCTAAGGTATCTTCTGCTACTTTCACTTTGTTTAATCAGAATATCGAGCCCGAAGTTATATTTCACCCTGAAACTAAGATTATCTTTATCATACCCCAAGAACATAACCTGAGAATAGACTAAAAGTCAAAATTCCAAATTTATATAACTTTTGAAGTAATCAAGAAAATTAAACCGAATTTTCATTGTGTGATTGTATTTTAATATTTTACAAACACGCAAGAGGGCAAAGTGCTGCTGAGCCTTTGAATTTCTTTGCCGCCATTTAACATTTATTAAACTGAAAATCAAATTTCTATTTCGGGAGGAATACTTTCTGGTATTTTCAAAATAAAGTTAGGAAAAATATATTCAATTAAAATTAGATCCTTGGTCCGCTGCAACTAGATCGATCTAGTTGGAGAGGGGGAAAAAATCTAGTTTTAAATTAGATTGGCTCAGGGAGGAACCCCTCTCCTCCCCAAAGAGGTTGTAGAAATTTTTATGATTTTTCTGAGGTATGGAAAGAAATAAAGCTACTTATGAATACCCGGAGAAAGAAATGCATGGACAATTTGAAAGATGCCGTGGTCAAAGACAATACTTTTTCTTCCATTTTAATCTTGATATTTCATGTTTATATACGAGTAGTTACCTAAAATCTTTCGCATGAATAAAAGAAGTTATTCTGGTTGGAGTATTTTTCCCGGTTCCTACATATGACAAGTATATCGATGTCAATCCACAATATGGACCTTCTATCGCAAAAAAGAATTCTCGGGAATATAGGTTCTGATGAATTATTATTAGATACATGTTTTTAGATATAAACTTTGAGTTTCTTTCTCTTGTAGTTGTGAAAAAAATGGCTTTTTGATAGTCCTTTTACAATGTCTCAGTTTTGGTGCACGTGAAAAGTTTTAATATGAAGGAAATGTGATACAATAATAAATTATTCCCCAAAATTACTTTTTTGTCCATTTAATGAATTCTTCAAATCTAAGCCAAAAAGAATTTTCAAATACAAGTTTTCTTACACAAAATATTAAATTTTGAAGTGGTCCTATTTTACCTTATTTTGCTGCACTCCTAACATCTGGTATGTTTTTATTATTATTAACATTGTTTCAAAAATTAAGCAGATCGTCGTCTTCATTTTTATCATTTATTCAGTTTTTCATACATGTATTTTCTTTTCTTTAAAATATGAGTATTTGGTTAAGTAATAAATATTTTTAAAAATATTTGCTTATGTAATATATATTTTTAATATATATTTTTTGCCCGTTATGCAAATTATCCCACATATCCAACTATCGTTGATGCCCTGGCATACCCTACAAACTAGACAGTGATTCCTTAAATATCGGTCCAGATACATGTACCTGCCGGATCCAAATTAAAAGCTCCCTCGTTCTTTAAAGGTCAAAATATTGAATTTTATCAGGAAAGTCTTTATTTCCAACATAAACCATTATTATTTATTTCAAAGATCCTCAAAAATATTAGATTTTCAAAATGTCACAAAAAGGTGTTGCATTCCTGACAGTTTTAGCATCTTTTGGGGATAACTTTTTTGCGACTTTAGATGTCAATGGAATATTTGGCAGATATATTTAGCCAGTATCAAAAGACACATGCTGAGTCATAGAAATTTATTCACATCGTCTGTTTTTTTTTTTTTTTTTTTTTTTTTGAGTATAGATTGATAAATATGTGTCCGGGAGGGGGGGGGTCACCCATATAGGAATACATGTATATAGATGATACAAAACATGAGAGATTTACAGAATGACCAGCGACCACACTGGAACTCTAAATAATGTTCAAACTGGGACTGGAAGAATATAATTACGTAATTTTGTTGCAAGTTTATTTAAAGGGGTGTGCATACCCAGCACTCTTTCCTATAAAACTTGTTACTTTTTCCTTTAAGAATTTGATACGCCTGTGGAAATTGTTTGCGACTTCTAATGGAAATAAAGGATCTGATCCTGAAATGAATGCATATATACATGTACCTGCAAATCTGATGCCTGGGTAATAGAATTATCTTTCTATGTATAGGTTCTGCCTTGCTTTTGTAAGCAGATTATTAGTTATCAGTGTTTCATACACAAACAAAACAAAACAGGTTTTTATACATGTATATCTATAACGATACTTTTATTTATTAACATTATTCACATACCAATTCATTCACACCGAATCCAATCAAAACAGGTCTGTGTAACAACAGAAAAAATCTAATTAACTTCATAACACTGTGTAAAAGAATAGGTATATTAAAACGATACACACAAACATGAATCCAAATTTACTAAATATCTTATTTACATTTAAAAAGAGACTATATATTAAATCATATTTAGTATGGCTCAAATTTACCGCATATAACAGGTATTTATTATAGACATACTTTTTATAAGACATTTTCACTAATATTTTCCAATTTCACCCTTCAAAGATATTTTAATTTTCAGCTTTCCTGTTAATTTCATTCTAATCAATACACATAAGATACTGGAATATACTTTAATTTTTTTCAATTTTGTTTAAATTGCAACATACAGAGGCAGACGTACTCATTATACACTAACACAAATCAATGGATAGTTTTTAGGGTATGGAAGGGGGGGGGGGGGGTGTGCACGTACAAACAAATCTTGAAAAGTGTGTAAAAATTTGATAGTGAACTCATTTAAGGAAATCATTATAAACAATTAAAATGCAAGCATATCAAAGCTACCAAAACTCATTTTTATTTTCAACCTTATTCTGAAAAATTGACAAATAAAATGGGAACAAGCAGTAAGCACTTTAAAGAACTGAAAGCTGACAATAATCAAACCTGACATGAAAAAAAAAATCAAATGATATTTTTTTCTTAACATAATTATAACCAGAAAAAATATGAAGCAAACAATGATTTTAATAATATTTTTTTAAGATAATGAATTCTATTTTTATACAAGTTTATACAATAAAGAAAGTACAACACATTCTGACCAGCAGAACTTTAGAAAAGAGGGAAAGATTTTATCCGATGCAGATCAATGTCTACAGAATATACATATTGCATACTGTATTTCTGTGTAAGTGTAACAGGGTGTACAAAGACATTGTTAAATCATCAAGAATTAAAAAAGATGGTAGCCATCTGAAATTCATGGGGAAAAAAAATGGGTTTCATCTTTTAAAATATCAATAAACTTCTACAGGGTTTTGTGGACAATCATCACGATTTTTTTTTAGTGGGGGTGGATTCAAAAGCTGACAAAAATTTTGTTGGTGTTCTGGTGTGTGATATAAATCCAACAATTCGAAAACTGTTTTTTGGTTTCATGACTAGGTAGTTTAGAAGGTTTTTTTTTTTTTTAAAAAAAAGAAAAAAGCTTTCTTCCAATTCAGAAGTGAGGAATTTTTACTTCTCTTTGGTTCACATTGAAAGTAAAATACCACAATATAACAAGCATTAACTAGAATTGAGCCTTCTATAACAGCTGCCCACACATATAACTACACATTGTCTGATACCATGTATCAAAACAAGAAATTAATAACCATATAGTGTCATGTTCATGCATGCAAAAAAGAATTAATTGTCATATTCTAACAAGGAATACGTGTTCACTTAATTACATTTTCTTCACAAGAACTTTATTTATGCATAATTTCACTCCAACATGAAGTTCTCATCAACGGTAAACTTAAATTACATCATACAGTGGATATCTGAAATTTGTTTCTAATAATGCTACAACTTCTAATAAAAATAAAGTTATATGAAATGTGATTTACAGTTAATAAATTACATGTACTTGATTATTGTACAACGTACCTATATTGCTACAGTGCAAACTTTCTAAGTTTGAGTGCATATGGTGAAGGTTTTTAGGACATACAAGGGGACATAACCCACACAATAGTTAAAACTGGCAAGACAAAAAAGGTGAAAATGAGAACTAACTGACAGAATGCTTAAAAATGAATCCATTTCTATTATCTATTAATCTCTAACAAGCACCAAAATAAACAAGGAAAAGTTGGAGAGACTGAAAACAAGTGGAACAGATAATCTCATACAGGACAGGTATACCACAACAAGAAAGATTCTACACAAACCATTTAAAAATGCCCTGAGCACACAGTATCAATAGACAAATCAGAGTTTTGTTTGGTTTTTCAAACTTTCAAAACAATCACCATAAACCTTACTGTGTCTTACACAGAATGTTTCAAAAAGGCATTTGTCAGGGAAATGGCAGCAAGCTAAACAGAACTGAACTACTGAGAATCGGCTAATGAAACCCTTTGTGTACACGACAGGTACCTCCCAATACCCCGCCCCACATGTCTGTCTAGTGGTGTATTTTGGAATAGCTCAATGAGGAAGATCTTCAACAACCTCCACATAATTCACTGGGAAGAAACCGGTTCGGCCATGCAGAGAGCCCTCATACCAATTTTCATCGATCTGTGAGATGAGCTTGATCATGTCTCCCTCGACAAAGCCTAGTTCTCCCTCATTCTCTGGCTCGAAGTCATACAGAGCTTTTGCACATGGCTCTTTCTTGGCTGAAAACAATTTTATTCTGTATTAAGAAAATTTCACATACATGTATGTTTACTTGCACAGTTATTTGTCACTGAATAAACAGAATGAATTACTGGGTACATGTACATGTACTTCAATAGTATAGTATGATTTTTGTTACTATGTCAATGTTCAAAAATACTACTGGATAATCAAATCTATCTTTGGTGAGCTTGCATGTACATGTACAAAGTATTTCATAGTGTTACTTACACAAAATAGAAAATGAGTAAGATTAGTAATGAGTTTTGACCTTGAAAATTAGTACATATGCATTGTCTTTATGAGTGCCAACTTCAGCTAAGTCTGATTAATTCACAAGAATGAAACTTTAAATAGACTGTAATTGCCATCCCTTATAACCTGTCCATTTTGTAGAGAATATCAGTAGTTATCCCTCTTTGTTCATATAACAATGCTTCTCTCCCAAACTTTCATAATCACTAACGTTGCTTCCTGACTTCCCATGTTCAACTTTAATCACATGTTGCTAGTCATCTACTACACAAAGGCATCTTTTATGTTATGTAATAAAATTTTTACTTTAACCTTTAGAATGCTTCCATTCACCATCATACAGACAAATAAGAAAACATTCTACTGAGAAATGTGGATGTACACAAATATTGATTCTTGCCCTTTCTGAAGAGAGTATGAGGATACTTATCCCCCTTCATCTGTAAAACTTATTGCTTCTCCTTTTTACAATTTTAAGAGGTACCCCAAAAATTCTTATTGTGTAAGATTAGCCTGGTTATGTAGATCACTACTAGATGTGCTAGTGCTACATGTATTACTTTCTGAAATTTTCTTTTTGAACCCAAGAATCCCAGAGGCCTAAAAAGTATCGTTCAAAAATTAACTTTGTTGCTCAAGTTTCTCTTATAGTATGTGACTTGGCGTGTCATGTAAATGTAGATATGAACAATAAGATTTAGGAATTTTGATCTCTGCTCCTGGGCTTCCAAAGGAGCCCATAAAGATGTTTCTTGATGAAAGTTTATTAAACAAGCTTTTAGTTAAATTTAGGTTTTAAGAATTTTGCACTGATTTGAAATAGTGAGGCATAAGTTGCAAACGAGCAAGAAGGTTTCAGATTCTGAAAGCAACCGATTTTCTGGCTGACTGAACATGTTAACATCTCTTAGCAGGATTATTCTTATCAAAGATTGATGGTCAAGACTTACATAGATAGAAAAAATAAAGGTGCATTGAATCATCATGCTTCAGATGCTGCAAATGACCTATATTTTTGGATGAGTGATCAGAAAGATGTTTGGACCAGGTCCATTAACAAATAACTAGAAGTCCTAGTGGACCAACTTTACATAATTATTTCAATTTGGGATGTACTGGTATACTGTAGATTGGCAAATAATCATGATGGTTTCAATTTCAATATGTTCGTGATTCATCATTTTTCCGAGAAATTAAATCCATTGTGAATGCTATCATTAGTTTATAAAAACATTTAAATGCTTATACAAAATTTTAATCAATTTCTTTGAGCGTGAAATTAAAACCAACGCGATTGGTACTTTTTGAGAAATCGTGAAATTTTAACATCGTGGAATTAAAACGACTTACAGTATATCAGGTCATGCATAGAATACTGCATGTGACCTATATTTCCTGGATTAAAGATCAGGTGGAAGTACAATTCAGTCAAGTGTAAATGTTGCATCCTGGGATGCATATCTAGTGTAAATGTTGCATCCTGGGATGCATGCTACCAATCACGTTTCTGATGCTGTGACCTCATTTTCTGGATTGGTGAATAGATGAGCCTCCTTCCAATCTCAACTATGTAAACTCTATTTTTGTTAAAAATGTATGGATATTCATGCAATAAGCTAAGCTTTGCATGCTTCATTTCACAGATTGTGTGATAGAGCAGGCCAGTTCCCAAGTGGGTAGTCTTACAACCACTTACATGTACACTGCAAAGATGTCATCATTATGGGTGGATACTCATCCTCAGATACTACATTCACTGGAACATTTAAATTCTGAAGTTAGTGTGTATATCCTACATTGACCACACTTTAAAAAAGATATTGCATCTTGGGATACATATCAGTAATATTGCTTTGGATGTTGCTTGTACAGACTATGACTGGCTATGTACAGAATCTTTCTCTAGCTAAGTGGACAGTGTTTGAAACTCACTGCAAAATTAGCCAGACATGCAGAGCTGACTGCTAGTAAAAGTTGTCAGCCCTGCCAAAGATCTACTCACCCGAGAAAATAATTGTCTTTTATAAATTTGTTTTAAACGATTATGTGACTGGAACCAGGTCACCATAACTTCAAACCAAAATATATAGACTAATGAATTCTTCCTCTTGTCTTGTTACACTTTGCTACCGATAGTATTAGTTGATATGAAAGAGATTTATCAAATATATGAATTTTAATTATCAAAAATTTTAAGGTCCAACCGGGCATCAATACATGCAAATTTGTTCGCCCACTGCAAAATTTGCGTCTCGGGCGGTCAGGCGCACAGTTATTTCAAACACTGCAAGTGGGTCTTTCTCTAGCCAAGTGGGTCTGAACAAATTTTAAATATGACCTCACCTTGAAGACAAACAGCCGAGTGCAGGTCCAAGTTATATTGTCACTCTTGACAAAAGCTACTACTAGATTCTTACTGTTGGGGCATATCAATTTCTTTTAACCTTTATAAACTTACCTGCTGGAGTAACGGTTTATACAAACAATGCCATACTAGTACTAGTAAGAAGCTAGTGGATTTCTATGATCCATTTCACACTTACGTGCACTAGCAGGGGGAGTGTTGTTAAAATTGTAGCTGTCAGCAGTGTCATACATGTGGTTTGAAGCGGTTGAAATTCGGCTGGATGACTTTGGTACGTACTCTTTCTTTGGTCTTGATAAAGCATCACTGCGTCTGAAATAAAAATTTTAAAAATAAAATTTTTTTGTGTACTTTAATTTTTATTTTAAAGAAATAAAGATAAAATCCATTAAGAATAACCCAAACAATTTTCATTTAATTTCATGCAGTTTATAATGATTCTGGTTTGTTTTATATGAATTAGTAGCTGCTCTACTAGAGATGTAATTCTGTCTATAGAACCTTACTTTTGCTCTATGGTGTCCAGTAAATCATCAAGGAGTGATGCCGCCTGTTTATGGTACTCCCTTTGAGCCTCGATGAAGGACTGAAGCTGAGCAATCTGCTCCACCTTAAATAGAAAACAACCTTTAAATACAAAACACTTATATGTACATTGTCTTGAGAAACATTTGATCCACAGAGAAATGCTATCAGTTACAAGTATTATTACCCTTAACAAATATATTTATTGTACAATGTATGTACTAGGAACATGTGAAATCCATTTTCAGAATTGAAAAAAAAAGTGTTCTTATTAAGCAGTGACTAAACATGATTTATTGTGTTTAAAAAGTTTTTCATATATTGTGGTATTTGATAAATTATTTTTGTTTTTATAATATATACATGTATATACACTGTAGAGTGAAATTCAAGAATCGGTACCACTGCAGATTTATTTTATGTACATGTTTTCTAAATGCTGGCAAAAAAGTGCTTCTTTCACTATACAAAATTAATGTTCTTGTTATTATTTATTTTAAATTATAATTAATTTATATTCATCTGAGTAAAATAAATTAGGAAATATTTTCTTAATCGGCAGCTACTTGCAATCAAAAAAAAGTTTACTTTGCATGGGTTTTTTTTTTTCATAATTATTAGACGTCAATAAGACTTGAAACAAATTTTTATTGATGAACACACATCACATGTACATGTATATTATACAGTTTTTATCTCTCTTTAGATCCTCCCAATTTCTCACCCTTTTAATCAGACTCATGTTTCTCAATTTTACTCTATCCCATTTTCCCCCCTAATTCACCCTCTCTATCCTTTCTTGCCAACCTTTTTCTTAAAACCCTTATACTCAGCCATATTTTTACAAAAACTCTCTTATTCAGTAAAAAAATCTTTCTGATTATCAATAAAACAAATATTTACTTCATTTTCCAGTAAGTTTTGCATAGCTTTTTCTGCAAGTTCCTTGGATTCTTCAAACTTTTCCTCTGCCACTCGAATTTCTTCATCTGACACATTGGACCCTAAAGAAAAGCCAACGACAACTCAATTTTGAAACAAATAAAGAACAATTTAACCAGTACTAATATTGCCAAGTTTGATAGAGAGCTTCAAGCAGATATTTCACACTGTTAAAAGCCAATAGCACACACTGTCTAGCCTGAAATAAAAATTACCTTTCAATGGTAATATGTCAAGCCAAATTCCAGAATACATTTTATTAACAGACAAGCCAACCATAAATTTAGTTTTCAACAAATAAAATTTGATCCATTAATTTTCATCTTGAATATGCCCAATTTATATTTTTAAGTCTCAATTCTCTTCTCATAACATTGATGCTACATACAGGGTTATATATATATAGAAATTTGGGTGAAATACATCAGTAAGCTGCTAGAAAGCATATCTGATTCAATTGTTAATTAATATTATGCCCTGTCAGTCTTTTGAAACAGTATACAAAACTGATCCCACAACAAGCTTACTCAGCATGGAAAATTAGGTCTTAAGATCTGTTAGAATGCAATAATTTTTTTTTCTATTTTCACCAAACCACCAAGTTCATGCCAATGATATTTTAAAACATGCACCACCACTTAAAGTAAAAAAAAAAAAAACAACTGAAAATATGGTATACAATATGTAGCATGCAAGCATTCTAAATTTGACATTATCAAATTTCTTATCAAAATGCACTGTATAATATCACCAAGTATATCACATAACATTGATACTTCTCTGGCCAACTAAATACAGGGGCAACATGCAGGGGTCTGAAATAATGGTCAACTGAAATGTTCTTTCATCCACTTTTCTTTTTCCTTTTTTTTTAAATTAAATTAACTCAAGCACAATAATGAAAATAAGGTCCCACAATGAACTGACTTTGGCTGGAGTGATGGTTCTGACCAGACCGAATCAGAGACCACACGATTTCTATTGCACATGCAGAGGAGGAAATTAGATGTACATGTACAAAATAAGAGACCACTTGGCCACATCACTCTCCTGCGCTGTCTAGAACTCAAAAAAATGAGAAGAATTTTACAAATTTCAGCATAAAAAAGATCTGAAAGATGAAATAATTACATTTTTTCCTATTCACTTATTATTCTTATAAATCCCTTATCTGCTCCTATCTTAGCTCCACAGACCTAATTTTTAAATAGATTCTTCTAATAATTAATATAATCCAGCTCAAATATTGAACAACTCTTTTACATAACAGGTATTATACATGCAAAATGACACCAGACAAATTTAACCAGAAAAGCTCACCTGAGATTTTAGCTCAGGTGAAATGGTTAACACCAGGACAATGTTTCCCCATGCAGGACAAAAGAACTAAAGCCAGAGCTAGCCCAGTGTATACATAAATGTCATAGTATACCTGCAGTTTTTCCGCCAGCCTCTACAGTGCCAAATATAGCATAATCAGGTCAAAGGTGACATAATCAGTTCAGGTATTGTGTAATTAGGTCACACTAAATATGGTCTACCTCACATTATTGATGTCAACATCTACATGTGTGTATATTACAAAATGTGTCGGCATGTAACTTTAAATGTCGTGGTTTGAATATCCTGATGTATCATCTGATGATGTCACAAACATTCAAGTGATGTGTCAAGAGTCATGATTAAAATGCATTTACGATGTCCTAGCATGGATCATGTTGCATGATAAAACAAGAATTTTCACATGGTATTCTATTTCCTCGTGCTTTACTAAAATTTCCTTCTCCATATATAAATAAACACCATATGCCTTGTTTCCTTAATCCCCCAGTGCTTTTAAACTAGCACTGAACATCATTATGCGGAATTTCATAACAATGACACATTATCTGTTTATATACTTCTTGCATGATAACATATGCCAATCCTATTATGAGTTGGTGATTTTCTATTGAAATTTACAATTTACCAAGAACAAGCTTACAAATACATGTTCCATTATTATTTTTTTTTAACGCTCAAAGAAAACAACACTTTAGTGCAACCAAGATTTTCAAGTACCATACATAACCAAAGTTGCTAATTGGAATGTGAGCTGGTAAAAAAAAATACAAGATAAATATAAGTACTTAAAAGTGTCTCCAGGTCTTTAACATTATAATATCATATAATTCATGTTGAAATTTACTACTATTTTAAATCCTGTTCTAGTTACATTGCGTTCAGAGACATAATTACTCCAAAATTGACAAATGACTGCCAAAATTGAAAAAAAATATTTTTAAAGCAAGAATTCATATATTTCACAAAAAAATTGCATTTATTTAATAATAAAGTATTTGAAAAAAAAAAAACAACATTACTGCAGGATTAAATAAAATGACACAAATAAAACATAAATCAAAATAATGTAGAGGCACTGCACATGGAGACAATTTTTTTAAGAAATCTCCCCCAAGAAGCTTTCAACTAGCTCATGAAAGATTCTAAAATCAAAGAAAATGCTGTTTTTTCAAATATTATTCCTATATTCAACAGTAACAGACCTGTTTTACCCAAATTGTTGTCTCTCAGTATTTTTTATTAGATTTGTCAGTGAGATTTGGCATTTGCCCGTAAGATTTCACTTTTCATCGACTGTACATATATTACTAGAAAACAACTACATTTCTGATTACCAAAACATGGTTTAATAACAAAGCAAAACATCATACCCTGCTTTCTGTTGAGTTATTTCTGTCATTTTTTTAAACCACCGCGTTTTGGCAACTTGAATGTTTGAAATTTTTCTCTTTTTTAGCAATTAAAAAGCGTCAAACTGAGACAGATAACGAAAACTAATTGCTAAAATCCATATGAACGGATTTCCGTATTTTCGTTATAGCAAAACGTGAGACGTATTTTGGACTGAAAATCCGTACAAAATATGGCGAAATCGTAAGAGTAAACAGGTCTGCAGTAATGAAATTGCTGAAAAGATACCCAACATTGCTTAGCATTTGTCATAAGGGTTTTTAGATAATTAGATGCAATTCACAAATAATTAAATAATTTTGTTAAAATCCTGTGCATTAACAGTATGCCTAGTTATTTCATCTATGGATCATGTATATGGTCACATATCTGCTATCATAATATATAATACAAATTACTGATACAGTGTTTATATATATATATATATATATATATATATATATATATATATATATATATATATATATATATATATATATATATATATATATATATATATATAATATGTGCTACATAATACTTCATAAATATTCCTGTGTAGTTAAACAAATTGCTTTTTCATTTTCTTCCTGATTCAAGTACCCACTAAAATAAAATGCATGCAAGTAATATGTAGTATGGATAAAGATTACGTTTGTTACGGTTTATTTTTCCTCTTATTTATGACATAATATATATTATAGAGCTCTCTAAGATTAGCTAACTGGCATATAAATATTTCCATATAGCATAATATACATTTTGTTATTACAACTATTGCGATCTCATACTACAGTCCTACATTTTTTTCCCTCCATGGGAAATTTCGCAGAACCTTGCAGATTGAAGAAAAACTCTTTAATTATGTATAAATGTAAGCTATTCTACGTCAACACTACCAAGTAGCAATACCTGTTCTGATTAAGAATATTCCAATCAAACCTTATTTTTAATTATGTTAATTTTACATTTAATTTTATTGAAAATAATGAATTACTACAAGCAAAGTGATAAGCATTTTTGCTGAACTATCATATCTGGGATGGGGCAATAGCATAAGCTTTGTGGACAATCAACACTTATAAACGAAAGTACCAAGAGTACTGTTATGCATAATCCATGCAGTACAACATGTATATTTACTGAAAAACAATGGGGTCTACGCGGTAATCTATGAAAATGCTACGAACCCCCAACATGCACTGAAGCACAAATTATACTTAAACATTTGATGTCCTACCTCCTGCAAAGAAAAGAACACAAAAAATCAAACTCAGGCCAAGGTTACCAAACCACAAACAAACCACACAGCAAAATCATTCAAATATAAACCATTCAACTTAGCTACAATACTTTCAAGTGTCTAAAATATATCTATGAAATGATATAAAGCTGGATGAAATCAATATGCATAAATGGAAAGAAAAAAAATGATTTCAATTCCCAATATCTATTTTATTCTGAAACCAATCTCCATAATGTTTTATCCCTAATCTTCCTATATTCAAGGAAAAACCCAGAAATATTCCCATGAATTCCCCTTCCTTTATTAAAGGTTTTAAATCATTAACTTACCTTTTTCTTTCTTCCTTTTCTTACAGTCAAAATCCAGCCTTCTACCAGAGAGCTTCTTTCTGTGGTGCTGTAGATAAATAAACAGCAAATATATCTTTCAACTTCAAACTTATCAAAGAAACATCTTGTTTTTTCATCAAAATACAATGAAGAAATATAGTGAATATAATATGCAATATGCAATATAATGACCCCCTCCCTGTCCCCTTCTACCACAACCAAAGAAAGAAAGAATGACTCTTTTGTTTAAACTAGACAAAATTCAAAACAAGTCATTATTTAGGATAAAAATCTATACTTATAAATTGATGAATTTTGCAAATAAACTCTGAAACGGGTGCACCCGAGTTCTTACTTACTCCTCTAAGAATACACACGATACAAGATGATGTCCGTAAACTATAATTAGATTTCACTTGCATTGTAAGTATTGTACATTATATTAAAAGTCTACTTTTATTTTCTATAAACAGCCATGAAATAGCAAAAACGTGAGTACGGTGGTGTTTCCGGTTGGCGGATCTAAGTTACTGGCAATTTTTAATGAAACTGGCAACAAGCAATCGTTTATTTATTTCATTAAACGTCATTACTGAATTATTCAATCAAAACTTGATTTAATTGATATAAAAGAAATAAGTTGTGATAACTGATAAAAAAGGAAAATGTGCAAATTATTTTCGTCATTCACCGATCGTAATATTGACGGAAGCTTCTAGAACATCATATAGCATCGAGCCCGATGTTAAAAAGAAAATAGCTGCTTTAACATAAAAAAGCTTTTGTGTCAATGGTCATTGAAATAATGGTAAATCACTGATAACCCTGTAAGTTGTGAATATATTTATATATCGAAAGACTATTACATTTATTTAGTAGGTTTTCCTAATAAATTTATCGGTAAAATTTGTATATTCCTCACTGAGAGCATCGTGGCAACGAACCCAAAGTACAATTTGGACTTCGTAATAAACCTGCTTACACGAAAAGAGAAAATTAATGAACACGGAATTATTCAAATACAATTATGCTGTAAAATTTTGTGCTTTAATCAATACATTTCAGTTTTTTTCTGAATACAGTCTTTTGTATCAAATACTCGGCCTATTCCAGTGGCGGATCCAGACACCAAAAAAAAAAAATTGATTTATTAAATTTTATGTATATTTTGGACACAAAAGGGGGGGGGGGGGGGGCTGGGCCCCCCTCTAAATCTGCCAGTGTATTCATAGGGCGTTCCAATTTTTACACAGGTACTTGAGTCTTGGATTATAGATATGTATGTACCTTATTGATATGTAAAAAAAAAAAGGTAAGGTACAGTTTTACATATCAATAAAGTACATACATATTTATAAAACATGACCCAAGTACCTGTGAATTTTTTCAAAAAAAAAAAAAATCAATTTCTCGGTAAAATGTGCATTTCTTGACAGAAATGAAATAAGAGTATCTGAAGTACAATATCCATAATACAGTATATACAATATCAATAACATAGTATATAACAGGTTTCACAATAAACGTCAATTAATGAAATTGTTATTGAAGTTTTACAAAGGGGGTGGGGGTGGAGATGTACTTCTACTTCATGCGGGATTTTGAACAAAGTATTTCTTCCTGCTTTAAGCCTGTAGGCTGTCAGTAGAAACTACAATATATATATATATTATTGGATTTTTTATGTCGGTAGTGGTATAAATTCAATTCCCCGCGCTTGCGCGAAATTTCATCTAGTGTTATATAAAGAGAACACAGTGATTCAACAATTTTACAGAAGAGTTATCTTTCTTAGCAGGGAGTTTTCCCCCTTACTAATTACTCAGATATATTTTCTCCCTTCAGAAATCCACACAATTGTGACCTACATTGACCTCCTTAAGGTCCTTGGATTGGAGATCTGATAGAGGTCCTAGGAAATTCTGTTTGACCTCGTCCTCCAGAGCGTACTTGTGGTCAGCGATTTGTTTGAACACCTCCCCGGCCTCCGTGAGGCACTCCCCTGAAATCATACATCAAAAAGAGATCAGTTTACACACATAAAGTATATGGAAAAACACATATTTTCACATCAGAATAATGAGTTTATAATAATAACATTTGCTATTAATTAGACTTAATAAAGGTTTCAACTTTGTTGAATATTTTAGGTCCATCCAATGTACATAAATGATTTAAAAAAAAAACAAAACTTTCTTGCTAAATTTCTTGGCGCAGTGCACAATGCAGTTGCTAAGCTATTTTATAATTTGAATTTAATTTTGTTTATAGTTTATTTAATATCCAGCATTTAATGTTTTCAGTTCACTGTAATTGATAAGGTCATCAACTTAAAATTTGACTTTTAACCTCTACGTATAACCTTCACCTAATATACAGCTTTGACATTGACCTTCACATTGATTAACTTGCCCAGATTATGATGTAGTTCCTAACTCATGGTGTTTAAAATTCATGGTCAACCAAGATAAATTAAAAAAAACTAGAGAAAAAATAAATGAACAGATAAACACTACAACTCAAAGACCAAAAAAAAAAAAAAACCAATATGTGTATGCAATGAAAATGTCAAGCAACATAACCAAGATCATGACTTCTTTTCATGACAGCTTTATTTCTGTTTTATCAGGTTACCACACTTTAACTGAAGTATTTGAAAAGAGAACAAAAAAATCAAAGAAATGGGGTAATTAAAGATTTCTAACTAACTTTTCCTGCTTCTTCTATTTCCCCCCTCAGTGTAAAAAGAACTTAACAGGAAATTATCACTAGAAGATGAGAATACACTCAAGGACACTTAGAGAGCCGTGCGGGCTTTACATTAATTAACATCACAGATGTATTTACTTCTCTACAAACTGAGGGAGCCACAGAAAAAAGATCAATGAAACATAGAGAACTAATGTCACAAGGGACAGCAAGAATAATTCGATGAATTAACTGTTTGTCAATTTACATCCAAAACATAAAACATATTATCATCAACACACAGTGAGCTATGGGGAGATGGATAGCTCAGAAGGATATATACATCAACATATCCATCAATCCTAAATTTGTGTGTGTATTAATGCGCGTATATATAAACCGTAATGAATGTGGTGTACAACAAAATATGAGATTCGTCATTCGAAATGTACAACAAAATATGAGATTTGTCAATCGAAATTTCAAGGAAATATTTGTGAACTTTGAGATGCACAATTGTAAGATGATAGTTCCACTTCAATTATATTCAATCAATGCAAATCTATGTATCACCGACACCTGTGCTATATTGTTAAAGATATGTACTTGAAAAATTACTTCCCAACAAACAATATTTAACTCATGTGGTGAGAATATTTTATAAACTTCATATTAAATTGTGCACGATGTCTATCAAACAACGATCCCATCAGATGAGTAGTCTGTTTATGTTAACGGTGGCAAAACAAAAGAGCAAAGCGACCTTGTTACTAATTGTATGTTATCATTGCTGGCAACTTAAAACACTGGTTTCTGGTTGCACAAGTTTGGTGAGAAGATAATGTAATCAAAGTCATAAATCATTTGTCAGACAAAACCACTGTTTTTCCTTGAACATTTCAAAACTGGGACTTTTTCTGTAAGCATCCTTAAGACTTAGACTAAGGGTAATTAATAATTTTTAACCAAATATTTAATAGTGATAAGATTTTTATGTTGAATACCTAAATTACAATTCTACACATTTCCAACAAAATCTTTTTTGGAGGGTGGGTAAGAAGGGAGTTGGGGGGGGGGGGGGGGGGGTCCTACATATTTAAATGAGAAAATGATTGAAAAGTTAGGTTACTAATAAATTACAATAAACATGATGGATAATGATTTTAAAAAATGGCATTAATCTTCTTCTTTTTTTTGTGGTTAAAACTGCATTTACAGAAAAAAGGGTTCTCTCCATTCCAATAAATTTCCACTGTGAAAATAACACTCTGTCATGCACGTCTTCCTTTAGAAATCACTGGCTGATTTATATTCTAAAAAAAGAGATTTAAACATTCCATCTAGGGATATCACTTGTAATGACATGAACAAGATAAGCCTCAGGCCCTTCTTTTTTTTAAATTCTTTAATAGTTACATTCATTCTTTATAGCAGATAATCTGTGCAGATTTCTAGGACTATAAAAGCAATTGAGTTTAGTTGCTAAGTGAATGGCTGTAAGGTTACATAAGAAAATAGACAAAAGCATTATCTCCGACAATCATGTAGATTTTACATAATATTCTAACAGGTGCTACAAACAGCCATGCACAAATTTTACCTAGACTATATGTCAACATTGACACAGATCACATCTCAGTTAACTTACAATTGTGTTTATATTGTAAACTTGACATCAGACACTACATGTATAATATATAGGACAGTGTAGCATATGTTTAATCATGAGTAATCCAACTATACAGAACACTCATTTTAATGTCTTAAATACATTAGATTCATAACCCCACTATGTTTAGCATATATATTTTAATTTTTATATAAACTATTAATAACTACTCAACTATTTTAGGGCTGTGATCTTTTTTTAAGTGTACTTTATACTTCCGAGACATTAAGGGACTTAGTACCTGCATATTAATTATTATCAAGGAGTCGGCATAATTTTTTCTCAGAAAACATTACTCTGACAAGATTCTATGTCAAACCTTAAAGATACCTGTATACTGCTTCCTTATAAATGTCCAGTCAAAAAGATATGCCTCAATTTTCCATTGTTATGATCATAGTAAGGCCTTCGATCCATACCATAAAATTAAGGCTATATTATTAGCCCCTTTCTAATTTGCTTAACATGGAAACATACTTTACCCCACAAACTGAAGGGGTAAATTTCCTCACTCACAATTGATTAAATCAGACAAATATAGACATGATAAAATATAATTTAAATATCAAGTAGTCCCTGGAATATTGAACAACCCCTTGTCTTTTGCAGTCCAATATCATCTTCTCTCCACTCACAGTTCATGTTCAGAAGTAATGTCAATATTCTGTGAATTACACGTAACTAATTTTCCCAATTTCTTCCCCCAGTTCTAAACAGTACACTGACAATGACAAACATGGTTTCGCTTATATCAATGATCTTAACCTCTTGTCCTTGGATCTTTTAGCTAGAGACCTAAATGTCTTGAAAGGAAGACAGTAAGTTGAGATACCTTCAAGTTTTGTACATGTACTACACAAAGGTGTGTTCATAAGAAAATAAATAATTATGATCTTGACCTTCAACAAAATGATCTTAAAATCTGAAAGTTACGAGGGCATGGATTCCCAATGAGGTGTGAGAGGCTTATATTTTATGCTATTTTGTAAAGCAGGTAAACCAAACATAAACCAGATCAAAGTTATTTGGAAGGGTATTCCTGGCAGCATAAATAGATAGAACATGTGGGCTATATATGCCCCATAAAAAAAACTCACCAAACACCATATCCTCCCCCAAGTCCTTGCCATGTCGGATCATGTGTTCCCCAAGAGTTCCCTCTGGCTGTGGGTAGGAAATATTCTTTGTGTTTCCTCTAACCTTGGAGAAGTTATTTACAACCATCATTTTTGTTCTGGAAGCTACAAATTTACAGAAAGTCATGTTTATTGAGTTTGTGACTGAGTCAAATGTATTTTATATCAACAGAGCATAAATCTACATGTTTTTCTGTTAGAGACATCAGAATGGTAAACAGAAATTAGTTATACCTGGATTTGGTTGGAGATATTCCTGTGTTTTTGAAATTAAGTCATCCACCAACTTTGACATCACATCAATTTTCTATAAAAACAAAAACACTCAGTGCTTATAATAAATTACCTGTAAATTGCACTTATTAATGAATGTTTTTCTGACAAATATGTATTTTTGACTTTTTATCTATGCATTTAAATAAACAATTATCCATGACCATCTCGGATGTCAGGTTTACTTACCCTTTCCATCTCTATAAATTCTTCATCTAGTTCTGTTCCTTTAGCACCACCAATCTTTTCACTCATATACTAAATTAAAAAAAAATAGAATTTATTTGAAGTCAACATTACTTAATCTATATTGTTCTCAGGGCTCAGGGAATAAAACTTAAGCATTTTCATGCTTTTCAAACATCATTATGACTTGAGAGTAAATAACTCTTAGATTTTAACATGATACATTTTGTATCTAAAGAATTGCTGGTAAGAAGGAATGTGTGTAGCATAACTTAGTTCACTAAAAATTCTCACATTCTTACAGACCATCAATATCTAAGAGAATGTTTTGTTTTATTATATTTATCCGTTACAATTTTTAAAAACATAGTTTTCTGTTATTGCTTTGTTCTTATCAGACTTTGTTATATCATAGATATATATATTTAACGTATGATGTCTTCAATATGTATTGAATTGACTTGCATTTTTACTACATTTTCCTCTTTACGAACTTTGGGGGAAATAGAGTCAGTTTTTATTTTGCAATAATACAAACCGGTCCACAACACTGAGACCGTGGCTTATAAACTAACTCATTAGTAATTACGAACTAAACAGAAAATACCTGGTTTGCTTTGTTAAACTGCTTCTTGAATCCTTCCCACGACATGTTGATAGATATTTATCACTACAATCCAAAGCTGTCAAAATTTATTATTTAGACGTACTCCCACTAATCTGTTGACGAATTTAGTTCTAGTTCCGCAGCTAATAGTTAGAAATGGGAAAAAATTCTGAATCTGATAAATTTGGATTTCTGTGTAATTTTTATGCAAAAAGATAGTATTTCAACAGAATTCATTTAAATCCATTTTAAATTGTAAAAAAATGTAATAAACACACATGAGAATAAATTTAATTAAATGAATCAACAATAATAAACTTTTAGATGAAAGATAATTCCAAAAACATGAACAACTTTAAAATAATTATGAGATTTCGTTGATGAAAACCAGCATGATTATTGTATTGTTGATTGTACCAAATACAATGAACAAAATTTGATTTTACAGAAAATTACAATTGAAAAAGGAGTTTTAAAAATTCTGATTGATCAAAACGCTATCTATGACATGATAGGACGAACAGCGGGCTAAAGTTATCCGTACATGTACTTCTATATCTCGAGGATCACGGAAATCAAAATCAAATATCTATACAGAATACTTAAGTTGTATTGATAATTAAATATTTAAAGTTAACAAATAGAAAAGCTGAAGTTTTCTATATCACTTGAACCATGATTGTGGTTCTCATTCTAACTTAGCAGGAAAGGAGGGGGGGGGGGGGGGCATGGTCTGATCAAACCTGATCCTGCTCCGATCCCTTAGTGCATTAATACAAAAAAAATATATCTTTGATACTCTTTTCTGAATATTTTGAAAGATTTTCCTATATTTACATGTAGCTATATGTAAATCTTTTATCCCATTCCATAAAACACATAGATTTTAATTAGTTAAAAAAAAATAAATTGAAATCAAGTCCGTTTAAATCTATAGGGTATGCTTGCATATCAATTCAATAATTTGTAGTCTTGCCGTTATTGAAAAGAAATAAAGATAAAATATACTTCATCCAATGTACTTCATCCCAAGAAAAATCGTATCCCCACCTATACATGTATACGTCAATCAACTTGACGGTCTAGATGTAAATTGAAAGATCAGCATATATGACAGTAAATGTAAAATAATAAAAAAAAATATAATATTGAATAATAATTAGGTATTTACTACCGCACGGTCAAATCAAAATGTATAGGGCAGTGGCCTGGTTAATTCGCGCAGAGGTTGTGATTTAATTAACTCTTCAAACTTGAATCTTCATTGCATAAGAAGCTCTCACACAAGTTTCGTCTTTTTTGATTACGTGGTTTGATAGGAGATTGGAATATTCTATATTTAAACACGTACTTCTTTCTCTGCTCCCCTCCCCAAAGTGACACGATCTTTCCTTTATATAGATCTCATTCTTAAAAAAATACAAGAATAACAACAACTTTGAGCCAGGTTTGATTGAAACTGAAACGGTGATTATAGAGAACTAGTTGAAATTGAAAATGTTACAAGTCAAAAATTAAAAGGAAACTACGAGTGTCCAAAATGCATCAGTTCATTCCCCTTTCATTTAGGTTTTCAATAAAAAGCTTTAACTAAAGTTCACTTTGTAAGGCGAAGTCTAATGTTATTATTGTCCAGTAGAGTTGTCAGCCAGTTTGTACATTTCTCTCGATGCACGGAAGCGTGTTCCATCATCCGCAGAAACATCCGGTCCGTTTCGCTATTGGTTCCATGAAAAACGATTTTCTTCATCATGTTAAAGTTACATTGCCTCATGTTCATTTCTTCTTTTCTTGAATCCTCCACTGACAAAGGCGCTGTCCCCGGAAGAGCCAGCATGTTATAGATAGTCAAAACTGAGACCCGATCCCAGTCCAACGGCTTAGGTTGTCGACCGGAAGTATGCAGTCTAAACGCCGCCATTTCCCACGCAAAAAGGCGTGCATCCGGACTAAGGCTCTCCCAGTCTTTTGGGGGCCAGTACAAAGGTTGTGGATCAGTAAGCAATACCAGCGGACAAACATTGGTCCACTCCCGCTTTGCTGGAGGGATGATAGGCATGACCCCGGTGCTTAAAAGGTCAAATGCTGTTTTACGGGATTCAGTTGTTGGATGGGACGTGTCAAGAACGATAACCTCACAATCATTGCACTCATATTTTGCAGATGAATGGCGGGGTTGTCTGTTCGTTGAGTGCACGACAATCTCTGACACATTCTTTTCTGTTCCAAGATTAAAATACCCGGGGTCTTCTGAGGGCCCGGTGTCTGCTGAGAGTTTAATAGTGGAAGAAGGCTTGAAAAAGTTGTCCCCCTTGTATTTCTTCACACTGATGTCTTCGTGTTCCCCATCCAAGTCAGAGAGGAGAATTTCTCCCCCGTGACTCACACTCAGAGGTGAGATTTCGGCAGTGTCAGGCTGCAGTGTGTGAGAATTAGTGCTCATTATGGTCGGAGATCGTGATCGGAACTGAGAATCAGGCACTGGATGGTCATCCTCTTCCTGTTGACCGTGAGGGGGAGTATCCATCGGAGGGGAGTAAGAAGGTATACAATTCTGTGTCTTGGTCTGCTGGTGCAATTTAATACCGTAGGTGAGCTTTGTAACCAGTCGACAGGGTATTCCTAGCGTGCTTGCAATAGTTTCCTTCATCCTCAAATGATTTGTACCTACTTCTTTCATGCTTGTAGGTGGTTCTTCGAAATTTGGTTTTAAAGCAGCCTTCTTTTGAACAATGCTGACATATGACCTCGGGTCAGATGTGATCTCTTTGGCCAAGATACAGCGGTACCAGATCTGACATTGCCCCTCAGTATACAAAATGACAACGATGCCGTCCAGGGTGTCGCAGATAGAATGAATAACCAACTCCTCACGGGTAATACCAGGTCTGCGGGGGGAATACGTGTCCGATTTGTTAGTTTTTACACAAGGTTCTGCATTCTCTGAATGTTCTGAAGAATCATCTATGTCCATCATTAGGGACCTTTCTAAATTTCTCTTCGCCGTAACCTTTGACTTCGCCTCATCCGCCAACTTCCAGCCTCGTTCCCAATCGTTGATGGAGCGACTCGTCTCCCTCACTCTTCCGAGCCAGTTTCTCACAAGATCCCGAGCTGCGCTTGCGCAGGCACTTTTGGAATCTGTGGGTTCGATGCGTTGGCGATACTCACGTGGAACAAGCGAAAACCAGAATCCATTGGGCTCCGTAAACAGGTCATTTTTGAGTGACCCTAATCTATCCAAATTTCTTTTGTGTTCTTGTAGAACATGGTCTCGTAAATCCGGTGTTGCTCTTCGGAAGACTTTTTCTTGTAGGCAGAAGGGACAGAGAACGTAAAAGCTCATGGTGCCGAGGAGGGGAGCTTTCCCAGGAAAAAGAAACCTAAAAAAGAGTTACCTTTTGTTACCTTTGATGTTGTCAGCAGTTATACAAGATAACCTGAACAAGAAACACTAATATGGTTCCGTAGTGTTTTATTGCTTCGAAATTTCAAATGAGATTTGACAAGGAAGAAATAAAATATTCAAGATGTTTCGAAAGGTTGAAAATATTGAGAACTCAGAATAGAATTGAGACGACTATTTACATAACTTAATCGCTTTTTTAAAAAAAATTAAGATCATTTATGATCAAAGTTTTTGAACTCCGGAATGAAATTAAAAACGGATTGTAAATTAAAAGTTCTAGATCTTTTGCTTCAATATGAAAAGTGAAGATATTTTTTTATCTATTAATTTATGTTTACCACGAAAAATCCCACGTCTGAAGTCGCCGTTAATCCATAATCTTACTCTACAGTGTCTGCTTTGTAATAAGTATGTTACACTAAAAAAAAAAAAAGGAATACACGGATCCAGTTTCCTTTAGGGTTTTCCTGCAGCGCTTCCGGTCGGTAGTTAATTTGTGTGTTTCCTGGATTAAACATCGCTACCATCAATACGTGTACATTGGCCTGTTTGTGGCAATTTCATTGTATAATTTTCAAAATATATCGTTGTAAAAATTTTATGCTAAATCTGTACAATATCATTTCTACAATTCTACCAAATATCATATAAATTTTAATTTCCAAAACAATGAATGGGCACCTACCTGATGGATTGGCCATGCCCATGTCCATTTTTATAAGAATACACATATCTGCATGTACATTTTTTAAGTTCCTACTATTTTATTGGTAGTTAATTTGTACTCGAAATCTCAAATAACCATTGTTTCTTAGAGTTTAATGGCATTACGTGTTCACTTGTTTCGAGGGGTGGGGGGGGGGTGTAAAATAAATCATCAAGCATCTTAACAATCACTTGTATGCTGGGAGAATTCCCAGAAAACCAAAAGAAGTAATGACGCACACGGAGTTAAGGTAAATGGAAATAAATGTTCTTTTTTCTTTCAAATTCTTGAACATAGTATATATATATAGGCATTGCTGGCTGTAAAATACACATCCCCACTCAGTCTAGGCCATACTCATTGCGTCAAGTAATATTGTATTGTAGCCCGGAGTTTTATGTCCATTGTTATTAGATTTCCCATTTCCCATTTTTTCTATAAAATTTGTCGTTAAACAGCGTTAACCTTCCCATATATATTGAGATATATTGAGATCGATCTGTTCAGTTTGAACATGATCATTAATGAATGAATGAATGAATTTTTTTTTTTAAATTATTTACATTGCCCAGTATCATAATATGTTAAAAAATAAGAAAATTAACGAAATTGAAAAATAGTTTTACTACTTTTACTCACAGACACTTACTAGCTTAATTACATACAGACTCGTTCTTTAGATAAGAATTGAGAATAACAAAATGGTTAAAAAAAAGATCTATGTAATACATATATATAATCTCAACTTTACATTCTAGATCTTTCTTTCTTTCTTTTGTTTATATATTCGTTTTTATTTGTTCGTACTTTCTCTATCAAATGAATGTTTTTATCTATATTAAAGGCTTGTGCCATCGCTAGAATCAATTCTTTTGTAAGACTTGTCAGAGTAGTCGCACTTTGAAATGTGTCCGTTTTTATCCGAAATAAGGGGTTTATTTTCTCGTATCAAAATGAAAAAAAAAATATTAAGATTGTACAGAAACGGTTATATTGATGATGATATGTGACAAGATAAAACAAAAATAATTTTATAAATTTTCAGTAGTTGCAAAAATATTTCGACAGGCGCGTTTCATCTCCCGCCAACTACGAACTCCTTTTCTTCACTCATTCAGCTGACGGGCAAGTTCATACTCTGATCAAAACACAACAGTCATTTGGAATGGCTCAAGTTGAAACCACGACAGTCAAGAAAAATGGTATTTATATAAACAAAAGTATTTGTGAAGTATTTATTCGTCATCTCTTGCAGAAATAAATGTCTTCATTAATAACAATTTTAGTTTTATTGAAATGTAGAAGAATAACTTATTCTTATATCTAGCATTATATGTCTGAATATTGGTTTCAGACAGTGACTTATTGTCTATAGGCTCAGATCAATTCTGTGTCTGGGTTGTTTTTATTTGGGGGGGAGGGGGGTTAAGTGGTCGACAGTCTTGTCTTTTTTGTTACGTTATAATCATAAAATAGGTTGGGTCATGCAATCGCCCAAGTGAGATATAATAGCCCGTTTGGGGTATTATAGCCCAAATGGGATTTAGATTTACAGTTCTTAAAAAAATATATTGGCTACAAGTATTATAAATTTGCATGAATTGAATGCAGTAACTCTTTGGGGTGCAAGTTATTCTCTTTAGAGAAGTGGACAGGCTTTCGCCTACATCCATGTAGGCGAAAGCCTGTCCACTTCTCTAAAGAGAATAGGGTGCAAGTGTTTCTATGACCTCAGTTTGTAAGAGTTTAAGATCTTCGAGGGGTCAATCTTTGAAAAAGTTGGGATACAGAAAAACTTGTTAACCAAGAGTTATTGCTTTTGAAGTATTTTGATGCAGATTTATAATTTCCATGGCTAAATGAAAAATCTTAATATTTTTTTCACTGTAAATTTATCCAAAATGGGCTATTAAATCCCATTTGGGCGATTGGTCCCAATCTATTAAAAAAAATGGTTGAAAAACATCTGAATACTCTGGGATGACTTTTTATCTAGGGTGCATTTTTTCAAGGGCCCTTTTGGGATATGAAAAATGTTATAAAATTTTAATTTTTCCAGGGACAAGCACCCTTAATGCTTATGTTGTAAATTTTTGTGATTTCTATGTAACAGTTACAAAACATTAGCATGGGGGATATATTTTGTGGAAGTTAGAGTATTCAATAAGTGCATTGGGTTTTTGGTGTAGATAGTATGGTACCTCTTTTCAAAATCATTTGTGTGGTGATAAACTTTGCAATACCTTAGTCTTTGCAAAATTTGCAAAAATTTACCAAAAGCAGACATTTCTACATTTACAGTAATAACAATTACTAGTTCATTTGATATATATTTAATACATTAATTACAAAAGGTAATGAACATGAAGGAGATGAAAGTCCACCATTGAAGAAGCTGAAACAGCTAGATCTCATGCAGATGAAACAAGGTAAGACAATACAGCAGTAAACTGGTAAATATTTGTGCTAATATGGTATGAAATTACAGTTGAATTTCATTATCTCCGACTTCAATATCTTGAATACCATCAATATGTTGAAGAGAGTTAAAAGTCCCAACTACCTTTTATTTATACTTGTATTTTACTGATAATCTGAAACAGTACTTGTACATAAATTGACGTATTCAAAATTTAGTGCAATCACTGAGTTTTGAGTGGTTAGTGTAATCATGAATTAGCTCTACACACGTCCGTGTCATATTTTGTATTTATAAATGATTTTTTTATCGGTATTCATGAATTAGCTCATTGTTGTCCGCGTCAAAGCCGCTAAAATATGGACCCCGCTTTTTTAAGTACACATGCAGTATCTCAAAAGTTTTTTTTAGGTCCCATCAGGTTCGAGATAGCCAGGTTTGTGTGTATATTGACTTTAAACCAATGAAGATCATTAATATTCTTTCCTTATTTACAGGTCGGTTACCATTTAAACCTGTCGATGTCAAGCCAAAGACAGGGTTAGGTAACACACCTCCTAGTTCTAAGAAACGAAAACTATCTGATGGTGAATCTCCAAGTGCTAAACCTTCAAAAACTCCCAAATCACAGGAAAAAACAGTCATAGAAATAAATGAGTCTGAGGTTAGTTCTAGTTCAGAAGCTGATCATCAGTCCAGAAAAAATAAAATTCGTAACACGTTGGAAAGATTTGTCTGTAGGACTTCGCAAGAAGAAATCTCGTCCACAAATGACGGTGTAGATTTTACAGAATCTAAAGGTTCCCCGATTTGTATCGAGAGTGATGAATCTGATACAGAAAAGGAGAATATCCCAAAAAAGGCCTCAAAATCCACGAAACAAGCATCTCCCGTAAAATCAGAAGAAGAGAAAAAACAAGTAGAAGGAGATGCAATGGAAATTGACTCTCAATCTGCAGATGAAACTGCAGAGAATAACGATAACTCACAAAATGAGTCCGAGAATTCTTCCACTAGCCCAGACTGTGCAACACCATCAAAAGACAAGGCATCAGATTCTGTCTTAAAGACCCCTACCTCTAAACTCTCTGACTCGTTGCTAAAGACTCCAAAGTCGGCATCAGATCTAAGCTGTAGTGACAGTACACCTGGTACTGCTAAACGAGCTCCTAGGAGGGTAAGACAATAGTGGACTTTTGAGCTTGAATACTGTTCGTTATCTCCATATATTTCATTTAAAGAGAAAAAAATTAAAAGAATTTTAATTTATTAAAACTATGCGCTTGTTCTGTAGGGCTGTAGTTATGATCAGCACCGAAATAAATATGCAAATGCATTTATTTATATGCACACCAGCAGCACTATTTCAAATTGCAGGGACTAGTCCATGATCTATATTATATGTACTGATAATACAAAATATCTGTCAATATTTTAATTTAAAAATTGACTGAAGTAAATCTTAAATTGGAATGATTATACTTGTTTTATCTTAATTTCAAATTGTACAGTTGTCTGATGCTAAAAAGCAGGAAAGAGAGGCAAGAAGGCAAAAAATAAAGGAAGAAAAAGAAAGGCAAATGGAGGAAAAACGACAGAAAAAGGAACAAGAGAAAATGGAAAAAGAGCGTGAAAAAGAGAGGCTGAAGAAAGAAAGAGAGGAGGCCAAGGCAGAAAAAGAAAGACAGAGACAAGAGGAAAAGGTATTACACAATTCAAGCAGGAAAAGCGAGTTTTATTTTCTCCAATATACTTTCCTCAATGAAAATATGAGTTCATTAGTTTTACGCTTTTTATTGTGTGAAGAAAGATTATATAATTTTTTTTTTTTTTTTCGTATTTAATTTTATTTTTTTTTTCGTATTTAATTTTATTAGCAAAAGAAGGAAAAAGAAAGACAAGAAAAGTTGGCACAGAAGGAGGAAGAGAAGAAAAAGAAACAAGAAATCATTGAGTGAGAAATCAAATTAAATCGTTAAATAGACTTCTAATGCTGGTTTAGCTGGTCCTGTAGGAAATTAAAAGTGGGGAAGAATTTGTCAGTACATGTACCGTAAATCACTTTTTAAATCGTGAGAACTTTATTTTCACGTAATTACATGAGACTGCTCACAAAAATTCCATTCTCGTGTATATTGGTATTATTAAAGATGATATAGAGCAGTGACTGAAATGCATGAAAATTGGTCTTGCCTATAAAGACCAAATGACAATCCTGAGAAAATAAGGTGTCGCGAAAATTAAGTGATCAACAGTATATATGGATAATTTCGACAAAGAAAAACCAAGTACAAATAAATGTACATTTCATTTAAGTTCCAGTGATTAAGGTACATGTTTCAAAATCTGACAAAATTGTTAAACTGGAAAACTTTTGAGTTATAAAAATAACTTCTACTCTGATATACATGTAACTGTGAAACTTGCCACATTTTTTTTTCTTTTTGGATGTAATTTGTAGAAAAGATGATTTATCTTTAAAACTGACTTGCTGGTGACCTGCTTTGAACATTTTATGATCATTTTGATGTTAATTTTAAAACAGAGCTAAGCAAGAAGAAAAGAGAAAAAGAGAAGAAGAAAAAAGAATGAAAGAAGAAGAAAAGCAGAAAGAAGAGGAGGGAAAGGTAAATATTAATCATATTTGTTCCATTTGAATTATGTCTGAAAATATTTACCAAGGTAGTTGTGTCATGGCATATTTCTAGTTCAATTCTCTAAAAACCTTGTACCTGTAAAATAAAAATGTGTATAAAAATGCCAATATAAACTAATCTTGCATTAAAAAAAAGCTGCAAGTGTTTGTAAAAAATTGATGACATTAAAAAATATATCAATAGCATCACTGATCTTGAGATCCAGATACATTTTATCATAGGAATAATAGTCTGGGGGTTTTGCCACTACCAAATCCCAATTAGTACTAGCACAGAGTTCTTGAAATCTTTCTTCCGCTGTCAGTCATTTGGACTGACTGCAATGTGAAGTTTGTCAGTCCAGACAGATTTCTATCAGTCCAAAAAAAAAATCAATAAAAAGATGAAAACTGTATTTGAATTTTATGACCAATACATTTTGCACCCTGCATCAATACACACTGTACATTTCATGTCGATTTGATCAACAATTTTTATTGAATTCTCGCGAGGGTTGATTTTCTTCACAAGTTCTTTAATCTAGTTCAATTTTCTCACCTGGCTTAGCGCCGTCAACAAACTTGTTTTAACAGTTTATCAATCATAGTTTGGCACTTGTGTTCATTGAAGAAGCCATTATAAGATACAGAACAGCGTTTAACAGATTACGATTGGTTGGTTATAGGGAATTTGTACCAAATTTAGTTAGATTTTCGCAAGTTGCTTTCTCAACATCTACCAGTCATTAGGACTGACACAGAACCTAAAGTAATTGGTCCTTGGTTGTTATACCCCCCGCAAACGAAGTTTAGGGGGGGGTATATTGGAATCAGCTTGTCCGTCTGTCTGTAGACGAGATTTTGTCCGGACCATTTCTTCGAAACTGTTGCAAGGATTTGTCTGAAAATTTGTACACTTATTCTTTGCCATATGAAGGTGTGCACCTGGTATTTTCATCATGATTGGATAATTTTTTTGCATTTTACAGGTGTTTTTTTCATTTTTATTATGTGGTTTTTTCCGGATCTGTTCCCAGGGACTATTGCATAGATTTGTATGAAAATTTGTACACTTATTATTTACCATATGAAGTTGTGCACCTGGTATTTTCAACATTATTTGATAATTCTTCTGCATTTTACAGGTGTTTTTTTTAATTTTTATTGACTTAGTCATTTCGGGTTCATGTCAAAGGTTTGAGACATAGAATCTAGAACATCTGTACAAAAATGTGAACTACAGCTTAAAACTACTCATTAGAACTAGAAAAAAAATCACAAAGTATTAAAAACAGTTTTTACATTACATAGCAGATAGTGTAAATCCATTTGTCCCTTGGGAGTAATGAGTGGACATGCATCCAGTTAAAGATTAATTAATGAGTTCAGTGTGGGAAGCTGTTAGGGCATCTCTGATCAAGCAGGTCTTATCTATATCTCTGGGGAATTGGGCAGAAAGAAATAAAGATCTCTGTTGTTTAAGTCTCTTAATTGTAATTTATGTCTGTCGAAATACATAGTTACTGGAACCAGCCTTTTATTTTTAATATGAGTTTGATATAAAGGTATTAAAATCAATTTGATTTTGTATAATTAATTATGATTTTTTTTTTTTCAACAATCAATTTGCAGGTGTCATGTCTCACAAAGATGGCAGATAGTTGCAAACTATTTTTTCAATGTAATAAAAAACACTGTAATTATTAGTATTGATGTTTTATTAGGCTGCACCTTAGTTTCATTCATGAAATAAAGTGCCCCACCACAGCATGATACACCCATCAAATATTGTTAAATTATCATAACAGTTTAGATTCAATTGTTCGAATGACATTTTAGTGAGACAAGGCAGTCTGCAATTTGTTGTAAAGATATAAAAATTAAAATAAAAAATGTACAATAAATAATTAGTTTAAATTATATTATATAATATCATATAAGTTTTAATTATTATATACAATATCAAATTAGTTTTAATTACATCAAATTTATCTTGAAAGTAAGACTAGCCAACAAGAACAATTCAATACAACACAAGCAATTAATTAAGAGACTGATTCCTTTTGCCCAATTCCCAAGAGATATAGATAACACCTGCTTGATCAGAGATGCTCTACCAGTTATCTCCTCACACTAAACTCATTAATTTATCTGTAATTTGACATGCAATTTTCTGCTATCAAAATTTTCCTTGACCAGTGCCTGATCATTACACCCATGGGAGAGGTGGAATTTTTCTTGTTACAGATTGCTGTAAAGAACATAATGAAAAAAATAAGACTAGTGTTTTCTTGATTTAACACTTTTTTAATAAAGATACTGCAATTCTCTGACATCTTTTGGGATTGTGTAATTTAAAAGTTAAAAAAAGACATAGATTTTTGATTCTAATTCTAATGGTTTTCTAGTTATGATTTTTCCATATTTGGCCATAGCGTCTTTATTAAAGGTCAGAGCAACCTGGTTTTAATGTGCAACACACATTCTACCCTAGATGTATCAGCTGGCAAAGTTTGATAATTCTAGGCCTAATAGTATTAAAGTTATGAGCCGGACATGAAAAAACTAACAGACGGACGGACATGAACGCTATAACATAATACGTCCCGTCTTAAGACGGGCATATAAAAAATATAATGAGTAATTAAATTTTCACTGTAAATGTTTAAGCAAATTGTGAACACCTCTCACACCTAGAAAACATTAGTGATTTGGTACTTTCTCTGAAAAACCCAGCGGGGGGTATTTGTCCCTTTTGGACAGTTCTAGTTTTTATCGGTCTTGCCAACGGGACCGAAAGATTTCAAGAACTCTGCTGGCACCATTTCAAAGAGTTGAAAATATTGTTAATCCTCTGTTGGATGATTCAAGCTAGATCATATGAAGGACCATTCCCCACTTCTACAAATAGGTAATGAATAAATGGTGAAAAAAGGGCAGGGTTATTTTAAAGTCTTCCTCATAGAACCACTAGGCCAGAAAAAAAGACTTCTTTTTTATGAGAGCATCCTTGTTTTTTTTTCCTCATAATTTCTTTTGATAAAACAAAATTATATTTTTATGTATAAAATGAATTATTTTTTTTTACAGAGACAAAAAGAGCAGAAGTTGAAGGAGTCCTTTACAAATTTTTTTGTCAAACCTAAAACTTCCCCGACAGCAAAGGTAAAGTCATGAGAACTGAGAAAAGATACATGTACAGTAAAAATTAACAACATCACTCTCCACTGCTCTCTCTTTTTTTCTTTGAAGGATTGAATATACTGTGAAATTGCTAATTTTCTTAGGGGTTTAATTTTTGTTGTTTTCATGGTATGAAAACACTCACAAATTTATATCCTCCATGAAATAAAAATGGCAAGGTACAGTTAAAGTACATTTCTTCAACCACAAAATCAAATCACGGTGGGTATAACCGGTTGGCAGCTGATGGCACCTGATCCCACCTCTGCTGTTTTAGAGGTCCATGTTTGCTCTGCTCCAAAATTTGTATTGTTTAATGGACTTTTGAGCTTGAATACTGTTTGTTTTCTACATATATTTCATTTCAACCACAAAATCAAATCCCAATATACTTTTTTTTTTTTGGCAAATCATGAAAATTTGACCCCAGAATAATACCCGGGTAAGTGATTTTAAAATAAATGATCAGTTTATAATTTGTAAGAGCTATAACACCTATGTAATGCCATTTTGTCACTCGTTTGTAGTGATTGTGATTAATTTTGCAGACGAGCAGAGAGCCAGTGGGGATGTTCATGCCATTTGAACTGAAGAAAGACATGCTGCTAGCCCCTAAAATAAGAAAGGGGTTAGATTCAGAGTCAAAGGGAAAACTTGACCAGTTTCTTCAGAAGCAGGTACATGTACCTACATGCAATGTACAAGTATGTACGACACAATCAAAATTTAAGCTATATCATACCATGGACATATAGGTGCAAGTAAATGTCAGCACATTTTGGAAGTGTTATTTTCATACAGTGCATGTACATGTACATTAGCAGATAAATAGAAAAAGGCCATTAATTAAGGGAAAAAAGTACAACTTCTGCGTAAAAGAAGCATAATGTATGTAAGAACATTTGCTCTGCATTGGTTTGACCTTTAAATTTTTATTATATAGTTTACAAGATTTCTATCAATAATACATGTATTAGCACTGCCGTGTTGCACTTTGAAATACATGAATATTGAAAAGATTTCAAGTGTACTTGGAATCTACCTTTTCTTTAATCATAGCTCTTGAGTTTATATTTTAAGTTCTAAATGAACAATTTTTTCCTATTTTCATTGTAGGATATAAAGGATCTGTACATTTCAGAGCTGAAGGGTGGTAAATTTAAACCCAGGAAGCACAAGGGAACCCCCGACAAGTATGTGATCGGGCAGAATGACCAGTGAAAATTTATAACCACGTATACAAAGCAAAAGCTAGAGCAGTGAAAGTTGGGGTCTCTTAGTAGCATCCCACTAAGAATAATGGCACTGTTTTGGTATTGAATGTCCCCTAAAACAAATTGTATTGGTTAAAACCCTGTTTTCATAGAAAATAATGCTAAAAGAAGAAAAATAATAATGACCAAGCTGATTGCTTTAACAGTTTTGATCATTGTCTATTAGTAGCTGATTGCTTTAACAGTTTTGATCATTGTCTATTAGTAGGACTAAGGAGGATGAGGTTGTATTGGTACATGACACAGAGACAGTGAAGAGTATCACCTACCACTGTAAACTGCTACAGTTCCACATGAACTACCGACCGCCGTACTACGGAACATGGAGGAAGAAGAGCAGTAAACTCAGTCCAAGAAACCCATTCAAAATGGACACTGTAAGACCATACTAATCAGATAATAGGAGTGAAACAGTTCAACATGGAATCAATTCATTGCAGTATTTTTGTCTGTTTGATACATGGTACAAAATCTCAATTTTCGATTCTGTTCACTCTTTGATCAGGAGTGTTATTCAGTCAGATTTGGCATTCATAAAAAAAATGCTTCACAGCAAATTTTGAAATTTTAAAAAGTGTTTCTTGAAGAATAAGTTTATTGAATAATCATTAACAGTGAATTCATTCCAGTCAATTTCTTCAAGTCAATTTGCACATTAAGTACATGTAAATGTTTTTAGTGAAACAAGACATAAAACAACTTGGAATATGTTTCCTTCAAATAGAATGTTTCGTCTCAATTAATAACTGTACCCTGACAAAATTGTATGATATGTATTGTATCGTGAAGGAGGCGTATCAAGATTCTTGACCACAGTCTGTTTGGCTGTTCATAGTCACCAGCACAAAAAAGTATGAGTCTAGGCCAGGAGTGAAGAAACAGGTATACAACTGTATTGTTGATACTTTGTGAGATGCTCTGTTTTGTTGATTTCAGGACTTGTTTGACTATGAAGTGGACAGTGATGATGAATGGGAGGAAGAGGAGCCAGGGGAAAGTCTCTCAGCCTCAGAGGTAAACAATCTCAGCTACAGAAGTAAACTATCTCAGCCTCAGAGGTAAACAATCTCAATCTCAGAAGTAAACAATCTCAGTCTCGGAGGTAAACAGTCTCAACCTCAGTGGTAAACAATCTCAGCCTCAGAGGTAAATAATCTCAGTCTCAGAGGTAAATAATCTCAGACCCAGAGGTAAACAATCTCTACCTTAGAGGTAAACAATCTCAATCTCAGAAGTAAATAATCTCAATCTCAGAAGTAAACAATCTCAGTCTCAGAGGTAAACAATCTCAGTCTCAGTGGTAAACAATCTCAGTCTCAGAGGTAAACAATCTCAGTCTCAGAGGTAAATAATCTCAGACCCAGAGGTAAACAATCTCTACCTTAGAGGTAAACAATCTCAATCTCAGAAGTAAATAATCTCAATCTCAGAAGTAAACAATCTCAGCCTCAGAGGTAAACAATCTCAGTCTCAGAGGTAAACAATCTCAGTCTCAGAGGTAAATAATCTCAGTCTCAGAGGTAAACAATCTCAGTCTCAGAAGTAAATAATCTCAATCTCAGAAGTAAATAATCTCAGTCTCAGAGGTAAACAATCTCAGTCTCAGAGGTAAATAATCTCAGTCTCAGAGGTAAATAATCTCAGTCTATGATAAATGTATACCTAGATAAATCTTTTTATGTACTTAAATCAGCTCATCTGATTGACTTCAGTTATATTTGATTTTACAGAAAACTGTGAACTTTGTTATAAAAACACATTTGTAGATCCTACTTGATATAAATATTAATAACCTAAGATTGTTGGCAAGATCAAAATTACATACATGGGTTGAGGAGGAGGGGAGGAGGAGGAGGGGGGGGGAATTGTAGTGAGAGAATCAGCTCATCTGATTGACTTCAATTTTATTTGATTTTACAGAAAACGTGAACTTTGCTACAAGAACACATTTGTAGATCCTACATGCTTTAAATATTAATAACCGAAGATTGCTGACAAGATCAAAATTACATGGGTTGAGGGGGTTGGGGGGGGGGGGGAGACATTGTGACATTGTTCTCAAGATCTAGTAGAGTTCAGTGTGAATTGGTTTTATCAAATGTTCAGATTGATTTGAATGGCTGTTAGATTTAATTTGTTGGATCTAGAGTTCAGTTACATATAGATTTGATTAGCTGTAGCTAGAGTCCAGTTTGATTTGTAGGGCTGGGACGATATATCGAGATATCGATAATATCGATTCAATGTGAGGATGATATGCATATCGATACGTATGAAGAAATATTGACATACTTCCCAAAAAATTCTGACTAATGTTTTTCTTTGTTAACTTAACATTTTGGGTTTAATATGTAAAATAAATATGCTTAATATAAATATGAATATGAAATACATAATAATTAAGACCAAAATAATTAAGTTTTACAACAGATATACAACTTCTTTGAATAAATTATTCTTATTTGTGAAGAAATATCTTGTTCATTTCTATATAAAAAAAGAATTTATAACCAATTAAACATATCGTGATACATATCGTATCGTGGCTCAAATATCGGGATACGTATCGGTATAGAAAAGTTGTATCGTCCCAGCCCTATTGATTTGATTGACTGTAGCTACAGTTCAGTGAGTTGATTGGCTGTGGATAAAGTTCAGTTTGATTTGATTGGCTGTAGCTACAGTTCAGTTTGATTTGATTGGCTGTAGCTACAGTTCAGTTTGATTTGATTGGCTGTAGCTACAGTTCAGTTTGATTTGATTGGCTGTTTCAGGGAGAAGAGGAGGAGAACAATGAGGATGAGGAAGATGAAGAAGCCGATTGGATGGTTCCTCATGGTTACCTCTCAGAGGGGGAAGGCTGTGAAGATGAGGAAGAGGTTATTTTTCACAGTTCTTGGCATTGAAACTGATATTGGCAATTGTTTCTTTCTTCATGAAACTTGAGATTTTTCATTGTATTTTTTTTTTTACAAGCATTGTTTATATTTTGATGATATAGTGAGAAAAGAACAATAGGTAGAAACTTTTTAAAGCTGTAAGGACCATTCCTTATTGGGAGGATTTTTTTTTTAATACAGGAGGCAACTGATTTGAAAATGAGGTGTAGAAAGAAACTAGAACAGTGGGAGATGGAGCTGAAGAGACAGACAACCCCAGCCTTACCCATTATCATGGGCTGCTTCTGGGAGCATGCTGTCCATGAACTACAGAAAGACTTGCAGGAAAAACTGGCTATTTATAAGGTACAATAACATGTACATGTATTTCTTATATAAATGGAATATCATCAAAGGGAGAGTTATAAGTGGATGTATATAGGAGAATTAATAAGGGCCCCGCTCTGCAGGTGCCCTATAGTGATCAGTCTGTCCGTTTGTCCTTCCGTCCGTCTGTCCGTCCGAGATCTCTTGTCCGGAGCATATCTTCTCTCTTCTTGGCCCAATCTGGCTCATACTTCACTCACATAGTGTCTTTGGGTAAAGGGTGTGCAGTTGTGCAGTGACCTTTAGGGCCCCGCTCTGCGGGTGCCCTATAGTGATCAGTCTGTCCGTCCGTCCGTTCTTCCGTCCGTCTGTCCGTCCGAGATCTCTTGTCTGGATCATATCTTCTCTCTCCTTGGCCCAATCTGGCTCATACTTCACCCACAGAGTGTCTTTGGGTAAAGGGTTTGCAGTGACCTTGAATCATGTGTCTAGGTCTAAGGTCAAGGTCATAGCAGAATTATATGAAAAATCCTTGTCCGGAGCATATCTTCTCTTCTCTTGGTCCAATGTGGCTTGTACTTCACTCACAGAGTGCCACTGGTCAATGGATGTGCAGTGACCTTGAACAAAGTTTTTAGGTCAAGGTCAAAAAAAGCCTCTTTGTTTAAATTTTTGTCTAGAGCATATTTTTTCTCCTTGGCCAAATCTGGCTCATACTTCACCCACAGAGTGCCTTAGGGTAAAGGGTGTGCAGTGACCTTGAACCATGTTTCTAGGTCTAAGGTTAAGGACATAGCAGAATTATATGAAAAGTCCTTGTCCAGAGCATAACTTCTCTCCCCTTGGCCCAATGTGGCTCATACTTCACTCACAGAGTGCCACTTGTCAGTGGATGTGTAGTGACCTTGAACGAAGTTTCTATGTCAAGGGTCAATTTCAAAAATAGCCTCTCTGTTTAAAATCTTTGTTCGGTGCATAATTTCTTTCCCTTAAGTCCAGTCAGCCTCAAACCTTACCAATTGACTAAGGGTATGGATCATTTGTGATTTTCCTTCCATATTTCTGATAGAGGATATGCAACAATTTTCATAGAGGATATGCAGCATTCATGATTTTTGTGCCGTTTTTTGATGGAAGGTGTTGAACACTCATGATTTTCGTGCCATTTTTTATTATAACGAGGATAACATAAAAGCCTTTTAGACTCAAACAACAAATCCCTTAATAGTACACAAATGTTCCTCTTCAAAATAAACCCTTTCAGCTATCTTACATTTCCATGTTCATTGCTGAAAGCGGGGCCCTTTGAGATGGCCACCATCTCAATGATATCTAGTTAAAATTTATGATGAAAATTTTTGAAAGTGAATTTGAGATAATTAAAATAAATATATGTGTTCATGTAGTGACATCTTATTATAATCATAAGTGCCAATATTGGTGGTGAAGCAAATTTGGTGATAATTTAAAACAAACAGAAAAAAGTGGAATAATCTAATTTGCATTATTATAGAGTTCCAGAATTCTCACTTGTGCAAAAATCTTATCTGAGATGCTTTATAATTAAGCAGATTTGGTGTAGACAAAGATGCACTAATTTATGAATACCATTAAAAAATTATTAATGAATACAAAACATGGCACCAACACATGCCGCTAATTCATAATTAAGCCATTTTATTTTAGGCTGTTCCACTTGTTGATCAACCAATTGACACCAGTTTTACAAAAGCCAAGTCCAAGAAAGCAGAGAACACTCCATCAGAGAAGAAAGAGGAGAGTAAGAAAGGCCAGTGTAAACCAGTCCCAGAGGAAGGTCAGTACTGACAGGGTCAAATTATTGTATTCACTAATGCCAAAAGTTAATACTTAATTATACCCCCCGCAAACGAAGTTTAGGGGGGGTATATTGGAATCAGCTTGTCCGTCTGTCTGTCTGTCCGTCTGTCTGTAGACGAGATTTTGTCTGGACCATATCTTGGAAACTGTTGCAAGGATTTGTCTGAAAATTTGTACACTTATTCTTTGCCATATGAAGGTGTGCACCTGGTATTTTCATCATGATTGGGTAATTTTTTTGCATTTTACAGGTGTTTTTTCATTTTTATTATGTGGTTTTGTCCGGATCTGTTCCCAGAGACTATTGCATAGATTTGTATGAAAATTTGTACACTTGTTATTTACCATATGAAGTTGTGCACCTGGTATTTTCAACATTATTTGATAATTTTTCTGCATTTTACAGGTGTTTTTTTTTTATTTTTATTGACTTAGTCATTTCGGGTTCATGTCAAAGGTTTGAGACATAGAATCTAGAACATCTGTACAAAAATGTGAACTACAGCTTAAAACTACTCATTAGAACTAAAAAAAAAATCACAAAGTATTAAAAACAGTTTTTACATTACACAGCAGATAGTGTAAATCCATTTGTCCCTTGGGAGTAATGAGTGGACATGCATCCAGTTAAAGATTAATTAATGAGTTCAGTGTGGGAAGCTGTTAGGGCATCTCTGATCAAGCAGGTCTTATCTATATCTCCGGGGAATTGGGCAGAAAGAAATAAAGATCTCTGTTGTTTAAGTCTCTTAATTGTAATTTATGTCTGTCAAAATACATAGTTACTGGAACCAGCCTTTTATTTTTAAAATGAGTTTGATATAAAGGTATTAAAATCAATTCGATTTTGTATAATTAATTATGATTTTTTTTTTCAACAATCAATTTGCAGAGTGTCATGTCTCACAAAGATGGCAGATAGTTGCAAACTATTTTTTCAATGTAATAAAAAACACTGTAATTATTAGTATTGATGTTTTATTAGGCTGCACCTTAGTTTCATTCATGAAATAAAGTGCCCCACTACAGCATGATACACCCATCAAATATTGTTAAATTATCATAACAGTTTAGATTCAATTGTTCGAATGACATTTTAGTGAGACAAGGCAGTCTGCAATTTGTTGTAAAGATATAAAAATTAAAATAAAAAATGTACAATAAATAATTAGTTTAAATTATATTATACAATATCATATAAGTTTTAATTATTATATACAATATCAAATTAGTTTTAATTACATCAAATTTATCTTGAAAGTAAGACTAGCCAACAAGAACAATTCAGTACAACACAAGCAATTAATTAAGAGAATGATTCCTTTTGCCCAATTCCCAAGAGATGTAGATAACACCTGCTTGATCAGAGATGCTCTACCAGTTATCTCCTCACACTAAACTCATTAATTTATCTCTAATTTGACATGCAATTTTCTGCTATCAAAATTTTCCTTGGCCAGTGCCTGATCATTACACCCATGGGAGAGGTGGAATTTTTCTTGTTACAGATTGCTGTAAAGAACATAATGAAAAAAATAAGACTAGTGTTTTCTTGATTTAACACTTTTTTAATAAAGATACTGCAATTCTCTGACATCTTTTGGGATTGTGTAATTTAAAAGTTAAAAAAAGACATAGATTTTTGATTCTAATGGTTTTCTAGTTATGATTTTTCCATATTTGGCCATAGCATCTTTATTAAAGGTCAGAGCGACCTGGTTTTAATGTGCGACACACCTTCTACCCTAGATGTATCAGCTGACAAAGTTTGATAATTCTAGGCCTAATAGTATTAAAGTTATGAGCCGGACATGAAAAAGCTAACAGACGGACGGACATGAACGCTATAACATAATACGTCCCGTCTTAAGACGGGCATATAAAAAATATAATGAGTAATTGAATTTTCACTGTAAATGTTTAAGCAAATTGTGAACACCTCTCACACCTAGAAAACATTAGTGATTTGGTACTTTCTCTGAAAAACCCAGCGGGGGGTATTTGTCCCTTTTGGACAGTTCTAGTTAAAATCAGTATTTTAATACTTTGCATTTTTTTTTTATCTTTGTTCAAAAAGAAGGAATGGTTGTTTGTTCCAAAAATATTTAGTTAAAAAAGCAACATGGATTTAAAGAAATGTAGGATAGGGTTTTATCAAACATTGAAGGCAAATTCTGATTGATAAGTTTTCCTATACTCCTGTATATCATATGAATATAGAGATTGTCATTAGAAATACATGTACTAAGCTAGCCATTACCTGGAAGTAATGTTTCTTTCGTACACATTTTCAGCCATGCCAGATCTTATTAGACTTGTTCATGGAAACTTGGCAGGGATTAAAAAGCTAGTCAAGGAGTTCCGCTTATACTGGAAACACAAAACAAACGAAAAACAAATGGAGGTAGATGACAAAGCTGAAGAAAAGATGGATGTCGAGGAGAGTGTTAAAAAACCAGAGGAATCCAAAACCGTCAATCTGGATGAATCGGATGCTAAAGATGGCTCTGAAACAAAGCCAAACTCGGAAGCAGAGGACGAATTCAGTATATCAAAAAGGCAGCTGGAAATGAAGATTACCTCCATAGCTACAAGGGAGAAAAGGGACTCCTACAAAAAAATCTGCTGGTATGTGAATGATTCTGTGCTAGAACAATACAACCTTAAGGATCTGCCTGTACCTAGTGCTTGGGAGTTCATCAGTCAGCCTAAGAAGACTCCGATTAAACCTAAAGTCGAGGAGCAGGTAAATGCAGGCCGTAAAACGCCAACTGTCTCCATCACCCAGTTTGCAAGACCTATGTCTCCTTCCGCCATACAAGCTCAGTTTGCAGCTGCCAATGCTGCAGCACTGGCAAATAAACAGAAACAAGCAGACGAGCAGGCTGCAAAAACTGCCGAGCAGGTCAAGGTCACTGAGGTACCTCAACAGAAAACTGCAGTACAGTCCAAAGAGGAATTAAAGTCGGACCAATCCAAGCTGAATTTCTTCTCCCCCACCAGACCACAACAGTGGAAGATGGTGTCCACCGGGTCCTCCCCTAAGGACAGCAAGCGGTTAGTCCTAATGTCCAGTCAGCCTTCTGTAGGACAAAAGGGAGTCACAACTAACAAAGATGCAGGGAAAGTTGATGCTGTTTCAAGCCCCAGCTCCAGCAAGGCAAAACTGGTACCATCCAATCAGTCAGTAATACCTGCTAGTTCTGATGGAAAGGCTGCTGCTGAGAGCAGGGAGGGGAATACAATTTCTGATATTCAAACGGCAGGAGAAAATTCTAGGGAAGCTATTGTGTTGGACTAAAACACAATTGTGATATGGGAATGATGTGAAAGCCAAGACATCTTGATTTGTGTTTGAATGAAAAAGACAACTTTTGTGCAACTCAATTTTGAACAATATTTATTCATACATGTAGTAATTTGCTTTATAAAACCAATATACTTTGTATAGAATAAAAGTATTTATAATTTTATTAAAAAATCCACTTATGTTTACATTTTTAGCTCTTCTGGTCAGAGACCAGAAGAGCTAATGCATAAGTACCAGTAAGGTGTTCGTCATCCATCCATCTGTCCATAAAAAAATGTTTAAAACAATACTCCTCCTACAGTAATAAGACTTGATGCACAAGTAAATTATACAAGGATACATAATTCTATATATTGGTTTTTGATTTCAACATAAAACAGTGCTGCCATGGTTACTAAAGATGGAAATTTCTGTGAAATTTATTTAAAATGCTACTCTTCCTACAGTTTTGGTCTGAATTCAATGAGACTTGGTGCACAAATAAGGTTTATGAATTTCTATGTATGGGTTTTAGATTTCATTCAATGTTACCAATATTAGAATTTTTTATAGAATTTTTACAAAAGACTCCTCCTCCTACAGTTTTGGTCTGATTTCTGTGTATGATTTGGTAAACAATAAGATCACTCTAATCTGTTTATTGGGTTTTATTTAGATGAAAAACTTGCAATGTTTACTATAAATGGGATAATGTTGGAATTTGTTGAAAACATTACCCCTCCTATATTTTTGGTCCAAAAATAAATATAAATCTTGGTACACAAGTTAACTTAACCTTGTTCATTGATGTTGCTTCAAGCCCAAATGCAGCTTATAAGACCAAACTAGTAGAGCTACAGTCTCATCGGAGACTTCTGGTTTATGTACTGGGCCTACAAGGTTATTGGGAGGTCTCAGTCCTGATGGTACACACCTGTAGCAGTCAACCATCTGAGGACGATTCAGTACTATGTCATTTTATACAATGGAAATTGCAGAATGCCCTCTGATTGCTGAAATGGTTGCTGAGTGACAATTTTCTGAAAGAAAATAGAGATCAGACATGGATCCAGGAATTGAAGGGGGTGCAAAAAGTAGGCAGGGGGGTCTGGGGCCACCTTGAGGCCTCCAGTGCAAAGCCCCCGGAAGCTCCTGGATTCTAGAGATTTTGTAGGGTAAAAATGAGATCTATCGAGTAGACATTTTTACATTTTCTTGACGGAATTATGATTTACGCTAACTTTGACAATTTTAGGGGAGTGAGCCCCCCCCCCCCCCTTAAATCTACCACTGGAGATAAAAGATGAAACTCAAGTAAATTTAATTTTACCACACTAGTTAAAATATAAGATGAAACATTGCTGGATATTATTATTTTTGGGAAACCGTGATTTTAATATCAAAATTATTAAAAGTCCTGCTCCCTCTCTTCCCCTCAACCTTGTCACCAGTTAAAACATTTTAAAAACCTTTAGTTTGCCACCATTGAAACTAAATAAGGTGATTAAAATTTCGTTATAAGTTTTAAGGAAAGGACGCTTGCCTTGAACAAGGTATTGTTATCCTTATGTACATGCTGATAATCTGTAGCCCTTCTCACAAAAAAAAATCTTATGACTATTAGATTGAAGTTTGACAACTACTGTAATTTCTTTGTTCAATTAAGATATATTCATTCTCCCTTTATGATTGTTCACGATATATTGTATTATAAAATTTTTGTGACTCACTGTAGAGTACATACTTTTATGATAATTGTGAAGTTTTTGTCTTTGTCTTAAGATATTTTGTTAAATGGTCCCACTGTCCAAGGGTTCCGGGGGGGGGACATTTTGTCTTCTTTTCCTGAACCGTATCAAAACACACACACAAAGCATCATTGTGTAAGGGGAGTTCAATTTTGTTCAAATTAAGGGCCAATGGGGGGTGGGGTGGGGTGGGGTGGTTATAGCTCATCTAAGCTGAATGTTTGAGTAATCTTTTCTAATCATTTGTTATGATGTTATCTGTGGTCTATCTGTCCACGGTTATAACTTTTCACATTTTGTCTTCTTTTCCTGAACCAGTATCAAAACACACATACACACACACACACACACACACACACAAAGCATCATTGTGTAAGGGGAGTTCAATTTTATTCAAATGAAGGGTCAATGCCCCGTTAAGAATTGAAATGTTTGAAGGCTTTCTAGCATAGTGTACATTCAAGTCACAAATCATTGTCTTTTGGGATCAGATGGGGCTACAATGGAAAATTGAAATTTTTGTAGGAATATATAAAGAAAAAAAATCTTGAGAACAGCAGGGCCTGATTATGAAGTTAATTTAAGGACATACGCAATGTACCTTACCTGCTGATAATTTTTCAAGATATTCTTAATTTAAGATTATAGTGCCATCAGATGTTCAAAGACAAAAAATCAGCATGCATTACCAGGGGTTTTGAAAATATATCAATTGATGAAAATTCTCGTATAATTCAAAGAAAAATACACAAAAATTACTAAACATATATTCTAGATGTTTTGTTTATCTAAATTTGTTTTAGAAGAAGTGTACAACAGCATATATAGACATAAAAAAGTAACACACAGTTCCTTTAAGTATTGGAACTATTCAACTCCAGGGAAAAAGAATTCAGTTCAAACTACGTTGCGTTTGTCCTTAATATGCAAGCCTTTTCATGTAATGTAGAATGAAGTTTGTTCAAATCAAGGTCCCAGGGGGTAGGGTGGGGCCAAGATAGGACATCAAAGTTTTATATGGAAAGATAAGGGAAAACCTGACGAGAACAGCAGAGCCATAATTTCTGTTGCAGCAGTCGTATTGATATGCAAGCATCCTCAGATAGTGTAGATTAAAATTTGTTACCCAGGGGTAGGAGGTATTGATATTAGATCATGGTTTTATATATATATTATAGGAATGTATGTAAAATGAAAAAAAAAAAATATCAAAAACAACTGATGGCCCCAATAAGTCATTAAAATGCAAGCATCATCTTATATATAGTGCATATTCAAGTTTGTTATCTCCCCCTGGTCTCGGTAGGGGATCTAGTGGGTGACGGTCTAATATTAAAATTAGATCTTTTATCCACTCCAATTAGATGGTTTTGTGTAGTGATCTAGTTGCTCTAATTTTAGTTAGATGGGGGGGGGGGGGTAAAATAAGGTAGCGATCTAGTTGCTCTAATTTTAATTAGATGGGGGGGGGGCTAAAATAAGGTATCTTTTTTTTTTTACATAATGCTTATGAACTAAATTGTTAAATTTCAATATAAAATCAGTCTTTTTGAAATTTAGAAATTTGAACTAATATATTGAAATTCTAAAACTCGAGCTAAATCATTTTAGAAAGAATTGTTATAACGTTACATGTGTTACATGGACCTAGTAAACTAGCATACTGTATGAAACAAGCGCCTGTGCATGCGCATACTATATTAGGAGTATTTATTTTTCATGGGAATATATAAAGAGGGAAAATATTGTGAAGAACAGCATGACTAAGGTGATCACTTCAAGTGAGCGCAGTGGCCAATGGGCCTCTTTCCAAACGACTGCTAGCGGCAGCGAATAGAATCAAGGGCAGAGAACCAGTGATGTTCTTTTTATTGTTCGAAACTAAGAGGAGAAGTGACGTAGCCTAGCTCTGTCTTTTTAACCACGCGGTGGACAGGGAAGGGAGGAAGAAAAGCAGCTCGTAACAAAACTTCAAACAAAATGCCACAGAAACAAGTTAAAATCAAAAAGGTATGTGAAATGGCTAGGAAATAGATTGAATTTAACTATGGTATAGTGACATACTGTTTACATAGTTTGTTAAGTAGGAGAAACCGTGTTAATTCTTGTGTTTACAACAAGCGTTTCTTTTCTCCATGAAATAAATACACTTATACAGAATAAGCTAGGTCCATTAACTTCTCCAAAAATAGATATCATTGTTTAGGACCAAAAAGAGATACTTATAAATGAATTTATTTTCTTAAAAGCGAACGTGGAAGTAATTTGAAGACCATGAAAACAAATTAATTCTGAACTTGGATAACCACGTGGTGTGACCTAGTTTTGAAATTTTTTTCACCCTTATGATGAGACACCACTTTTAGTTGGGGGCACATGGTCACATTGTGTGGCATGAATGATGTGGGCCATGTTCAACAGCAGCAAAAAAATATATGGTTGATCCATCAAAATATTATAGTTCTGTAATGAGAAAGTTGAATTCAAAACTTTAAGTAAAAGTTAATAAGTAGATTTATTTCAATGAATCAATTATAAAAAAAAAAAGTAAGGCTGATAGTATTTTAAACTTTTTTTATGTCCTTATTTCAGCAAGCTCAGTGGTGAATCCAGAGGATGAAATCTCCTGCTTGCCACTGGTCATTGCATTTAGTTGTACATAATAATCTGTCCCCAACTTTGAATCTTAAAATCCCTTCCAGAAAGGGAGAGTCACCTATAAATGTGGTTATCCCAGTTGGTATGGGATTTAGAGGGAAATCCTAGTTGGCATGGGGTTATCCCAAATGAAGCATGTATTCCCAGCAAGGGATTTTGGGGTTAAGTAAATCCCTCATTGGTAAGGCTATGGGAATACTCTTTGAAGCAAGAGAATCCCTGTTAGTATGGGAACATGTCCCTGTCAGTAAGGGATATAATATCCCAGTTGGCATGGGATATGGGGCAGACTTGGCAAAAATCCCTGTTGGTAAGGGGTTGGCTTAGCATCTCATATGGCAACCAGTTGGTTCAGTCTCATATGCTGGTGTCTCCAAGCCTGTGGTATCTGCCATGTTGTAAACCAGTAAGTCATATGGTGTAAGATTAAACAATGTTATGAATCGGGGATTAATCTAGGTTTGTAAGGAATCTTTTTTTTTTAAGAAATTAGGAATTTTCAAGATTCATTTTAACTTGTTTTAAAACAAATTATGATTAAATAATCATAGTTACAAAGAATCAGAAAAATACTGCAAGGACAAATGCTTTTTAAGTGATAATATTATATAAAAGCAAATGGAAATATACATTCCATAATAGAAGAACAACAAAAATATTGTTTGATCTTTTTGAGGATGTACAAGAAATTTTCACTCGGTAAAAGGGAAAATGAGTTTTCAAAGGAGAGTTTTTCCTTCAACAAAAATACTTTGTATTGGTCATAAATATAGCCTAGATTAATCCAGGGTTAGAAACTCCCTAAAATTACAACTCGCAAATAATTGCGAGTACCAAGAAAGTGAACTCGGAATTTTATAAGACTACTCGCAATTTTCATATAAAGTTAAATTTATATAAATTAAATACATGTAACTTAAGGAAAAAGTAACTACTGTACAATACACAAAATACAACTACAGTGTGACTTTTAGTTAAATTACTGATTTAAATCAAAAGCATTGTGTTCTGTCATATTATATAATTCTGCTACAGTATCAATGCAAAAAAATCAACTCGCAAGTTTTTGCGAGTTACCTAATTTTTAACTCGCAATTTGGGAATTCTAACTCGCGTTTTGCGAGTTGTATATAGTGAATTTCGAACCCTGTAATCCCTGTAAATGTAAAAAAAAAGAAAAAAAAAAGTAGATTATTGTTGTGAAGATGAAGTGAACTGTTATCTTTGAAATGGAAATATGACTAAGAAAAAGAATCCCAAAAGATAAAAGCACAACTGAAATGCTAGACATTTTCTTTTAGGGGAAAGTGCAGGCCCAGAAATCGAAGAAGGCCCCTCCCAAACCAGCACCTGTTGAGGAGTCAGATGAGTCATCTGAAGAAGATTCTGATGATGATGAAGATGATGTAGAGGTACTTTAATGAAATACAAGTGTTATAGTACCCAAAATTTATTCATTTATGAACAGTTGCTAATTGTCAGTATCTATTTTATAGAAATGTTGTATAGTTATAGTAGAGGCTGCATATATGTTGCAAACAATTGACTTTTCACATTTTTTTTGAATGCAGATGGCTGAGGTTAATGGCAAAGCTTCACCACAGAAAAGGAAGGCAGTAGAGCTAGAGGAAGATAGTGATGATAGCGATAGTGATGACAGCGAAGAAGGTTAATCTCATGTCCTTTTATTTATTTTATGATTTATCAAACCATATCAAATTGTTATCATTGTTATCATTTGTTGAAAATTTATTTACAATTGTAGATGAAGTTGCCAAACCAGCTGCACCTAAAAAAGCAAAAACTACACCTGCTCCCAAGAAAGAAGAGAGTAGTGATGATGATGAGGAGGAGGAAGATGATGATGATGACGATGAGGAAGAAGGTATTACTTCTAAGTGTATTAAAATCTTTTAATGTGTACATGTATATTATAGATTTCAAAATGTTAGTAAATTTTAAGATTTGAAATGTTCAGAGAATAACAAATTTTTTTTCTTAAATTTTCAGAAGAAGAAACAAAACCAACCCCTTCAAAGACAAAAACTCCAATAAAACCAGCTAAAGCTACTGAAGAGAGTGATGATGACAGCGATGAAGACGAGGATGATGATGATGAAGATGATGGTAGGTGACTTGGCTTGATGAGAAGAAAAATTTTCAAGTAATGTACCATAAGTTTAAAAGTTTTGGAGATGAGTGGATTTCAAAAAACTTGTATTTTCAGATGAAGATGAGGAGGAAGCACCTGCTCAGAAAACAAAGGCAGTGAAGAAAGCTAAACAAGCTGAGGAAGAGGAAAGCGATGATGATGAGGAAGATGATAGTGATGATGATGAGGAAAGTGATGAGGAAGAAGGTAATTTTTCCCATTTATTGAGTGTTTATCAGATACAGTAGAGCCTTGTTAATCCAAACATGTGACCATGATCAAAATGTCAGGTTAATTGAAGCTTTCAGATTAATGAAAAGTCCCGTGCTTAATATATAGAAATGTAAATTCTATTCCCCCCAAATTTCTTCCAGATGGAGAAGCGTTCGGATTAAAGAGGCTCCACTATATTTGTATATGGACTGGAGTAATTATCATGCAAACACTGTTGCTTGTAATGTTATCCAAGGGGAATCACAATTAAAAGTTGACTAAGTGTAGTCAGTTAATGAAATGATTTAATGTTCAGAGACATTGAGTTTGAAAATAAATTTGTTTCCACAGAAGAAGAGGAGGAGGAAGAAGAGAAACCTGTCAAAAAACAAAAGGGAAAAAAGGGTAATTAAGATTTGTTTGAGCTATGTAAACTGGACAGTTAAAAAGCTCACCTTTTATCCTGCCAAGTCTAAAATATAACCGATACAGTATTGGTTGATATCAAATTCAAATGAAGTTGCCTATTCCAAATTTTGTAATGAGCACATCAACAAATCTTGCGACAACAAATTTTGATGTTCAGTTAAAAATATAAATCCCAATTATCAGAATAATTTTAGTACAATTGTACAAGCAATATCAACAGTCAAATTTCGGTTCTCATGGAAAAACATGTTAACCCATTGTAATACCATTTAGTGAGGCTGTCAGTGAGTTATAATGTGAGTTATTCCACATGAAGGCCAAGACCAGTCATAATCTACAGATTATAAGAGTTGTACACATACGAATGCTGAGGTTACTTTACCCAAACAATATATATAGTGCTCTGACTGTAGCAGTCTATAAAGTTTAAAATAGCTTGGTAATGCCTTTCTGAAATTATAAAGAATCATTAGAGGAGAGGGCTAATACATGCAGTGTGTCTGCTCTCTAATCCTATGTTGTATTACAGAATAAAATACTCTTAATTTAAGTCTGGTCTGTGCTGAAAACTAAAATATTATTTGAATCTGGTCATTACAATACAAAGAAAGGATAAAGTTCAGAAAGACTCCATTGGTCAAGAGATTTTTACTGAAGTTGGCATGTTATCTTTCAGAAAAAAAGGAAAATGGATTTGGAGAACAAGCACAGGAAGAGTCTACACTGTTCGTGAAGAACATCGCTAGCAACGTAGACAAAGATCAACTCTCAGAAATGTTCCCAGGAGCCAAAGAGATCCGCATGCCTACTAAACATGATGGATCCCCAAAAGGGTAAGAAAACTACAGTAATATCAAGGCTTTATGAGTATAAAATTTTGTTAAGTTAACACGTCAGACATTGAGTGATGAATTGTCATTGTTAAATTTTAGGATTTTAAATTTTAATTTTGAAACATTTTCTAATTCTGAGTATGGTTTTGTTATACAGATTTGCATACCTTGAGTTTGATGATGCCAAGAAAGTAAAGAAATATATTGAAACTAAACAAGGAGCGGAATTAGAGGGACAGGAACTGTTCCTTGATTTAGCCAATAAAAAACCACCCAACAATAGAAACCAGAGGGGAGGTCGAGGGGGGAGAGGAGACTTTGGAGGGGGCAGAGGTCGCGGGGGCGGTGGTGGTGGTGGTGGCCGAGGAGGCAGAAAAAGTGGTAGGGACAGTTTCTATTAAAAGAAGCATGGTACCGCCATAAAAAATAAAATTTTTGCATGGTTGTATGACATTAAAGCTGTTGAATAAGTTGAAGTAGCAATGCAAAATGTTATACTTGAGAAAAAAACCCAGTTTTCTTATATGTAAGAAAATGCTTGAGCTCATGAAAAATGGGTATTTTTAATATGAGTTGTGTATTTTGATGAATCTGTTGTAGACCCAACCAAGATTCTGTTTGTGAAGAACTTGAACTACTCCACCACGAACGACAGCTTGACTGAGGCTTTTGAGGGATGTTCTGCTGCCAGAGTGGCCATGGAGAGGGATAACCCAGGTAGATCTAGAGGGTAAGTTACAGGAAATCTAGAATCATCTGTCATACTGTAGGAATAATCTTCAAAAGATCTTGTCATTTGATACATGTATTTAATGTTGTAGATTTGGGTTTGTGGAATATGACTCTGTAGAGTCAGCTAAGGAAGCATTTAATGCAATGAAAGGACAGGAAGTTGATGGTCGAACAATCTTCTTAGACTTTGCAGAGGAAAGATCAGGTTAGATTTAAAAAGTATCATTAATATACATATTGATTAGGAATTTCATTCTAGAATCAATTTCGGATCATAGAAGTATTCCTTTAAAAAAAGATAATATTTTCATCTGTAAAATATCATAAATAAAACTGACAATAAGTGCTGTAAGATTTATCTAAAGTGTAACCTAAGTGTGCAAGAATTTTTTGTATGAAACATTAAAATAAATGTTTTGAAGAACTGTAATGGTAAATAATAGTATTGTGGTAATTTGATGTCATCCTTGTCTTTCAGGAGGAGGAGGTGGTCGTGGAGGCCGAGGTGGTGGTCGCGGTGGTGGTGGTAGAGGTGGTGGCGGTCGCGGTGGTGGTTTCAGAGGAGGACGCGGCGGTAGAGGTGGTGGACGTGGGGGAAGAGGAGGAGGAGGATTTGGCAAAAGTCCAGGTACACAGTTCTTCATTTGTTTGAATGAAAAAAATGGGAATAACTTTATTCTTTTTTAGTTCTCATTCTTAAAAAAATTACAGACATACTTTGTTATCTTGAAATTGATGGTACCAAGAAAACCTTAAATAATCTAGGATTGGAGATCATGAGGATAAAATGCATAAAAATAGGTGTTGGGACCTAACTGGCATCAATATATTGTTCGTACAGGTGTTAAGATAACAAAGTTCAACTGTATCATCCATTGTTAGAGTTTGCAAATAAATGTGTATTTATATTGTAAGTAAGAAAAAGTTTTATATATACATGTACATTAATGTATAATTTCTGTCTGTTGGTAAATGAAATTTAAACTTAATGTTTAAATTTTTTTAAGCTGCAAAAGGAGCAATTCAAGAATTCTCAGGAAAAAAGAAGACCTTCAGCATGGACGATTGAGGAGTTGACTCATTGACCGTCTTTTCATGTCCATCAGGCCATGTCTGTCTGTGCAATCATGTTGAAAATTTTCTTGAGGAAGGCAGAGACCTTTAGAATCTAATTTTAAAAAAAAAAGAGGCTGACTTTTTACAAAGTTTTTCACACTATGATATTTACATCTTGTGAATTTTTTCTTTGTTTTCACTGGAGAATTTTTAGTACCATGTTATTGTATACAACCATGAATTAATGTCTTTGATTTTATATAGGATTTTCATTACCCATAGTCCTTGACATATCTCTGCCTGTTGTATATTTATTGTAGTTCTCCCATTGTGTCAGATCTTGGCTGAGTGTAGGTTGTACAGAAATCTTGATGCATTTATATACTACCCTCCCTCTCCATTCATCTTCTTCATGATCATGTTGATAAAATTGTTCACATTGTTAATTCTTACATCTTGTTTTATGATAAATGTTGTTATACATTGTATAAAGATGAATAAAGTAGAGCTGCTATAAGTCTTGTTTTAATCTTATTACTGTGTATGATGGAGATCATGATATAGTGGACATTCATTAAGGAATTCATACGTAAAGCAGTATGTACATCCTGTATACTGACAGTGATACAACTGGAGAGAAACGAAACACATTCCATGAAGGTTAAGAAGATTCTTAAGTGCTTAAATATAATGGGTACATTTAATCCCCAAAGCTAATGTCTTGATGTTTTTTGAGAATGATAGGTCTGAAAAAAAGAAATACATGTAGTGATATAACTCAATTTGTAATCAATTCAAGCAGTCTCGGCGTTTTATAAGCTTAAGGTAGATTAATTTATCAAACATTTTATTTGAATATTTTTAGTACTTTTTGTATTCCAGAAAGTGAATTCAACAAATATTTTTGGGGTTTTTTTTGGAATATTTTTTCCAGAACAGCTCTGAGCTACGTGCCCTGTGTTGAAAATCCCATCTACATTTATAAGGATATAGCTCCATGTTAAAAACAGTATTATAAGGAGGGTACTTTCCACAAGTACGGTTGATGTTAAAATCTGATTTTTTTCTCAGTGTTGAATTTTTGGGAAAATTTCATTATGGATTCACAATTGGAGTCTTACAATCGAAGCACTGTTGGTGAAGTGTAACTTTAATATAGGCCCTAAATACATGTACATGTATTTTCATGCAAGACAACTTGTATCACATTCTGTGATGCGTCCATCTGTAATCTTTTAATGTTAATCTTTTAACCTCTCAAGAACCAAACTTGCCACAAAACATCCTTGGGTGAGAGGAATTCAAGTTTGTTTAAATGCCCTCTTTCAAGGGGAGGTAATAACTAAGAATGACGTCGCAAGTAGATTTTTCACTCTTCTGAGCCAAAAGGCTCAAAGAGCTAATGCTATGGCCATTTGTGCAGTGTGCGTAATTTTTTTAGAATATGGCCCATAACTCAAGAACCCCTGGCCAATTATTGTCAAATTTGTCACAGGGTATCCTTGGCCCAAGGGCTCCCGTTTATACTAAAACTAGGGTTGTGACCCTTAAACAAGAGGAGATAATTAGGAAAATAGAAACAAAAGTACTGGTTGCTAAAAAATCTTCTCAAGAACCACTGGGCAGATTATCACCAAACTTACACAAAAGGATGAGGATATGTTGTAGATTAAAAATTATACAAGGCATCACCCTGGGGCAAAGGGCGTGGTCATAGGGTCACTTCAAATTTAAAAATTACATTTTATTAAAATGTTGATATTTTGCTTACTATAAGGACTAGGATCATCAAAACTTGTCAGTTGATGCATCTAAGGACCTCATATCATGTTGACTCAAAAGTAGTCATGGTGACCTACTTTTTAAATTTTGCGGCAATTCTTTTTCAAAATAATTTAGAGGCATATTTTGAACAATTTAAGGCCTTTGATCATCAAACTTTGTCAGTTGATATATCTTGGGTCCTCGGAGTACGTCGACTAAAAAGTAGGTCACCTTGACCCACTTTTTGAATTTTATGGCTAATCTTTTTCAAAACAATTAAGGTAATTAATTCTAAAACTGAGAGGTTTAGAATCATTAAATCTTGTAAGATGATGCATCTTGGGGCCATAAAACATATTTATTAAAAAATAGGTCATAGTGACCTACTTTCTGAACTTTGCAGGCGTTCGATTTCAAAGCTATTTAGAGGCATAATTTGGACATTTTAAGGCCTATGATCATAAAACTTTGTAAGCTGATGCTTTATATATGATAAACACTGCATAATTGGGTACGAGTCAAGGTAATTTAACTACTGAAAAAATCATTAATCAACTGGTTAAGAATAATACTTTGAATAAAACTTTGGCAAAAATTTCAAATATAGGCGAGTCAAATAAGGATAGAAGGGGGTGCGTTTTTATATTTTTTTTTATCATTTACGGCAGGTTTTTTCTATATTTTCAAGACTTCAAAACATGATTATTTGCAATGTGTAATTAATGTTATATATATATATATATATATATATATATATATATATATATATATATATATATATATATATATATATATATATATATATATGTTATTCTTAAATATGTGTTTTGTGATGAAAACTAGCTATTTTCTGAAGTGACTGTAAAATGTCTGTAATTAGTTGATAAACATAATGTTTTAAACATCAAAAAGTTATAAGCATTTATTTTCAATTTATTTTTAGTAGATAGATGAAGATCATTTATACATGTAGTTATAAAACAGCTTTGTTGCACTCCTGACTGCAGTCCACTTAAATTTTAAAACCATAGAACACAAAACTTCATAAAGTGTTGGCAACATCAAGTGGTAACGAAATTGCGCAATATTTGTAGTCCAATACTTCTTAATTAAAACACATAAAAGTATTAAAATTTGGCTTTATCTCTTGAATTATTCCGTATTTATGTCAAAAAAAAAAAACTAGTTAAAATATATATTTAGAAGATAAAATATATTTTATAGTATATATTTTCCTTTACAGGACAAACACTGTAAGCAACTGAGGTCAACCAGATATATTCTGATTTGATTTGATTTAAACATATTTTATTGAACACAATCAATAGGATTGGACACAAGTTATACCAACTTAGATTGTCCTCTCCAACAGATATATTCTACTCACCAATTTTTTCTTTATATTTATTCATTTGATCAACAATAATTCTAACATATTTGTTGCACTCCTATCCATGCGAGTCTTTAAAGTAGAATTGTGAAGCGAAAATTACATAAGAACTTGTCCTGTTGTTTCAGTGACGTTGAGGTGGAATTACTTGAATTTTATAACAATTTTTCAGTTTGTTTATTTTTTTACATTCATAAAAAAATCAAAGAAAAGATAAAAACACATTTGAATTGATAAAATTGGAAAAGAGGAGGGTTTTAATAATACGAGGGCCATTCAAAAAGTTTTGTCCTTAGTGCAATAAAAAAAATAAAGACATAAACTCATTAGGATTTCTTTATTTCATTCCTTCAAAGTACTCCCCTTTAACACGTATACACTTTTTCAAACGAGAAATCCACTCCTGAAATGCTTTTCTATATTCCTCTTTAGGAAGACCCTTCACAAACTGATGTATTGCAGAGCCAAGTGATGCCCTAGAGTTATAGCGTCTTCCAGATAAATGTCTTTTAAGTTTTGTGAATAGAAAAAAAGTCACAGGGGGAAAGATCTGGAGAGTAGGCAGGGTGAGGGATGACAATAACCCCCTCTTTACTGAGAAAATCTGTCACTAATTTTGACTTGTGGGCTGGAGCATTGTCGTGCAACAAGAAGATACCCTTGATACCAGTTTTTGGACGTTTCTTTTTGTATTGCTGTTTAAGTTTATGCAAAATTTTATATTTATACATCTTTCCAGTAACACTCTTCTTCTCGGGAATCGGAAATTGCAACACAACACCCTCCCTATCAAAGAATATAGCATAGAGAATCTTTTTGGTGCTCTGACAGCGTTTAGCAATAACTGGACGCTTTCCATGTTTCGTCATCCATACTTTATTATTAAACTTTCTTTGAGGCTGAAAATAATGCACCCAAGTTTCATCTCCTGTTACCATATCTGAAAATAGTCGATTTTTCCTCTTTTTGAATAGTTTAATGATTTTTTTCGCACATGACACACGATTAGCTTTTTGTTCCTCATTCAGTAAATGGGGTATCCATCTTGCAGAGATCTTCCTGTAACCAAGGTCTTTTGTAAGAATTTTATGAACTGCTCCCATTGATATCCCTACCATTCGAGCGAAGTCCTTAACAGTGTATCTCCCATCTCTCTCTACTAAATCTTTGATTTTCAGCAATTTTTTTGTATTACTAACCGTTTTTGGTCTTCCAGATCGTACATCATCTTTAACACTTTCTCTTTCATCTTTAAATTTCTTCAACCACCTGGAAACGGTTCTATATGACGGTTGTTGGTCTCCATAAATATTATGAACTTCTTCGAATGTTTCCATTGCTGATTTTTTAAGTTTAGCACAGGCTTTTATGTGGCTTCTTATTTCTGCTGTTGTACTTACTTTCTTTTCCATGATAAAACAATAGAGTATCACGTGTAGTGTATTTTCAAAACTTGATAAATCTTCAAAACCTCAAGCAATTCTTTTTCGGCAAGGACAGTGTGGTTGATAAAGAATTCAATGAACCATAACAAGCGTGTTTGAAGTGATCTACATTCATTTTTTTTATGGAGGACTGGGTAGGACAAAACTTTTTGAATGGCCCTCGTAAATATGTCAATAATTTAGTACTTAATTATTCAAATACATGTAGATGATTATTAATTAAAGAATATTCCTTAGCACGAATATAAGTCTATTCATCAAATAACTTGAATCTTTAAAATAATGTGTTGCACTCCTGACCATAGAAATATAGATCTGAAACACAGACAGACCCTGTTATCGTTAAATCTATTTGGTAAAAATGTTCTTTGTGTCTTTGTTTTCCAAAATATAAAAAAACAGAGAATCATATACTGATATTTTTTTTTTCATGCTGGGGAGCAAAACATCAATTGTTGCACTGCTGGCACTATTGGGTATGCACAGATACTTTACTCTCATTATGTTCCCCAAACGAAGTTTGGGAACATATTGTTTTTACTCTGTTTCTTCTTATTATTATTATTATTATTATTATTTTTCTTCCTGGGTACTTTTTTGTCCGTGAGTGATCTCCGAAACTACACATCCGATTGAGGTGAAACCTTTTTAGGGTTAATAGGAATGTTATGTAGATTTGCGGAACGAAGGTCATTTTGCGCGCACGTGCATGCACGTGCGTGCGCGTGCAATGCGTAAAATGACCTATATACTTGTTATAGCTGTAACTTTTATATTTTTTTATGAAATGCTTTGATACTCAGAATATAAGGATGTATTAATAGTGTAGACAAGATGACATGGTCAGAATGCGCATGCATGCACGTGCGCGCATGCGCATTGATTGAAATAACCAATACAATCGATATAGACGGAACTTGTACATTTTTTGATGAATTGCTTTGAAACTCAGAATATAAATATATATTAGAAGTGTACACAAGAAGACTTGATCAGCGCACACATGCATGCACGTGCGTGCACGTGCAATGAGTAAAATGACAGATATACTTGATATAGCTATAACTTTCATATCCTTTGATGAAATGCTTTGATACTTTGGATATCAGGATATATTAAAAGTGTAGACAAGATAACATGGTCAGAATGCACATGCATATACGTGTGCGCATGCGCAATGATTGAAATAAACAATGCAAATGATATAGACTTAACTTGTACATTTTTTGATGAATTGCTTTGAAACTCAGAATATAAATATATATTAGAAGTGTACACAAGATGACATGATCAGCGCACACATGCATGCACTTGCAAGCACGTGCGTGCGCGTGCAATGAGTAGAATGACCAATATACTTGATATAGCCAAAACTTTCATATCTTTTGATGAAATACTTTAATACTCAGAATATAAGGATATATTAATGTGTAGACAAGATGACATGGTCGGCATGCACATGCATGCACGTGCGTACGCGTGCAATGAGTAAAATGACCAATATACTTGATATAACCATAACTTTTACGTTTTTTGATGTAATGCATTGATACTCAGAATATATAGACCCTTTATAAATGTAGACAAGACGACATTGTCAACATGCACATGCGCGCGCATGCAATGCTAAAATGACCAATTTACTTGATATAGCTGTAAATTTTACACTTTTTGATGAAATGCTTTGATACTCAAATATGTAGATATATTAATAAGTGTTGACAAGATGACACGGTCATCATGGACATGCATACACGTGCGCGCGCTTGCAATGCGTAAAATGACAGATATACTTAATATAGCCGAATTTTTTTTATCTTTTGATGGAATTTGAATATAAAGATGTATTAAAAGTGTAGACAAGTTGACATGGTCATTTTTTTACATGCATGCCCGTGCGCCCGCGTGTAATGCGTAAAAAAACCAATATACTTGATTGCCTTTTTTAATGAAGCTTACAGGGAATAAGACACCAAAAGGAAGTTGGGGAGCGTTTGGGGAACATCTGTAACGGTCCCCGTTACAATTAATACTAGTTAATGCTGCTTTTGATTTATATAACATTTTTAAGTTTTAAATTGTGTATCATGAAGAATCGGTCTTTCTGTCTGTAATTAACAATAAAATTTTAAAGATCAACATTAACAAAGCATCAGACCAACGAAATTATAAAATACGCGCATAGAAGACAGAGATGTTTGCGCTTCGTTGACAGTCTACTTTTGTTTGGTTCACTGCAGCATGGTTTGTAAAAAGCTGAAGTTAAACAATAATAGTTGCAAAGTATGGCACATGCATCCAGTTATAACTCAGAAATCAGAAAGATAATTATAAATGTCTACATACACAATAATTATGTCGGTATAAGTTACCAACCTATTTAGAGAATCTGATTTTTATGTTGGTAAATTTACCAAAAATACATAGTTACCTCGCATGTTGACATAAATAAGTCGTATATCTATATAATTATCTCGCATGTTGACATAAACAAGTCGCATGTCTACATGTTTATCTCGCATGTTGACATAAATATGTATCATGTCAACATGATAATGTTGCATCTTTGACAAATGATGCCAGATACTGGCGGAAATAAGTAAAATATTTAATGTTCAAATCAGACTCTCTGAAAAGATTGGATATTTGCATGTAAACATCATTATTTTACATACAGACACAATTATCTGGCATGGTAACATAATTTAACTTGCATGTAGGGGGCAGAAATTTGCTACCATAATTAAAGTATTCTTCAGGGAAAATATAAACACTAAAATTGTGTTTACCTTGCAATTTTTTTAAAACATTAATTTAATTTTTTTGAAATTCTTAATATAAAGTCATTTTATTCTGAATCCTTATATATTTTTATCTGTATTTAAAATGGGTCGAGAAAAATCAAATTTCTGTAATATATTAGATGAAACGTGAGCGATAACAGCTGATTCTACTACATTCCAAGTCCCTCTTTGAAGACAAAATGAAGAGTGGGTTGATGATATAGCAATCCTTGTAAATTACCATTTAACAAAAGATTTTAATTCTGAATTCCCTGAAATTGAAAAAAAATGCGTATATTGAATCCTAACATATATGATTTACTCACTTTTTATTATTGCTGATTTCTTTCTATATATTGCAATTTGTTGCTTTTGAAATATATTTAAAACTGTTATTTCCTATGGTTGTTTATGTTTTCCCGAGCTGCGTGATTTTTATGCTTCCTCATAAAATTCGTGTATAATGGCCATCCCCGAACATTACAAGACTGTGAAGTCACATTAATGAAGAACTTCTGATGTACATTAACCTTAGTTATCATATTGTTTATGTGATATATAACATTTGTGCAAAAAAATATCAGTTACTGCACAAATGCAACAAAAAGCATTGACCTACCTTTCGATCGAGTTTGAAGCATGCGAATTCGACCCCCCCCCCCCCCCCCCCCCGTAAAAGCGACTCTCCCGTTCTTCTTTGCGATTCTCTCAAAGTATCGGTTAGACACGGTGATGTTGTTTTTTCCAATGTGAGTTCGCACATGAGCATGCGCATTCACTTCCGAAAATCTGTTTTTGATCATCGAATTCGCTAGTAGATTTTAACATCAACAGGACATCCGCCATTACTAACAGAAGTCAGGTAATACATTCTTATACTTAGAATTCTTATCCATCTTCAAATGAACAATACATATCAATTTAATCTCCTATGATTGTAGAGCTCTTTAAACTCTTACATAACTTATTTCAAGAAAAAATATGCAAAAAGTAATATCCCTGGAAAGCATCTCAAAATTGGGGGGGGGGGGGTTGTTCAAATAACATAACATGACCTCAGTTATTATTTAGGTTTGAGCTACCAAGGTCTATCAAATGTCAATGTTTAATCTTTAAGCCATATTCTATGTTACGGTAAAAATACACTTCTGTTCCAGTCAAAGGAAACAGGACGTACAAATGAGAGAATCAGGAGATTCTATAATTTGTACATGCTCTGCAGTTCACTTATGGTTTTAATATTACCCCACCCCTTCCAAAAAATTAGGGTAAAATTCAAAATACTTCAGTTGAGCATATAAGATGAATATTCATTTTTACAAACTTCAAAAGGTTTCATATGTATACTCTCTTGCCAATAGACAATTACGAGGGGTTATCAAAAAGTTCGTGGACTAGCGTCATAAAATTAAAACCGCTTTAGGTACATCAATGAATTTTTACACATTTAGTTAGCATCATCTTTTCTATCTATAGAATAAACCATAAATCATAATTTTTATTTTTTAATAAATTGTTAGTGTTTTTGTAAGCAAAGGTATGTCCAGGCGGCGCAACCTCTAATATGACGTTTTTTTTCTACCTGAGTGTAACTGAGAAAAACTCTTTAGATATGAGTATTTGTCATCAAAAAATCTCGTTAATTCAGGCATGTGGTACGACACATTTGTTCAGTAAAATTTGCAATTTTTACCCCATTCTGTAATTTCTATGAAATTTTATCGTAAATTTTATATGGAGTGTCCAAACAATTATGGGCTTGAAAATAACGTCAAAAAGGGGGAGGGGTTTCTTTTTCAAACACTCTATAGAGTTTCGCTCCTGGAAAAACTGGTATTGACCTAAGGAATGTTTAAACTTGCTACAGAAAAATAAAATGCATCCAGAGTACTTATTTTTAATGCCCAAAAAGATTCAGAGAGATGAAATATGCACAGTTAGTGTCGATTTGTAGTCAGTGTGTCAAAAGTCAGTCACGTCGAAAAGTGACGTTGATCATGTGTGGTAGAAATTGAACTCCAACAAGCTAAGTATTCTGGCATAATCAGGTGAGGATCTTCCCCATATAAAGATCCATTTACAATATTATATGTATTGAAAACAGCTGCTCATGACATTGTAAATTCATATAAATAAGACGGGTTTAAGTCCTTACTTAACCCCAGGTAATCTCATCAAGATAATTGCATGAGGTAGAGAGAGCGGACATTAAGAAACAATGACGTTAAGCGGACGTCATGACACTAAACGGCGACAGCGCCGGGTGGTCACATAAAGTCTTTTTAATTTTAGAATAATTTGGCAAATTATCAACGTATCTAGCTAAAATTTTCAACATTTCTTAAACTTTTGTTGTTTTATGTTCCGCTTAAATTTTGTAAGCAAAGACTACATATTATTAATTTTATCGCGTCAGTCCACGAACTTTTTGATAACCCCTCGTAATCACAGACAGATTCCAAAATTGTGAAATTCATGGCCCCAGGGACAGGGGTTCTGGTTCTAGGGTGGCAAAGAGACATAATGACAGAAAGACCCATACAACAAGAAATACTTTAGCAACATGTGACAAAGATACAAAATTTAATTCAGTTTACTGTTTTTATTTAATTTGTGAACGAAACTACTTGAGTAATCTATTTGTCTATAATTCAATTTCAGAGCCCAAGTATAAAGAATGGACCCTCGCACCAGTGCCCAGGACGTGATGCGATGTGACCTGTGTGAGACTGCTGTGGTACAAATGCACTGTGATACATGTCTTGTCAATCTGTGTAAGTCCTGTGTGGGAGAACATGCTTCAGCTGATCTTTTCAAAACCTCATAAAATTGTCGACTTCAAGGAGAAAAAATCTACTTTCCTCTACCCTGAATGTGTAACACATGACAAAGAAAGATGTAAAATGTACTGTAAACAATGTGACATTCCTATCTGCACTAAGTGTCTTATATCCGATCAACATCTAGGTCATAAATTATCTAAGAACTATTACAAATCCTAGATGAAAAAAGGGACATCATCATCCAGGAACAAATTGAATTAAAGGAAACAATTTATCCAACCTACCAGGAGATTGCCTCTGATGTACAAAACAGAATGAGTCAGTTAGAAAAGGAATATGGAGATCTTTCAACAGCCATAACAAAACATGGAGAGGACTGGCACAGAGAAATTGACAAACTTGTCAAGAAACTTAAAGATGAAGTTGATGTTATGAAAAACACACAGTTACAAACTCTACAGAAACATCTGGATGAAATAAAAATGAAAATCTTTAACCTGAGGAAGGAAATAAATTCACTGGAGGATGTTGTAGCCTCTAAAGACATTTCCAAAATCTATAGTGTTAAATCTCACATAGAAAAATACAGGAAACTTCCACAAAAAATTACATCTTTTTTACCCAACTTTACACCAGGAAGAATCCAAGTAGAAGAACTATGTAATTTGTTTGGGGTTTTATCATCAAGTTCTTTAACATCAGATAAACAGGGTTACAGCATGAAGACAACACAGAAATCACCAGAAGCTGGATCCTCTCCTCCAGTCAAACAGCTGCTTGATGAACCAGAGATTATCACCACCATAGACACTGGATACGAAAGACTTTACAATGTGGCCTGTCTGAGTGATGAAGAAATCTGGACAAGTGGAAATGGCAACACAATAAAACTCTTCAGCATCAGTCAGGGATTACTACTGAAGTCAATCAGAACCAAGTCAGGGAACTGGCCATGTGACATAGCAGTGTCAAAAATTGGAGATCTAGTTTATACTGATTACAAAGATAAAACTGTAAATATTGTGAAGAATGAGAAGATAGAGGTGGTCAAACAAAAGAAATGGAAACCTCTGGGTAACTGTATTACATCCTCTGGTGATCTTTTGGTTATTCTAATGAGTAATGATAGAAAACAAACAAAAGTTGTCCAATACTATGGCTTCATAGAGAAAGAAAGCATTCAGTTTGATGACACTGGTAAACCTCTCTATTCTGATTCAGAAGAAAAATACATTACAGAGAACAAGAACCTAGATATCTGTGTGTCTGACAATGAAGCTGGAGCAGTAGTGGTGGTCAATCGAGCCGGGAAACTGAGATTCAGGTACACTGGACATACTCCTGCCCCAAAGAACCAACCATTCAGTCCACGAGGAATCACGACAAACAGTCAGAGTCACATTCTTACAGCTGATATTAACAATGACTGTGTCCACATCATAGACCAGGATAAACAATTCCTCTTCTACGTAGAGTGTGGACTGAGTTATCCCATAGGACTGTGCACAGATACAAATGACAATCTGTTTGTTGCTGAATGGGAAAACAGAAAAGTGAAGAAAATCAAATTTCTACAGTAAAATCCATCCCTTAATGCCGGTTTACACTATGCTTCTTGACACATGCATCTTGGATGCATGCATCTAAATTCAGAGTGTAAATGGGCCTTGTGTTAAATTTAATAGGTGTTGCATCTTGACAGATGGAATAGAACTTGTTCTGTTCCGTGTGTCAAGATGCATGGAACTGACCAATTAAAGGAAGGGTCAGAGTTGAGTTTAGATCATAAGCCTTATTTTCCTCCATATTGGTGCAAAATTCTTCATCCCAAAAGAACCAAAAACAAAGAAAATACTAATTAAGGACAGATGATACAAACAAAAAATGGATGTCTGGATTGGTGTGTATTTTTTGACCCATTATTATTGTTAATGATGCAAATAATAAATTTCTAAATTATTAAGAAATTATATGGTGTTTAAAATTATATCTTTCCGCAACCATCCTTATTATTCTATACAAAGTTTTGTCACTTTAAATCCCATTATTGTAAAGATGTGAATGAAAAATTAAAATCTATATTCGGTTAAACTTATTCACTTTACGTATATAAGCATGACTTTAGATGTTATTTTTTAAGTTTTTGATAAAAGTTTGTTTGTATCATTTTTCCTTAAAATACAATAAGAAAAAGTAATTTGATTATTATCATAAAGAGGAGTTTTCTTTAGAATATATATTAAATCATATCTTCCTTATGAAAATAGGAATGATTCGCTCTGCTAACATAAATCTATAGAAAGATTTGAAGGCTTTGTTATTTTTTTAACAGGATAAAACTTCATATTTATAAAGTATTCTGAAGATGCATGTGTCAAGACACATATATAGTCTAAATAACAAGATGCATGAGGCAAAATAGAAGCATGAATTTAGATGCATGTATCAAGATGCAGTGTAAACCGGCCTTTATGTAGATTACAGTAAACAAGATTTACTTGTTGAAATTTATCAAATTGATGCACTCCAGCTTCATTCCTCAACAGAGCAATCTGATTAAATCACCTGTTCTGACACGCTACCACTTACAAACGATATAGCGTACCAGAACAGCTGATTTTATTCAGATTGTCAATAGCTTGTAGCCCATCTCTAGCTTGATTTTAAATTAACACAAGTTGCATTATTCTTAAACTCTACATATATAACAACCATTATCTTTATTGCCTTTTGTACAGGAACTTTATGTATTGGAAACATGTCAAGGAAACAGGCTTGAGACAAAGTAACAGTAAAGATATTTTAGTTCATTATCTTGAAAGAGTAAATTTTGTTGGTGTAAAGAAGTTTGAGTTAAGAGAAAGTTAGCAAAACACGAGGCTCTGATTACTTTGATAATCAAAGACAAATACAAATAAATACACTGTAGCATCATTTGTTATAATTCTCCAAACCTTGCTACATTTGGACGATATCAAACTTCGGCGAAAAAGAATGCTCACAAGTAAATTTACCCTAAATAATTGCAATAAAATGTAATCCTTATTTTCCCTTTTATGATAGAATAAAACCATGAAATTTAAACAATGCGGTTTTCATATATTTATATCAGGCTTGGGGCAAATTACATTGTAAAGTAATGCATGATATTAATTACCATTTCTTCAAGAATTTAGGAATTAAATTACCATTACCATTACTTTAATTTCTTGAAGTAATGCATTAAATTACCATTACTTTAGAAAAGTAGTGCATTACCATTTCTATCACTTTTGGAGGTTTTCAAAAATAAAAATACAAAACTTTGCAACTATTTACATAACATGCATTCCAACCCTTCAAAACTATAACATGATGAATGATAATTCAAATTTAATTTCAAGTACTTGTAATTATTTCACTGTAAATAATTAACATATTTTTTTTATTATTCATAGGAAGTTCGAACTTTTCAATTGCCAATAAGATAAAGACATGTACAATATGCACTTTTTCTGTAACTATTGATGTCATAATGCAATTTAACTTTTGGAGCAATTTGCTCCCTCCCCAAAACTAAAACTAAACTTAATAAGACATATAAAGATTATTTGGATCTAGTACCTTAAATTATGGCAAAAATTAAATGCATCGACAAACTTGTAAAAGGGGTTGGATAGTATGTACATTCTAATCTTCTAAAAGTAGAATGCTTGTCTTCTATTCCTTTTTGGTGCAATGGAGTTTGTTATGGTCATGCAGCTCAAGCAAGACCACCTCAATTGATGTTTCATAACACAGTCAAGTTCAAATTCATTTATTCACTCAAGTCAGAAGAAAGGGGCTGGTTTTTGGAGTACGTACTTCTTTAAAAAATACATCGTTTTAATTGTTACATAACCTTGGTGGTATTGTGTGTTTCGATGACACTCTATTCAAAAGGTGACAATTATAAGTTGACAGTGTACAGTAATTAATGTGCCTCATACCGGAATTATTTTTAAAGAATATATTTTTAAAAAAAACTCTTTAAAATATATATTTTGTGAAATTAAATCTGATCTAAAATAAGTATGACATTTTTAATGTGTGGTAATTGTACTTTCAACAGAATAAAAATGTATTTAAATAGATAAATAGATACAGATAGTTTATTCATAACAAATAGGTTAACTTTTTTCCATTTATTTCTATTATTTAAGGAAAAAAAATATTCTAAACAACAATTTCCATGTCTATTTTTAATTTTTTGAAATAGGTATATACAAAATAATCCTTTGTAATGCTATGTAATGCAAGCATTACTCTGGATTTGAAAAGTAATGCATTACATTACCATTACTTGTAATGCTAATTCTATGGCATTACACATGTACATTACTAGCATTAGTTCAAGTAATGCATTGCAATGCATTACGGTAACCATTACATTTAGCATTACCCCCAAGCCTGATTTATATTAACAAAAAGATTGCAATAATGCCAAATCAAACTTGAAAAAAAACATATTTTCTATAGTAATTTGATAATTTGCATGAGTAAAATCAAAACTGCAGTGTACACATACACATATATTTGTGTCTCTCTCACTTTTTGTGAAAGTATAGCAGCAGAAAGATAAGCCACTTCCTGACACAGGAAGCCTCAAAGACATGCTGTCAGTAATTTGAAATTTAAAAACTGTTTTATGACATTTCCTGGGTGCAACCACAATAATTACAGAAAGGTATATGTCTAAGTCAGACTAGAGTACTATAGAAAGACATAATCTGTGCTCAATATTGATTGATTTTCTACGATTTTATGCTGATTTCGTGATATTATAAATAAACATTTTCCCACGGGGTTATATTTCCAGGGAATGCTAATTTCTGATCAACCCTCTGGTAGAAATTATATAAATTTCAGGTAAATGTATGGGCATTGTACACCTGTACAGGGGACCTTCAACTATCCGAATGCCAGATATTCGGACGCTTCAGTTTTCGGACGATTTTTCATGGGAACGAAATTTTTTAACGTTGTCTCGTTTAACAGGACTTATCCGGACGGTCTTTTTTCACCACAAAATGACTTTTAACATTATACTTTGCTTCATTTATCCGGACGATATTTTTTTAACTGGTCTGTCAAGTCTGCTCAAATTTCTTAATCTGGGTGTTAATTGTTGTAAAAACACTGGTCTGGCTGTTTGTTTCAAAAGATGATCACATGCGTCCTGTTATCAATGGCTTGCGGCAAGGGTAATTGTAGGTCGATAGGTACGCACGAGTCTCTCGCTTCTCTAACATGGTTTTGATACGTATTAATTAATGGAAATAATTCTAAGTCTAGGATGATTTTTTCGCAGTCGGCAAATATATTTCTTTTACTGTTAGAATACAGTCATAACATGGTTACATTATGTATTTATAGACATGACATCGGAGTTTTTTATGCACAGTATTTTGTGCACAAAACGCATTTATGATTTGATGACATTTATAAAATCACTTTCAAAACTACACAATCGTTAATACGATCTCGCTTTGCATGATTACGATTAGCGTTCGTATACATGTGCAGATTATGTCACATTTAGCATTGACGGGCGTTCATAATAAGACTCTATACTGACAGTACCGACATGGCTAATAGGAGAAGTTGATTCATTAGACACTGGGTCATAGAAATTATTAATGTGACCATATAAACACGTTTTTTCCAATGACACATATACTTTTTTTTAGATATGTTTAACAAGTATTGAGTAGTACTAACTTATATTAAGGTATTTAAACAATAAAACATATTGATATAAAGCAACATTCTTTACTACTGAAAATGGTATGAAAGGCCATATAACAAAAATCAATGCAATTCAGTTATCCGGACGCTTCACATATCCGGACGAATTCACTTGGAACCAAAGCGTCCGGATAAATGAGGCTTCACTGTATACACTTTAAGTATGATGTGACAAAAATCAACGACAACTTTGTGTCCGTGTAAAAAGGATGAATGAATCCCAACAGGAAAATTATGTCTAGAGTATTTCAGCCATATTAAGGTCTAAGTAGACTCTATTTTCTTTAGGATAGCGAATTTCTATATTTCTCCTAACTTTTAACCGAACTTGTATGTGGTAATTCGCAATGCACAATGGGTGAACATAGCCTCCGAAGTTGGAAAGTATTTTTTTCAGAACACCTCCTGCCTGCCTTCCTTCTGCCTACAAGTAATTGGAGAATGCAAGCACCAGATTGCTTGTAATTGAAAAATATTTAAATATTCAATGATCAATTGTATTTGTTTTTTGAGATTTTATGCTACATGTAGATATTTTACAATGGATTTTCAAAATTTCCTTAAAATGCTTCTTTAAAGGTTGTTGAATGCAAGCTTATAGTTTTCTTAATACTTTATTTAATTTATTTTTTTTTTACTAAAGATGGTTTTAATTGTTCAATTCGAAACAGCGGTTATAAATATATATGTAATATAAAATAAATCAAAAATTAACAGACGATGAATAGCCCGAACTGAACACAGCTGGAAAAGCAGTTCATGAAGGCATTAATCTGTTTAACCAAAAAGCTTAGCATAGTGTTCAACCAGAGCTAAATCATTAACACAGGTGATTTTGCCTCTGAGGTCGGTCAACTTCTCACACCCCAGTACTAGAATGGTCTGAAAAATGGACAGCTGGAAAGAATTAAATCAACCAGTTCATTACCAGTATATGATACACGTCCATTTAGATTTAGATTTACAGCAACCTGTACACAGAAAGACTTCGAGAGAACAATATCAAATATTCACATTATGATATGTATGGAGATAACGAACAGTATTCAAGCTCAAAAGTCCATTAAACAATACAAATTTTGGAGGAAAGCAAACACGGACCTGTAAAACATCAGAGGTGGGATAAGGTGCCATGGAGGAGTGAGCATCCCTTGCCAACCGGTCACACCCGCCATGTGCTCCTTGACATGATCGGGAAATAACGGAATCACTTCTCAAGTCACCAAGAACCAAGTCAATGAAGATACCAGACGACATAGCAGTGACAAAAAGTGGAGATCTAGTTTATACTGATTACAGTGATAGAACTGTGAACATTGTGAACAATGAGAAGATAGAGGTGATCAGAGCTGGGGACCTTAAGGTGTCTGTAGTACCTCCTCTGGTGATCTTTTGGTTATTCTTATTAGTGATTATACAAAACAAGCAAAAGTTGTCCGATACCATGGCGCCATAAAGAAAGAAACCATTCAGTTTTCTAATAAAGGTAAACCTCTCTATTCTGATTCTGAAGAAAAATACATAACAGAGAACAGGAACCTGGATATCTGTATTTCTGACAGTGAAGCTAAAGCAGAAGTGGTGTTTAATCGAGGAGGAAAACTGAGATTTAGGTACAATGGACAAACTCCTGCTCCAGAGAACGAACCATTCAGTCCACAAGGAATCACAACAGACAGTCAGAGTCACATCCTTACAGCAGATTATAATAATCACTGTATCCACATCATAGACCAGGATGGGCAGTTCCTCCGTTACATAGACTATGGGCTTATTTATCCCTGGGGACTATGTACAGATACAAATGACAATCTGTTTGTTCCTGAATGGCAAAACAATAAAGTGAAGAAAATCAAATATCTGCAAACGATTGATTTATTGTAATATTTATCATACTTTGACCGTTTTGTGATATATTTTGGTATATTTTGGTTATGATTAAGCTTTGTTAAAGACATCTTAAACTCACATTGTAAAACAAAAGCTGAATAACGGTTCATAACGCGATTCAATTCCGCAATACACATATATTGTATCTATATTGTAAATCAGTCATGAGCAGCGTGAACTAAGATGGCGGGAGAAATTTCAAAATGGCACATTTTAGTGTGACATGAATACAAAGAATGTCAAGAAAGTTAAAACCTAGAAAGGCAATGGGAAGGCATGATGTACATGTATAATGCATCTAGATCTGGAGTTGTGAATGCAAAAGTACCTCTTGCTGAATTTTGTGAAATGAATGCAATTGTTATGGGATTCTCCATATTCCCTCATATGAATTCCATGAGAGTCGGAAAGATGAATTTATGAAAAACAAGTTGATTTTGTCTTGATAAGTCAGAAATGAAAAGCTCCGACCTCCATTATGTTAAAGTAAAATGTTGAAAAAAGAAAGACACGAATCGAAGAAAAATTTCCAACCCTACAATGATATCAAACTCAAAGTCTAGATACCACAGAGGACCTATATAAATGAATGGGATGCAGGCAAAGACATTATTCCAAAAGGTATTTGAAATACCAACCAAAAAAGATTAAATTGAACGAAACATTTGATGTTACTAAAACAATTTGCAGGAAGCTAAGAGAGGTGCAAAACAAGATTGTAGAAACGTAAGCTCCAAACTTAATATCAGGAACTAGACAAAGAAGTCGATCATAACTGAAAGCAAGAACAAGAGAATTTAATGGGCTTCCCTAGAAAGCTGAGTTGGCAGCCCATAGAGGTGATTTGAAGTTATCTAACATCACATATATGTAACATCACAAAAAACATAATATTGTGATACAAAAGCAAAATACATGTAACACCTGAAAAAGAGACGATCTGGTGTAGCCTACCCGGTCAAAAAATGTTTGTAAAGCTATATCTATAGACTAACAACTAAATAGATGCAATAAATACATTAATGACGTACTTAATAGGCCAAACTTTAGAAGACCAATGGATTTATCTTGGGAAAGACCTGAATGCAGAAATAGCTGGATGAAGCAAGAAGGAAGTGACAACAGCTATTAGTGTTAATTCTTTTTAATATGAACAGCAGTAATTAACGAAATACTAAAGTTCTGAGGAATTGAGGACTATACGATAAGAAAAGGAGAAATGTATGTTTAGACTGCTTAATTAAGGAGGGATTCTTCTCATAAGAACACTTATTTCTTATATTTAAAAACCATTGAAATTTTCACAGAATCAAGAAGTCAATATCACTAAGTGATGGTATCAGATTAAATTTGACCGTTTTATATTAGAGGCAAGGTCAGGTCAAGGTCAGTACCTTTTCTCTGGACATTAAGAATAAAAAATTACTGTTGCCAATCATGCGATGCCTACTTCTATTTAAATAAATTAAATGTTTTTCTTTTTGCATAAAGAGATATTACCATATAGGGTCTTTAAGATGATATTACCGAATTGACATAAATAATTTAACTAAAATGGATATTGGCTAATCCGAATTTTCTCTATTTTTCTTAAAATTTTAAGATATTTTAGTTATTTTCATATGCTTCCTATATTTAAATTTTTCTTATTTTCACATATGGTAAAGTTGTCACATAAAGATACAAAATGATATTAAAACAAAATGTTTTGACCGTTTACTAAGAAAGAAAAAACACTTTTTACGGATTTTTGGCTCAAATCTGAACTTAGATTGGAAGCTTTTAAAAGCTAACATAATTGTAGTTTGTTTGGAAAGTTATATTTATTTGACATATTTTAAAACTTTAGTCCCTTATTATTAATTCAACTTATATTTAAACATTTTCTCCAAGTCTTTGATTGTGTAAAAATTATAACTAAATTCATTGTTCTATAATTTTTTTTGAGATGCAGAAAAGAAGATATTTTCATACGCCTCCATTCCACCAAAAATATAGTCCCTGCTAGATTTCAAACTCAGTTTACCACTTCTATTTAAAGTTGTACAATTGTGATGAGGAAAGAAAAATATGATCTTTCAAATCCATTACATCTAAATATATAAAACATATAAGCAAATATACTTTGAATATTTCATCTAGTCAGAAACCAGACAAGAATCCCTCCTTAAGAGGCCTGGACATGGCTGCATTATTTATATTTTAATTTCCATTGCTTATCCAAAAAATAAAACCAGTTCAATAAATTGAACTTACATGAATATTCTTAGAATTCAATGATAACGACATTCTTCTTTACATTACTTCAAACATCTGTTTTTGTAAATAGGACACGAGCACTGTTATTGTTAATTTTTACGTTTCACCGGGTGTGTTCAATTTGTTAAACTTGGCACACACCACTGAGCACGGAATGACAATACTGGTGAGTTAGTTTTGCTTCCTCACATTTCTACTTTGAATTTTCTGGATTATAGTTTAATTTTATTTAATTAATTCGCAATAAAAATTCGACTTTTCTTAAGTATTAAGGATAAAGTTTACTTTGTGAAAATGCAAGAATGTGTCAATCAAAAGCGTCCAGAAATTCGTAGTGTCAATAATTTCCCGATAAACGAAGTTTCTGTACACGTTTTTAATATATTTCCGCTGAAATGCTATAGCAACATAAAAGTCATGCTATTCGTTATACAGAAAATTTGAGAAAATATTAACTTCAAATATGTGTTCAGACCTATTTAAACAAACCATTAAAAGCAGAAAGACTTTCCAATCAGCAGAAGAAGGGACTGATTGTATAACTGAATACATGCAAACCAAAGAAAGGAAGAGCATAATTTCTGCAAAAAGGAGAGAAGCCTCGTGTTGCTTTTTGTACCAAGAAAGAACTGTGTTATTTGGAATAGATTGAAAGAAGCATTACCCAAAGTATTAAGAGACAAAAGAACCAGATTTAGGTTGTTGAGAATTGGCACAGTCCAAAAAGCTGCAGCATACATTATCATAGACATAGAGCAATATGCAGAATGTAGAATGACAAAAATCACTTTACATGAAGTTCATCGATTTTGAAAAAAGCGTTTATATCATCAAAACAGAGAGTTTTAGGTGAACTACTTTGACATTATGGAATCCTTGTTAAGACCTACAACATGATAAAACACTGTACGAAGTCAAAAGTGCAAATAATTCATAATTTAACTTTGACTGATAGAATTATTTAATTATTTAATCATTTATTTAAAAACTGGATCAAAACAATGTAGCCCCCCTAATTACCAACACTAGTCTTGAAAGTTGTCGGCTGGGTACCAAGAGCCCTTCACAAAAGTTAAAGAGGAATCCATTTCCTTACGGCTAGAGAATTTACGACCTTTACTTTGCAGAAGAATTTTTCCCTTTTATCTCATACTCTAACAGGCATTGGAGACCACATGATACAACATATGGAACATGAAAAAAGAAGCTCAAGATCTACACCAAGAAAAATGAAAGAACTGACCAAAACTGAAAGAATTGTAACATTCGAAGAAGATGATATAGAAGAGGTCAATCAATTTTCTTAAATTGGTAGTATCATATACCAAACAGGGTACTGACGTAAACATTTAATCTAAAGCAAAGGAATGCAAACTTTTTCAATGCTAAGATCAGTTTTGAAGTCTACAAGAACGTCAGAGAAAGCCAAAATTAGATTATTCAGTACCAAGATGAAATCTAGTTGATTTCATCAAAAGACATTGTTTTAGGAAAACTACTGAGACATTATGAAATCCCAGTTTACATCAAATTCATGATAAAGACATTGTTCGAAGTCAAAAGTACAAATAATTTATAAAAAGAACTTGAATAGGTTGTCCCCTTTTACCAACATTATTCCGTTGCCGACTGGGTATTTTACAAAAGTGCAAGAGTAATTCAGTCCCCTTCCGTTACTAGTAGATTATATACGACTTTGCAGAAAACCTTTCACTTCTATTTCACACTCTAACAGACATGAGAGACAAGATAAGACATCTGAGACGGGAAAAGAGCCTAAATATATAAAGTTAATAAGAGTTATGACCAAGAAAGGAGGAAAGGTAACATTTGACAGAGAAGATGACACAATTTTCTTATCTTAGTAGTAACAAAACACCAGTCAGGTAAACTGATGAAAATATTTAAGTTAACGTAAGCAAAAACATGTAGGCTTTTGTAATGCTAAGATCATAGAAGTCTACAGCAACCTCAGATAAGGCTAAAATAAGAATATTCTACATCAACATGAAATCCATCTTTCTTGACATCTGTACCCTAAACAGGGTTCCCGTGTTAGCACTTCTTCTGTCAAGGGCTGCTCTTAATGAGAATACCAACGATCTGTCTTGGAAGAAGAGCCTACATGGCGGCAGCTGGTCACCTTTAAAGAAATATATGAAAAAATGGCAGAGTTTTGGTCACATACAGAACATTTTTCGCACTAATGACAGCCTTAAGCAGACCTACTGTAAATTCCTACAAATACATATACGTGAGAAATTAATTATCGCGTAATTTCGCGAGGAGCACCACGCACTTGCAGAATAAAACTACTCGCCTTTATTTTGTGCTAAAATTCATGGAAAAAATTTGATGAGCATTCCGCTCGCGAACAATTTTTGCGATTTGACGTCTAAGAGCTATTCAATGAAATTAAGTCCCCGCATAAAATAAGGAATCTACAATATTTTCACAAGTGAAGGTACCTGATTGTGTACTAATTAATGTATAGTTAATTTTCAAGATACAACTCATTCCCACCTTGGTTCTTCGACCCAGGGAGAAAGAATTTCAAATTGTTTTTAAAGAACAAACTGTCTGCTTGCTAGACGATCATGAGTAAAAGATTATCAAAGTGTAATATATTTTCAAAATAAAACCAATATGGCCCATTTATGAAACCCAAACTCTTAGCAATAGAGGGCATAAATTTTACAATTTTGATGGAGGACTGTGTGTTCATCATTTATTAC